GGATAATGTCACCATACAAATGAGATTATTATTTATTCAAAGTAATTCATCATAGAGACCTTCGCTGAGCTGTTTTCATCCTAATATGTGATCTAAACTGCACCTCTGGGAACCTAATAAGAAATAATTTTTGCATACAATGGCTGGGGGATAGAACAATGCCCTCAGGGGAATTGATCCTACTCAAATCGTGGACAGTGTTTGCTTTCCAATTATTTCACAAAGCGTGGGCAACGTATCAAAAGGTTCAAGCTGTGTGGGTGTAATGGTTCAAGGCGCTATACATTTTTGAATGAATCTTCATGTATGTGACTAAGCACTGGTACTTAAAAAAATATATAAAAAGAAAAAAAATCAAGTACGCTTCAGAAAATAGTTTCGAATCATTAAATATTTGCATGATGTGCATTTTTATATCTAAAGGCTCCACTTTATTTACAAAAAAAAAAGAACATTAAGCTCATGTATGTGATGTCGTGGGAATTTAACATTTAACAGTGTTCATTTATATCTTATCATTAACTGGTAACTTGTATCACACATCCTGCTACTGTAAGTGTTGCAATGCAAGTTCGTGGCTGTGCTAGCTTGTGCGTCAAGAGTTTAACCCCCTCCCAGGAAGAAAAAAAAAATGGTATAAGTCGCTCCATCACAGATCTGTCAATGGTGTTTCTCCATCAATTGTAGCCGAAATAAATCTCGTTGTGCAAAGACGTCCGTTGTCTTGGTTTCCCTGGACAAGACAGTAACAGCAACATTATAACCAGTTGAAGAGAATTTACCCGAGAGCACTTTGGCATCATGTCCCAACCTGTCTTTGCTCCCCCAGGTCACAGAGGTGAACCTCAACAACATGCTATGCCCGGCTGTGTCTGATCCCTTTTACGGACCTTGGTACCGTGTGTGGGCAGCGGGCCACCAGACCCTCCTGACGCTCATCCACGGGAAGGTTCTGACACTGCTCTCGCAACACACGGTTCCCATATGCAGACACCTCCTGGATACGCTGCGGCTGCGCAGCAAGAAAGTCGATTGAACCACCGATACATGCGAGCCTTTCACTCTCAATGCCTTTTATGTTGCTTTTAGTCCCCATTTTAGTACATCTTTTACAGCGTGTTTTACTGTACTCGATCCCACGTGTCGTCCAAATGTACGCAACTTGCACGCACGAAGTTATATGGGTATTTTAGGGCTGGTCATTGGGTGGGCTGGTCCTCAGTCCGCTTGATATCTTGAATCATTTTTCCAGAAAAATGCAGGAGATCAAGTTTTTTTCTGATGCTGCCTTTTTTTGGGGGGGGGGGGCACCACTTATCTGCTGTTGTCATTCTTCAAGTGGTGAATGTGCAAAAGTCGTGTTAGTTAATGTATCTGCCATTTTATTTGTATCGAGTGTATTTGTTGTGCGCTGTAAATGTGAATAAGTCATTACCTGGGTATAGTGGGAGGATGGCCATCAATGATCTGTCAGGGTCGTCATCACTGACGCCACCGTGTTTATGTTGAACGGAAGAAGGGAAAAACATTTTTGTAAGTCAACGTACATTTTTTCCCTTCCCCATCGGCCATCAAGTTAAGTGATGATAAGGGAATATCAAGTGTATTATTTCAACACTGTGCTGACTGGAGTTTAGAAGGAGCTTGATCAAAAATGTAAGCGCCATGTTCAAGGTCATTGGGTGCACTCAAACTTGTGTTGTAAATTAATGTCTAATTCAAAAACATTAGGACCACAAAAAAAAAAAATCAATTGTGCTGTTTTTGTTTGAGATTCTACTAAATTCCAGTGCAAACATTCAGTCGACGTTGAGATGAATGAGGAACGGTCGGATTATTCTGGGATGTCCTCTGCCGAGGAAGTTGTGCTCTTTTGGTTGATTTTTTGACACGTTTGTCGAGAGAAGAAAAACTGCAGTCATGCCTTGTGAAACTTGAATAGCGCGTTGCTCGATGCTCCTGTTAACATTCGCAAGGAACTGTCAGACACTCCGCCAACAAACCCCAATTATCTGATAATCTGCATGAGGTCACTTTGGGTAATTTATTGACGATGGAAAGAAAGTATTAATATTTCATCAGTCACGTTGTGTATCATTTCAAGTGTGTGTGTATGCGTGTGTGGGATACATCATTGTAGCATATAATACAGTCCACATATATTGTACTTCAATGTCAAGAAGGGATGCTTTTCTACTCTTAAGGGATTATGTTGGTTCTTAATTAAAGTTTTTTTTTCAGTTGCTCAATGTCTTTGTAATGGTCTCTTCCGGTCCAAATTCCACATCACGCGTTTTAATTGTTCCCATTTTTGAGAGTTAACATTTTACACTGAAATAGTAACTATCTTGTGGTGCAAAAAAAAAAAGTGAAAAAATTGGCTAGATTTTCATAAAAATCGGCACGTTTGTAGCTTCATTTTTGATCACTCATCCTTTTTCAGGGTCATGGTGACACCTCGGTGAGGGTGAGAGGCTGCTTACGCTGCATCATAGTAAAATTTGGGGGGGGAGGGGTCCCACCCCCTCACATAAACATGCAACATCTGTGCTGAAAAACAACAAAACACACTCGAGTTGACTTTTTATTGAATAAATGATTTTAAAATGTAACAGTTTAAAACTACATTTTCTTCACATCCACTGCTTACATACTCAGATAACCCATCTATGTATATATTCTTTCACCCACCCCACCACAGTTGCATTTTTGTTTGTGTTTTTGTTTTTTAGAAATGTTGCTTGTGTTTTGTATTGGTTTTGCTTTTTTTTTTCCTGTTGGGGTCTTACTATCTTGATAAAAACGCCCATTTCAAGTCTTACCACACTAACAGCAATTCAAGGAGAGGAAAGCTCTAGTTCTACAGGGGGTGTTTTTTTTTTTGTTTTTTTTAGCTTTCCCGACTCTTTTTTTTTTTTCTCCATCAACATTTTCAAGTTACTAAAGCAGAGTAAAAACAAGATTCCAAAATCAAAATGACAAGAAATTAACATTGGTATGAGGAGTTACGCCAGGCAACCCTCCCAGCCCGTCAGGCCACTGGAACTAAAAAAGTTCATTTTGTACAGTGACACACCTTTGAAGTCAAGTGTCTCAAAAATTCATAACATAGAAAACCACTCAAATAATTTTGAAACTAGATTCAAAATATTCTTTTGAAAAGAACTTTTGATGTACAAAAACAGTCACTTTGTTTTTTTTTAAATCTCATAGTAAAAAGTTTCAAACAAGTTTATTGTAGTTCTTATTTCATTTGTCATTATTGATTTTTTTTTCTCTAACTACTCATCTACTGTATCAGTGCGATTGTACACCAGTGCAGCTACTGGGTCCAGAGTAAAGAAAACAGGGGTTTTCATTTTTCATGGCATAAAAATAAGAAAAAAAATCCATCTTTTATACAAAGTATAACTGCTGGTCTTGTGGGGGGGAAAAAAACATTTATAAACCCATAAAGCTACGAGGCACACCATGGGAGTTTCATTTTTTTTTTGAATTAGAGCAATAACAACAACAAACAAAAGTAGAAAGTAACACATTTGCAACCATTTTAGACCATCCTTGATGCCATGAACGGCTTCAGAAATATTTTCAATGATAAGTCATTGAAACATAGGGTTGCTTAACAAGTCCAGACAATTGAGCGATCGATACTCACACGCACAGACACACAAACGAATGTTTTTTGTCAACTGCAGATGTCTTTTTTTTTTTTTTGGAAGGACAGGAAGTCAGGCTTGAAGAGCAGCATTTTGGACATGGCCGCTAGCATCTTTGGTTCAGTCAAACAGAACATGAACTTCAGCATTGCGCTGAAAAACAACAAGCCGAACTCTGAAGCCTCCCTGGGGAGCCGACGCACACACCTGCTACACCAAACTACGAGAAGGAAAAAAAAAAAGTCCAATATCCAATGAGGTATCAATGCTTTGAAATTGTTCAACAGTACACAAGCATTGTGTCAAATGCAAAACTCGCTTGGGCCTTCCGGTTGGGTTTGAATATTTGGACTTGTCATTTCACAAACGATTCAGCAGCTAGAGCAGGGGTGTCAAACTCATTTGACATTGTGGGCCACATACGGCCTCGGTAGACGTCAAGTGGGCCGGACAGTTAAAATTAGACCATACTCTGCTATGAATAACCGAAATATCATGTATTTCCTTTGTTGGCAAAAGCTTGTCGCTTCTCAGGATACACCAGTTGAGCCGCCTTCATCATGCATCGTTTCACAAAGTCACCGTCGGAATACGGCTTTGATGCTAATGCTATTTCGCTAGCAATTCGGTAGCTGGCTTTTACTGCTGTGTTGGGTCTGTCTCAGTGACCGACTTGAGACTGCTCGTGTCTTCTCCTCTGATCAAAACAGGGTTCCCTCTAGTGGATGATCCATGAATTGCAGCTTATGAAAAATATTCATTCCGTGTCTTATGTATTTTTTTTTTCACTTTTAAATTATCCTGCGGGCCTGATCGAACCTCGTTGGGGGCCGGTTCCGGCCCGCGGGCCGTATGTTTGACACCCCTGGGCTAGAGAATAACAGGATGTGCTCAAGAGTTGTTGGGTTGTTTTTTTTTTTTTTCTCTTGTAAAAGCAACATCCAACCTACTGCAAGTGGCAAACGACGCATCAACATGTGAACAGACTACATACACCATGAGGTTGGGCCATGGCGTGTTTACGGGTGGGTAAAAAGAGGTGGCTAACGTGTGACTTCTTGTCCTTTCAAACCTGCACGGATGTTGACATTGGTAGGGACAACGTACGAAAAAAAAACAAAAAAAAACGCCTGTTGAACAGATCTGCATATTTCAAGGAGAGTAAAGGTAACACATGTAAGATTCTCTCACAACAGATCTCAGTTGAATGCTCACATTACATTCTGTAGTCTGCTGCTGGGAGTCATCCCGCTTCATTTATGTGAAGGAATATCCGTTTTTCCCATAGGGAACTCATCCCAATAGTTACCCACAATGGATTTGATGAAAGCAGGGGCTACGTTTTTTTTTTTCCTTCAATGTTAAAATGTGCCGCATTTCGCAGCCATGTACGGAAGAGAAAATCTTACATGTAACATCTTTTTTTTTTTTTTTGATGATATGATGGATGAGTCCGCATGACCAGTCACAAGCTGTGACCACCCCAATATGAGGTCTGATAGCACCATATTTGTCTATTAATGCTCTTAATGGTTCATAAGAGTGTCCAAGCATAATATATACTGTATATCATGGAGAAAACCATAGGTCTCATACTCATACATACATGCAACTTAACACATTGCATGTGTACAAAGACATATATGTTTAAAGAGCATGGTCAATTTGGTTTTGCAGCAGATCATTTCTGGTTGTGCCGTGATCAAATGGAGCAGGAGATTGATGCTCGGTTCAAACTATTGGCTGCTCTTCCCATTCTTTGACTTTCCAAAGTGGGTGGAGCGCGGTGGGAAGTGTTCAAGCGGCGATGGACAACGACAAACCATCGACCAATCCAGAGGTGCCATGATTGGAACGAGCAAAGTCCGAACCCCAAATGACAACAAGAACCGAGCATCCTCTCCTGGTCCATTCGTTGTTAACGCATTCATTTAAGGCAACACAACTTTAAAACGTCATTTCAGGTGAGCTGTGGATGGGGAGTGCCAAAAGCCCTTGACGTTTTTGCATAAAGAAAAAAAGTGACGAATCTGCCAGTTGGTCAAGGCTGTTACAAAAGATGTTGGTCAAGTAACAAGAACCTCTCAAAAAAAAAAAAATCCAGTCGGTCAAACCAAATCAGTCTGCAATGTGACACTAAAGCCCCAGTGGGTGCGCATGTGTGTGGACGTGACTCGCAAAAACAACAGTTTGACAGGAAAAGTGTTCTTGGGACTTAATTGACTCCAAGACCCCGTTGCAGACATTCTGTTCACTCCAATTCTGTTGTATTTACACAGCTGACAAAATGAAGCGTTTCCTATGTAGAATGTAAATGACACCTCTCAAAATTAGCTTTTGGATATGTCATATTTAGAACGGCGCATCTTGAATGGGGAGACGAGGTTTCTTCCGGTACACATAGACAACATACAAGACATGAGAATGAATAGTGAATGCTTGATGGAGAGTATATGGCTTTAAAGTTTCCCTGTCACGTGGCTCCCTAGCAGTAGACCACTTGCGCCATTTGAGAAGACGAAAAAAATTATTTACCGCGCATATCCTTCCTTGACCGATGTAGAACCACAAAATATATGTACAGTGATGGGGAGGTCAACCTCAAACTACCGAATAACAATTTGAAATCCAATACCTAATTCACTTCACTGTTTCTTCACTTCGGGGGGCTAAAAATCAATGTCGATATCCACGCACAAATCCATAAACAAAAACTGAGAGCTTAAGCAATGAATGCAGCCCAAACGTTACTCAGAGGGCATCACTATCATGTCCTGTAGTTGACGCATTTGGCATATAAACAGGCCAAAGCATCATTTCTTGACTAAACTGCCAGTCTACAAAGCCAACACAACCTCAGCATCAGTCTTTTGCCCCCCCGTCCCTTTTTTTTTTTTTTTTTTTTGAGAGGGATCAAAGTAAAGACAACACAGCCGTTGAGAATAATAATTGCCCCTGCTACATGATTGGTATAAAGTTAGGAAAAGAAAAGATTAAATGTAAAATACTCGCAAAGCCCGAACAATTTCATAAGCAGGGTTAATCCACTGAAAGAGACGTCCTTCCATCCACAGAATCAAACACCTATTTAGGTTTGCTGAGCAGACATGATAATCAAGGTTATAATGTTAAGAATACAAATGAAGGGCCTTTGTATGCTGCAAAAACCACAGGGCAAGAAAAACAACAAAAGGAGCTGATTTTTCTTGCCGTAATCAATTGATGCTTTGTAGCAGACCGTTGCCAGGTCGACGTCTTGGGAGACAGCCAGCATGGCAACGGAAACTATCATCATAAAATGGTACAGTAGTAGAAATAGCTAGACCAGGAGGGGGCGGGCTCTCCTGGGAAAAGGTCTGCGGAGAGGTCCAATGATTGGTCATGCGGCTCGCTGTCAGGAATAATGGTTGTAGGGTGGAAGAGGGTGCCCGATGCCATTCTGGTAATGATGATGTTGGCGGTGGGCTATGTATTCCGCATAGCCCATTGTCATCTTCTCGCTACGGTACCTAAGAAGGGGAAAAGACGTACTTTCAGAACAACTTCTTTGAGTGACTTTATTCTTTCACGTTACAAAAACAAGCATGACTTTTTATGGGAATACATCTGTGATGTGGCATGCATTTTGTCATCTCGTATCAACAGGCGGGAGGAGGTAAGACATATTGGGGATATGAGGCAACGCTCCTCCGTCTTCTCATTTCACGGAGACACCCACTAAAGGTGATGTCACGTAATTTTCCGTGCATGGTAAATTAACCATCTGCGTGGCGGAATTGCTACAACCACAAATGTTCACTTTATGTTTCAAGTGGGATTCAAATCAAATCTAAAGATCACAACTCTGAATCAAAACAACTTTGCAGATTCACGGATGACGTCAGTAGTCTCCCCAGAACTCTCTCAACGAAGTCATGAAAGCCAGACTCATCACTGACACAGCAGTATATGAGGTGGGAGGGGAGGCTGGCTCACTTGCATGAGTCAAAAGTACGCCCCCACCTAAACAGGCTCATTCCAGGAGGACAAAAAATAGGGTGTGGAAAGCGTGCCATTATCTTTTGACTGTTGTGGTATTTTGACAGAAGCGTGTCACAGATGTGTCCAGACACCCAGTAACTGTTTGTAACCTGTGTAGGGAAGCGGATGTCCCCTTTACTGTCCATGCTGGTAATCTGACGTGAGCTTACCTGGTTAACTTAATGGTCTTCCTGAAATCATTTGTGATGGGAGCTTTGTAACCTCCCTTTCGTAGTAAGGAATCTATGGTTTGAATGTGGTCCCAACCTACGGGAGAAAATTGCTTCGGTCCATGAATAAGAGGCACACAGGCATGATATTTATCCATGATCCCAAGTATGTTAAGTGACTTCAATTTTTCATTCAGGTTTCCATCGACACTTAATTCCACTGAATGTGTATTTTGATCGTTTGTTAATCTTACATGATATACAGAGTGAGAAAATTGTTGGTACACCTCTGGTAATGACATTTAAAAATAACTGGTCACATTCATTTACTGAAACAGTAACTACTTGCCACCCTTTAAATTGGCAAAAAGGCAAATTGACTGATTCAAAGTTTGAAGACACGAGTGATGCTGATGAGAGGACACGCCGTAATTTAACACGTCCCTATGGTCAAATTATTTTCAACCTTTTCTAGTGGCACCATCGTTGTTGTTCGGGCCTTTTTCATTAGTTTGTGTTTTGAGAATGATTCTGTTGCGTATGTTTCAAAAGCCTGACTTTCGTTAGTTAATTTTCAGGAAATTTGTATTTTACTTGTGTCAGTTTCAAGAAATTTTAGAAACCATTGGAGGTTTTTCCTTTCATTAATAGAGAGGGGTACCAAGATTTCCACGTGTATACTATATGTATGCCACCAGTGTTGACAATTTAGCCACCTTACAGACCTAAAAGAGTAATCATCTTCAAAAAATACACAGTACATTTTGTCACATTTTTTTATGACAAGAAATTGAAGAGCTTATAACAAGAAACAAAAAAAAATCTTACCTTGCTCCTTTGCAACCTCTGGCAGGTAGGTGGCGGTGCGCTTTGATCCTTTCTCATTGAAAAACTCTATCCTAATACCGTGAACACCCACCTATGAAGACAACACAGACATCAGTTTTGAAAACTGTTTTTTGACAGAATCCATTCAAAAATGACAGTGGGAATCATATTGCCATACTCACAAATACTGTGGCACTCACCTCCCAGTCAAGGTAATCACCGACGTCTTCAAAGTTGGTGAGAAGTGACACTGAGCAGAAGAGGCGAGGCAGCTCATCCCTTGTCATGGGGGGGAAGCGGCTGTCTTTAAGGGCACTGCAGTCAAAATAAAAAATAAAACAAAGAAAACACCATGGGCATCCAACAGATTCACATTTTGATCACATCTCTCCATTTTACTCCCAAGGGATCGTCAACACAGTTTGTTATCTAAAAACTTAAGTAGGGTGTGGTCACACAGCATTGGAAATCTGGACACAATCCCAGCAGGCCGAAATGGAGACTGGAGCTATGTGTTTGGAAAATCAGATGACCTAGATCGGTGACTGAAAGTGGAGAAATTACAAACAGTGCGTTCATAGACGCAAAGACAATTTAAAAATATATATTGTCCTAATACATAAACCCAGCAAACTAACAAAAGGCACATTTTGATTCATCTGCACTATGGAATCGACTGCAATTTTCGAGTTATACCATGTCTGGAACATGAATACTGAGTATGCTCCCAGAGATCACATGGGGGGGGGGGGGTTTGAAGGGCAGCTCTTACCACATGATTTCCCGATTCGAGCAGATCATGATGAGATTCACTTTGTTTGTTGGTGATTCTGTCTTGTGGCGGTTTGGTGGAGATAACGCTAGAACACTATAACGAGTACCCAAATCTTCATATCAACGAAAGACAATAAAAATACGGCCTGGTGAGAGTGGTGAGCACTGCTGCCTTGTGACAAGGTCGCCGGTTTGCTTCAAACTTGACTCACTCAAAAAAAATAAATCTAGTTCCCCCCCACTGACTTTAAAAAAAAAAAAAAAACGGTGATGTCAATAACAAGTGCTTTACCTATACAAAGAACGCACTTCTCATTTTAATAAATAAAAGAGGAGCTTTCTGTCCAATTCACAATATTTCATGATACAGCACAAAGTACGGTTTTTCGCTGTCGACAGGGATTTGAGGGCGCCAAGAATTTTCTCGGCATGAACACCGCAACATGTACAGTAATGAACAATTGCAATTGTCATATTGTGGCTTTATGACATTCTACTTTTTACATTCAATAATTACCAAAAATGACTTCGAACAACCGATAGCGACATTCGCTAATATGACTCACCTGGTAAGGGTGTACTCCCTGAGTCCTGAGTGCAGATTCATGGCAGAAAATGTACCTATACAACCCCTCAACCGCTTGTCTCTGCCTATTTTCCATGTGACAAACAGCGGGCTGAAAAACAAAATGAACAGTATTCATGCATTTAAATGGGGATTTTTATACTTTTGGGGGACAAAAGAACAGATCACTGGCCCGTAAAAAGATCTGTTGAAATCACAGTGCTCATTTAAAAAAAAAGGGCGGACTGAGAAACAATTTGCACTTGTTTGGGTCGTTTTCTGTGAATGAAATATGTAAAAGCAACTGTGAAAATGTAGAGTGAATGAACCAACGCCGCTGGTATATCCAAGCGTGCACATCTGACTTCATGTGACTGAATGAATAGAGAATGCCGTGCCACAAATGCTCATCGTGTGTTATTCCGGAAGAACGATAACTCTGATCGAGGACTGCTTGTGCTTTAAACAATCGATTCGCTTCACAGTCAATGGCACAACCCACAGTGAATTGCACACTTTAAACTTTAAAATACTGTAAGATTTACTGGCACATGCCAAATTTGATTCAGCAAATGCTCGTGTGTCATACTTGGCTGCCGCCACAATTTTCCATAAAATGAGCCAACAACCGAATGTTAATTTGAAACTCGGCGTCATCGCACTTTCATGGTCATGTCTTACAGGTTGACCCTGTCCTCATAAAAACAAACTGGATCCATGAAATTGAATTTTATTCACACTAGGTGAGATCCTTGACTGCTGACCGACAAGTACCGGTACTTACAATCAGAACACAGAATTCAGTCATTCATGACAAAACATCTAAAGCCCAAACCACACAATGACGCACTTAACATGATTACACAGATGAAATTATGTGCTGTTTATTGAGGCTCTTTTCATACAGTGAGCGCTGGGACTTGCAGGGAAAATGTTTAACTACCACGACGACTGAGACATGGCCTCTGTTGTTCTTCAGTCTTTCGTTTGTGGGAAAGTCAGCGGATTTTCCTGTTTTGAAAGGTAAAATTAGTCACGCTTGCAAGGTCTGTCGGGGGAAACATTAGGAGCCGTGTTTTCATGAGGAATGGGAAAATATTAAGTGGTAACGCCCATTCGTTGATTCCAGAATTTTAAGCTTGTATGTGCAAAAGCATTTTAAAAAAACTAATAATCTTTAATAATCTTGGTTGTCTGTGACGGCATAACAAACACCGACATTTTATTGGTTTTACTGTATTACCTCTTCCATACTGATTTGTGTACACACCAGGGATGCAGTGATGCCTATAACAGTATTGGTTTTGGTGCAGTCAAACCGTCTGTAAGCACCAAGTTTCTCGGGCCCCGCTGGCTCTGCTCCGGCCGAGCCGGCCAAGCCAGCCGTGCTCCCGTCACGAGGCCGTTGCAGCAGAGGATGTAAAGAGAAGCAAGCGATGGTCTGACTCTGACAAAACATCACTTCAGATGGTCAGTCGCAGTTTTATTTTGGTATTCTTAAGCAGCAGTCTTATATTCATACTCACTTTACACAGAAGTCACATGGAATGGTAATAGTACCTTTTCCAAGGTACTCAAAGCACTTAATACATCCTTATTCAACTACTGATGTATCAGGAGCAGCCGGCTGTTCAGTATCTTGCTCAAGGACAATTCGACATGGTCACAAGAGCCGGGGATCTAACCCACACCCTCTGGGTTTGGAGGCAGGCCACTCTACTACCTGAGCAATCCACATTCTTACTTATTACGCAGCAGGCTCAGGTTTTTCTGTGTCTCTAATTTCTTCTTTATCTATGTATTCGTTTTACAGACTGAGAAACGACATAACTGAAATGCCTTGTTTACAGGCTACATTTAATGAAATGTGTCTCTGCAAAATATGCAGTTGAAATGGACTACAGTACAAGCTGTTACTTATTTGAGTGACACATTTTGTGTTTTGAACAATATTTGATTAGTTAAAAAAAAAAAAGCATTGTTATCACAATTGCAAGTCATAATGGCATTATCCAGTATCGGTGCATACCCAGTATGAAAAAGTGGTATTGTTGCATCCCTTGTATACATTCAGCCAAATTAACCCTGCATGTACTATGCTAGCATCTGACCTGACAAATGAAGGATAAAGGCAGTCTTATAAATATGTGGTTCGTTTGTCTGTGTGCACACTCTAATTCTAGTTTGGGACTCTACAACTTCGTCACAAGTGCTTTACCTGGATACAGTAATCTAAAGGACACATTGGGGTTTGGGTTTCTATACAGTCAGTAACCTCTTACATTCATCAGCAACAAGATTGTGTAACAAAAAGCTAGTACAGTCAAACCTCGGTTTTCGAACGTCTCTGTTCTCGACCAAATCGGTTGTCGACCAAAAATTTCAACTTTTTTATGCCTCGGATGACGACCGAAAAAACGGTTCTAGAACAAACTGAGCGCACTTGAATGCGTCACTTGACTCCTCTCGCCTTCCTTACACGAGGAAGTGACGCTTCCTCGGGTAGTGTTCCATGTGAACAGACGTGTTTAATAAAGTTTTTTTTTTTTTAAAGAGCGTGGTTTCGGTTTTCGAACAAATCGGTTTTCGAACAGCCTTCTAGAACGGATTATGGTCGAAAACCGAGGTGTGACTGTAATTTAACATTTCACACATCATTTGACAATCCATGATAAAGTATTCCTGCTCGTGCACTTTTGGCCGAATTCATTCCTGAAAACAGACGCAAAGGATTTTGAACAGCCTCTTCGTGATGGTAACCCATTGCAGACTCAACATATCAGATTACAATGTTTGAATGAGGCGTGCTCAAAAAAATGTCTCAAGATCATAGTTAGCTTGGTCAGTATGACATTTAAAAAACTCCAAACGATTAAAACCACGATTGACAGTTAACTAGAGTTACTCAGCACTGTACATACTCATATTAGACAACATGTTGAAATCGGCAGATCTTAAAAGTGCTCATGTAATCGGCAAGAACCATCTTTCTTTGTTGTTGACGCTAACGGTAGTTATGAGCTCTTTGATTCCACTTAACTTATCGAACACAATACTAAAGACAAAATATAGATGAATTTGGCGATTTTAAAAATTGCACTTTTAATATATTGAATGCTAGTTAGCTATCGGTTAATAGTTACAATCTCATTAAGTGCTTCCTCGTCGAGCTAGTGGCACCTCTGAGCGAACCAAAGCAAGCTTTGAATGTAGCAATGTGGAGTTCATTGAATGTAGAGCTAACGGGATTAATAGGTGCACGAAGGCTAAACGTGAATATACCGTGGTTTGATATATCAATAAAAATTGTAGGCGTTTGTGTGCGAATGGGCTTCGATGTGACTGAATAAATTACAGTGCAATCTTGCTCGTTCCACCCTTTTTGTTGAGGCATGCTAATAATAGCTAGTAGCCATCAGGTTTAGCTACATTAGCCGGCGATAAAAGAGTTAAAAGGGAACACTATAAATTTTGTCTGGAAGCGACCAGATATCCGGATAAAATATTAAAGCTACTCTTTCGCGTGTATGTATATGAGTGCTCGTCAAATTATTTTCCGATGATTTCACGATGAAGTAGTATCGGTCAGTGCAGTCAGTAAGGTTATCTTCGACTAGGCCCAAAATTCCAACTGGCCACAGTCAAGAGGTTTTCACATTAAAATCGTTCACGTCAAATAATTCTCGGATGTGACAGTTTGTGTCCTGAACTACTCGGACACAAAGGCTAGGAAAGCTGCCGATTAACACATGTCTCGTGTCAGAATAGCAGTTTTCTTTTGGGCATGCAGCAAAACCAACAAGACAATAAGTTGTGACTTACTAGGGATCGTTTGTAAACCTGGGTGTTCTTGGAGGTTGGTATCCGTACAGATGGCAATAAAGCACGTCAAAGCAGAAGCAGCACATCTCCGCCGAAACGACCATTTTTCTGCCTCCACTTCCCGATCCAGGTCCTGGGCTAAGATTCGGACTGAGACCGGATGAGGTGTAACCGGCCGGGGCTGGCGACAGAGTCGACAGGGCGCTTGTGCCGCCGCTAACACTATTACTACCGCCGCCGCTAACGTTACCCCCGGGTCCCCCCAGGCCGTTCGCCCTGCTCACGTTCGGCGCTCCTGCAACAGTCGCCGAGGAGCCAATCCCCAACTCCGATCCACAATGTCCGGTTCCTGCCACCCCGCTTCCCGCCCCCACCCCGCCGGGACCCCCCGACCCGGGCGATCCCGACAGTTTCTGCTTCTTCACCCCGCAGCACCCGGCCGCCATCTTGGAACAATCTGCACCTACACACCGCTTCCGACCCATAACCGTCACCGCGGGAAGGGTGGGGGGGACGCCGACCACACGTACAAATCCCACTGCGTTGATACGTATGGCGGACGATTCCCTACTCCACTGTCACGCTGAGTTTTTTTAAGTCGAACGTCGAAATGGGCGATGTGGTGAGAAAGACTGCAGTGTCACCCTAGCGCTGCTTTAACTAAGCGCGACTTTACAAAGCGAACGCAACCATTTTTTCCATATCGGTTTGCTTCGAGCCAAAGCAATACAGTCAACACGACACCCTCCGAGGCTGTCAAGTCCGTTGTCAACAAGCATGTAAGTTTAGGCCGCGTTTGACAGCAGCCGGGCGGTCCAGATGTCAAGCCGACAGGCAGCGGAGCCCCACAGCAAACCTCTTCAACTGGAAGCCTGGAGCTCATGTACGCCGTACCCATAAAGCTTCAGCACCGATTGCGCACAGTGTCGTGGACGCTCATTCCTATTCCGCCAGCTTGTTTGCTACTGCCTGGACAACTTCTAATTACACAATACTTCGCTGGGATTCCAGACGCTGTGACCACGCAGACTAAAATGGCATCTGTCAATGCGGGGCTGCCATGGCACAATGGACCGCGTCGGCGCAGAGCAAGACATTTCAGGAACATTAGCGCTCAGTTTGCACCTGCATCACGGTCTGCTCTTGGACCTGACTCAACAGAACCCCCAATAACACATCCGCGTCAAACGCCGAGCGGAAAGTTTGCGCTAAAGGTTTCTCTAAAGGCTGTCATCCGTTTAAGTGGGTACATAACGAAGCACATTCTCGTCCTTGAGCCGTTCGAAATCCTCGCTGCGCACCCGTCTCTCGACTGCGACCATTCGGTACCGTTCGGGTAAAGAGAGCCCCTGTGATCGGTCTGTGGGCACAGGCGTCGGTGTCGCTGGCACGACGGAACCGGATTCAGGAAAATAGGTTGCGTCCCCTCGGTACGCAGAGTGCGCATTCTTTTTTGGGGGGCGGGTGGGGGGGGGGGCGAGTTAGGAAACGCGCGTTCCTCAAAACAGCGCGTCACTCTTAACTTCCGCGCACGTCTTCACGCGCGTGCACGAAATCGTACTAAAATCTATTAAATACTCAAATATTCGTCTCACTTTACTCACAAGCAAGCTTAATGTGAAATCTGGGCCTGTTTAATTGAATGCAGAACTGATATACTCACAGGAAGCCATGACTTATTCTGCTGTATGAATGGCAACACACATGTATAGTACCTTCTGCTATTTTATGGAATAAATGTTTTTTTTCGTGCCTGTCGCTATACATCACGGGCGTAGATCGAACAAACATTACTACTTTAGATATGAGCTGTTTTGTGCTTTTGACTTGCCTCTGGTTGTCTCTTCCCATGGCAGGTAATGTTACTTTCCATTACCATTGCTGGTATGAATTTCTGTGTTACAGTTGATTCACACATTGTTTTTTTTTCATGTACGAATATACTATCGTTCAGATTTTCATGCAAAATTTATGCTAGTTACAGTAAATGTTGTAGGAAGTAGCTAAGACATTTTTTACGGTTAATCTTAGTAAGGATGGGGTGAGATGAAATGAGTTCTCTTTTTCCCACTCCTTGTCAAGTCAAGTTATAAATAAGTATTGAAAGTTATATTTTGGTTGTCTTGCTTGGGCAGCACGGTGGTCGATCGGTTTGCATGTCCGCCTCACAGTGCATAAGTTAGGGGTCCCGTTCCGTTTGCATGTTCTCCGTGTGCCCACATGGGTTTTTTTCAATACTCCGGTTTCCTCCCACATTCGAAAAACATGCATGGCAGGTTAACCAAACACTTTAAATTGTCATTAGGTGTGACTGTGAGCGTGAATGGTTGTTTGTCTATGTGTGCCCTGCGATTGGCTGGCAACCAGTTCAGGGTGTCCACCCCCTACTGCCCGAAGACAGCTGGGATAGGCTCCAGCACACCCACGACCTTTGTGACAATAAGTGGCTCAGATAATGGATAGATGGTTATCTTGCTGATGTTGATCGGCGGCCGCCGTCTGAAACAAACAAATAAATGAAGATATATTTGTAATGAATAAGTGATCATTTTGAGACAAGAGTGAAATTGTACCATGCCGTGACAACCTGGTTTAAAATAACTGCATAACTATAATATTCAGTAATTTTAGAGGGAACAATTTACATTTTGATGCTGGTTATAGCGGTGTGCTGGAAAATGTTAACACGGAGGCTTTATTACGTATACTTACACACTGTAACGAGATCTAATTTGAGAACTGCATCAAAACAATTCTGTGTTCACACACATAATGTTCACTTTCAAAGGTCAGATGTTTTCAGATTTATCAATATGTTTATTGTGGGGGTCGTAGTTTGCAATGATATCACACTGCAATGCATCATGCTGAGAAGTATTGCTAACATGTTGGCAACCTAATTATAGTACAAGGGCTACACAGTTTAAACATCTTTTATGATGCAGCAGAGCTCTACACCACTGCAAACGAGAGCACAATAAAACACTCCTAAATGAATACTGTACCTCTCTCGCCGTGAAAATGAAACACAAATCACAATTGTATTGACAATTTCAGTAAAGTGCCAATTATAATTCACACAGATATTTAAATGTAGCCAGGTCATCCACATTGGCGGGATACACATATAGATGAGGAGATAGGCTAAGGCACAGGTGTCAAATTCAAGGTGTGGGGGACCCTCTCATGTCACTTTTTGTGGCCCGCTTAAGCAAATGAGGTTTGCCTGCTTCATCTCTCTTGCTAAATGTGTTTGTCTTTCTCATTTTGGCAGAAAATGTGGACCAGAATTGCACAATTTTCATCACTTTTAACAGCTATTAGAAAAATTTTATTCACCAAATCTCCTCTTAATGTACTGTATATTCATAGGATGCAGTTATATACCTGTAGGCTATACAACTGTATATAGTTGTATAGCCTACTTACAGTGTGTATATATGATAATATGGCATCCTTGAGTATATAACGCATGCACATCTTACAGAGTAACTCATTAATCTCATTAGGTTGTACTGGTATACAGTACTTGATGCTGTCCTGTGACTGTATACATTTTGTACCAAATTAAAAGAACAAAAGTACTGTCTCTAAAAGTAATCTCTAGTGACCACTTCTTTCACCTCAACGATTCACATATTGCTTCTTCAGCTGGGTTATTTCTGAGTGTGACTTCTCCCATTTCCGTGAAGGGCCTCCTGCCATGGCACATTTTCAGTGGATGACCTCGACAGTATCAGATGCTCGGTAGCGTGCTGTTCATAAAACTCAGTCACCGGGATCAAGGCATTTAATTACAGTGTTTCACGCATCATATAAGGCATGTCCCTGAAAAAAATTACTCATGTGCTGTCATCTCTCACACCATGCGGAAATATGACTTCATTGCTCGTTAGGTGGAGCTCAAAAGTGCCTGTCACAGAAGAGAAGGCTGAGGCATACATCTATCTGGTGAATAATGCTGCAGGTCATGACACAAGGTCATGACAGCGCTGTAGCCGCCTGATTCATTAATACATTCCTAAAGAGTAACGTACTGGTGCAGCAGCAAACCCGATGCAGCAGAGAGTTACAGAACATGACAAATGTTGAACATAAATGTAGTCGTTTGTAATGTATGTAGAACTCTGTTTTCTGTTCAGAGACCTTGTCATCAATTTAACCGGACTCAGCTGTTTTCGCTTCTGGCTTCCAGTGTAATGACCTTTTTCCTCCAGCCAGAACAGAGAGTCACTCTCCATTTTTCATGGTAGGGTGAAAACCCATTTCATCAAAGGGATGATTTGTCACCCACTTACTTCCTAACAGATCTTTCTCCTCTGTTTGCACTTACATATATATATATCCAGAGAAATACTTCTTTTCTTGGCATGTCTATTTTAAGGCACATAAATGTGACCTGCAAAGATTAGAATGCCCACCACCTGAATCATTTTGCTCTAAATGTAATCTGCCCACCATCTATATTCTTCTCCTTCACCCTTTGTGTTTTAAGAAAATGATGTTTAACTCTCCAGATTGCCCTAAAATGTATCCTTGAATTGTTTCATCATAATAACAAATGCTGTTCGTTTTGAATGCTTTCAGGATTAAATGAACCCTTTTAAAAATATTTAGAATTCCCAAAAAAGACCAGGGCTGTGAAATTTTCAAATCTGCTTATCCTCACAAGGATCGCGGGCGTGCTGGAGCCTGAATGTCTTTATTCTGAGAAATTTTTAACATCAGATGCTTGTGATTTTACAGGGAAGACAAGCTGTCTTTTTCCGCTTGACCGTTTAGTATCAGTCGTGAAACAAAGCGGCACCTATTCTGCCTCATTTTTAAGAGAAGAAGAAAACCACGAAGAAGAAAAAAGGGGCGGAGCTTGATGTTTGAAAGTCGCGGGTGTGAACTGCACCCAGTTCAAAGGCACTGGCCAATTTACTTGGATTAATAATATTTCGATGATTCAGAATAATTTCATGGTAGACTTTCGTTTCGTGAAGGTTTGGTTGGTTGTCTGACATCTTTAGACGTATCTGTTGGAGAATTTCCGTGAAACTTTCAAGCGTCGCTGGAGAAGAAGCGGAGAGGTAATGCAAAGTTATTGTCTTGTGTTTTTTTCAGCACCAGCACTGCCACAAGTGACAAGTGATCTGTTTTTCCTCTCTCTTTTCCATTTAAAAACACAGGAAAACGTTTATACATAAATTCATTCACTAAAGTAATGACTATCATCACGGTTGTGAAAAATGTGTGAAAAGACAAGCATCCCGTTTTCACCCCCGACTTAATAGGTTAAAAATATATAAAAATTGTCGTAAGTATATTGTATTTGTTTGTATTTAATGCTTGGATATCTAACTGCTTTATTTTTCTGTTGGGATAATTATTTGTATAATTGCCACTATTTTTCTCCCCGATGATAATATGGCCTCCTTCAGTAGTTAACATGATGTATCACAATGCGAGGGAATCGATGTCTCCCATTTAGAACGATATCCTAACTCAATGGCCTCTTGTGTGTTTTTAAAGATTATCTAAAGTCTCCATCATGACCAACGAGGATGCAAAGGTGATACCAGTACGGGTCGCCTTGCGCTGTCGTCCTTTAGTGTCAAAAGAAATCAATGAGGGATGTCAGTGCTGTCTCACCTTTGTGCCTGGAGAACCACAGGTCTGTATTCGAAGTTTTATGAGCGATATATTAAATTTTTATGTTAGTGGTACAATGACATGTACTGAGCCTGATTGTAATCATGACTCATAAAAGAATATTCACAGTGAAACACCAGACATGATCACCATCCATTCGTTGTCTGTAGCGCTTGTACTCATGATGGTCATGGGGCTATTTTGGTCACTTTTGGGTAAGAGACATTGTACACCTTGGAATGGTCGCTTGCCCTTATAGACAACCATACTTACAGCCACGGACAGTTTAGAGTCTTCAAATAACCTGACATGCATTTTTGGGGGGATTGTGGGAGGAAGCTGGAGTAAACCCACAGAACATGCAAACCCCACACAGGAATGCTTGAGCCGAGATTCAAATTAAACCTCAGATCTGTGAGGCAGACATGCTAATCATTAAGAATGTGACTGTACTCTGTAAAATTAGTACGCTCTGCACAGGACAATTTGTACTTATGGACTGAGTTTTTTCACTTTTGCGATTCATTTAGCATTGATTCTAGGTGTGTGCGTGCCTGTTGCATGTTCACTCGCTGACAGTTGTAGCTGTATCAAGCTACAAAGCATACCTCAGGACTAGTGGTAAAACCACTTATACCAGCAGAGGATTGTGTGACAGCATATTGTGTTAAGATAGCTGACATCAGAACACCTTTTTTTTGTATATGTAAAAGTATATTCCGCCACCTTATGTTTCGCCTAAGAGCTCCATGGCTTGTTTTGCACGGTGAAGATGGAAGTCGGGCAGGTGTAGCGCGGCGTCTGGCATGCGTTCATTGAGCCAAGTTTCAGTACAGAGCGGCAGAATGTGTGAAGACTTGTCAAGTGCTGGCGCTTGTGAGAAGCTCATCCAATTTGGTGGGCAGGGATCATAGATTTGCAGGGTGAATCTATGGGAGCATTGTTCAAAATTCTTTCTCGCTAGGAGGCGTCTAATTTTTTTATTTTCGTCCCCCCCAGGTGGTGGTTGGCACAGAGAAGGCGTTCACGTATGACTATGTATTTGATCCCACTGTAGAGCAGGAAGAGGTCTTCAGTACTGCTGTGTCCCCTTTATTATGTGGGCTATTTAAAGGTAACTGCATCTTTAAAAAAATTAAATTAAGGGGGAGAAAATTACCAAATCAGCCAAGAGGTTTAGAGTCATGTTTTTTTCTTTTGTAGGCTACCACGCCACCGTGCTTGCATATGGACAGACAGGGTCTGGAAAGACCTACTCTATGGGGGGAGCGTACACATCGGCTCAAGAGAATGATCCCTCTGTCGGCGTTATTCCACGAGTTATCAGAACCATCTTTGAGGAAAAAGAAAAGAGGACAGACTGTGAATTCTGCATGGGAGTATCATATCTGGAGGTTGGGACTTTTTTGTGTTTGTGTGAATGGAGATTTCTTTGATGTTCGGAAATGTGTTTTTTTTTTTTTTGTTTTTTTTTTTTTTTTTTTTTAACACAGCCATTTTTGGTTTCCTTTTCTAATCACAGATCTACAATGAGGATGTTTTGGATTTGTTATGTACCTCTAAAGATAAACCTGCTATGAACATCAGGGAAGACCCCAAAGAAGGTATCAAGGTAAATGTTGGACACCCTTCGTCAAAAGTTTTTAGTCAAGTGGTAACAGACAATTTCCAATAATAATAATTTCCAATACAGTGATCCCTCGCTATTTCGCGGTTCGTTTATCGCGGCTTCAGTGCATCGTGGATTTTTTCAAACATATTTTAAAAAAAGTTTTTTTTGTTTTTGTTTTTGTTTTTTTAATATACATCGAGTACAGTACTGTATATGTGACTCAGTGTTGTTTTGCAGCTTCTCGCGGATCGTTTCCGGACTTTTTGCGGACTTCAAAAAATATATATATATATATAATTTTTTTTTTTTTTTTTACCCTGTATATGTTAATTGGTCGCTACTTCGCGGATTTTCGTTTATCGCGGGTGCTTTTGGTCCCCATTAACCGCGATAAACGAGGGATTACTGTAGCTATGTTTTGTTTGTCTGAAAGTCATGTCTTTCATGTTCATTTCCAGATTGTTGGGCTAACTGAGAAGCAGGTGGTCTCTGCTCAGGAGATGGTAAGCTGCCTGGAGCTGGGCAACTCCGCTCGCACTGTGGGCTCCACGGCGATGAACGCGGCCTCGTCACGCTCGCATGCCATCTTCACCATCACACTGGAACAGCGCAAAGGGAAAGACAAGTCAGTGTCATTTTGATTGTTTTGTTTGATTCTCAGTCACAGTTGTTCATCCGTATGTTGTTCACTTCAGATTTTAAATTACCTGGACAGGTGCAAGACACAATTTACTCAATCACGAGTCTAGATCAAGGGCTGGATTTATATTTGAAGAATGACAGATGACTCTGACTATTATTCAACTGGGTTTTTAAAAAATTGCATCTTTTATGTTATCTTTGCAGAGCCGACTCGGTTGTTTCCAAACTGCACCTTGTGGATCTGGCTGGATCAGAGAGGCAGAAAAAAACCAAAGCGGAGGGGGATCGTTTAAAGGAAGGTACAACACCTTGAAGCCTCTGCCTAGCGTAACCTTGAATTAGATAGTCACCTCGGGATGTGTGCTGTAGAATAAAATGACTGTGCCTTCAGATTGTGTCCCCAATAACATTTTCATTCTCAGGCATCAGCATCAATCGAGGCCTTTTGGCTTTGGGTAATGTGATCAGTGCCTTAGGGGATGAAAGCAAGAAAAATGCCTTTGTCCCTTACAGAGACTCCAAAATCACGCGCCTGTTACAAGGTAGGCTTTGATTTCTTTTCAGCGTCAGAAAATATCCTCCCTTTGAGGACCTTCGGATCTCTCTGCAAATATTTGGAACCAGTGATATCCATAATGCCCGTGTTGGCTTAATTGACACTTATATTTTTCATCTTCCAATTGTGTTCACTCAACAAGGGAAGCATTTGAGTTGGCAATTTGTTTTTCCTAAACTAAAAATGCATTTCTTTAACATTTTAAAAAGTGACAGAAATAACTATGAAATTTACAGCCACATTCACAGATAACCTACAGTACATAAACATAAATGACCTATTTGTTGTGTGTGACCAGATTCCCTTGGAGGCAACAGTCACACACTGATGATCGCGTGCATCAGTCCTGCAGACTCGAACTTGGAGGAGACCATCAACACGCTGCGATATGCTGACCGAGCTCGGAAAATAAAAAACAAGCCTGTTGTTAACCTCGACCCCAGAGTGGCAGAAATGAGCCGTTTAAAGCAACAGGTGCACCGAAAGCAGCACACATAGTACACAAGACATTCGGACCCCTTGCAAATGGCCAATGTGGTGGCCATTGAGTGAGAGTCCTAACAGTCTTTTTGTCCACAGGTTCAGGAATTGCAGGTGATGCTTCTTCATGCCCGTGGAGGAGTGGCACCAGTGCTCTCTGGGTAAGCAGGAGCGGAATTGTGTCATGATGGATATTGCTTGACAAAAGCTCATGTTTACTCAGTTCTGCTCATGTTTTCCCCCTCCCACACAGGCCAGAGTCTGGCGAGAACGTGAAAAGGTTAGTGGAACAGAACCGCAGTCTGCAGGATGAGAACAGCAAATTGAGCAAGGAGCTGAGTGAAACGGCAATACAAACCGCTCTCATGTTTGAGAAGATCATTATGGTGAGTGAAGAAAGTTATCTCCAAGGTTGCCGACCAATTAACAGGAGACTGTTGCAGTGAATTTGCATAAAATGTGATTAATTTGGGACATTTTTTCATTGTGTATTTAAGAAAAATCCCGATTTTTTTTTTTTTTTTTTTTTTTTGGCCTGTATTTTGTTATAGACTGAACAAACAAATGAGAAACTGCAAAGCAAACTCGAACAACTGCAGCGCCATGCAGCGTAAGATTTTCAATCTATATTGTGTATTTTCATTCATTGACTCGAGTTATTTTGTAGATGTCTCAAGGATGTGCTTGATCAATATTACAGCTGCAGAGTCGATCTTGAAAAAGTATTGGAGACACTTGAGGATCAGGAGTTGAAGGAGAACGTTGAGGTGATGAAGAACCTGCAAGATGTTATCTTGGAGCTCAAGGTATGAACATCGCCACTAACCACAAACATAAACATACTGTAATTTTCTTGTGTTCAGAAAATTGGTGAAAGAGAAGGATCTAAAACCAAGTTTAATAAGTTCGAATTTTTTTTTCTCCCTCTAAGCGCGAGAGTGCTGGCATTGCCGCCTCTATCGATGCCATGGCTGCAGGAGCAGACGCACCAGATGGATTGGGCACGAGCTGTACAAATGGAGTACACGAGTCCGCAGCCGTAAGTAGATACAGTATATATATATTTTTTTGTTTCTCCCTCTCCTCCCTATAAAAATATTCTGTGTTGTTTTTATTCCATAACCTTAATTTGTGCTTTTCAAAGAATACCTGTTTTTTTTCCCCCCGGTGTTTTCGAAATGGAAAGTACACTGTGTCACCCACCTTTTCACATTAGGAAAGCAATGCAACGGCTGGCAAGAACTCACTCGATGGCTTCACAGCCCATCATGCGCTGCAACAGGCCCAACTGTCAAAAGAGCTGATCGAGCTGAACAAAGTGTTGAGCTTGAAGGAGGCATTGGTCAAGAAGATGTGCCAGAATGATAGCCAGCTGGAGTCTGTGCAGTCAGAGCAACAGGTGAGAGAAGTTGATCGACTGGTGATGTCATTCTGCATTTTAAAGTTGGAAGGGGGGGAGAATGTTCACACAGTGTATGATTTTGTGTTTTTTTTTTATTTTTTTTTTTTTCACTTTTATACTTTGAGCAACAGGTGAGAGAAGTTGATCGACTGGTGATGTCATTCTGCATTTTAAAGTTGGAAGGGGGGAGAGTGTTCACACAGTGTATGATTTTGTGTTTTTTTTATTTTATTTTTTTTCACTTTTATACTTTTGGGAAAGATCACATCAAAATTTGACATATGACATTTAACCCATAGAATAATATGCAGGATCTGCAGATGGCTGTGAATTCTTTGCAAAAGGAGAAAGAGGAGCTTGTTTTGGCACTTCAGTCCGCAAAGAAAGACACCAACCACGCTAAGTACGCTTTCAGATGGGCCACCGGGGATATTTATCCAAAGGCATTACATTTTCACATCCTGAAAGCCCTTATCTCACTGAGCGGCGAATGTTTTTAAAAGGCAGCAAATGTTGCATTCTCGCCCGTACTTTTCTTGTCTCCAGGAAATTTTGAACAACTGCCTTGCAATGAGAAAACTCACCAAAACTGTTGGCGAACATCTGGCGAATGTTTTGCAAATATTTGCAACCTTGAACGCACCCCTGAAGATCTCTGACCTGAATGTGCATTTTGCTAATTGTTTGCTCCTCAGTGGGACAGTGGCTTTCGTGATGGGTTAAGACTCTCCCACTCTTCCATCCTCATCTGACTTGCACACTTCTCCCGTAGGCTGAGCGAACAGCGCAGAAAGCGCCTGCAGGAGCTGGAGGGCCAGCTGGTTGACATGAAGAAGAAGCTTTTTGAACAGTCAAAAATGCTCAAACTCAAAGAGTCTTCTGTTCAGAAAGTTAGCAAGCTCATGCAGGAAATACAGGTGAATTAACACACACACTAAACATCAACTCATTGGGGTCTGCGGTATAGTATTGCAATCATATATAGTGCTGCTTCATTGTCATAAATGGCAATAGATGGAAGTCGTGCGTTTTTTTTTGGTTTGTTTTTTATTTAAAAAAAATTTTTTTTTAATTAAGTGACTCAATTTCTCATGGTCCAAAAGTGAACTAATATATTGTCCCTGCAGGCGATGAAGTCCCAGCGTACACAGCTAATGAGGCAGATGAGGGATGACTCAGAGAAATTCAGACTCTGGAAGAGTAAAAAGGACAGAGAGGTGCTTCAACTGAAAGAAAAGGTACAGTACATGGATTGTCTGCCATAGTGCCAGGATGATCACACATTTTAATCAAAAATAATGTCTACTTTTTACAGGATCGTAAACGTCAATATGAGTTGCTTAAACTCGAGAGGGATTTTCAGAAACAGGCCAGTGTCCTGCGTCGGAAAACGGAGGAGGTGAAGTTTGCTGTTTACTGTGCAATTTCCCATGTGTGGGCTGCACAAAATTACACATTCAGTTAACGTGTTTCGGATAACTGAACAGCAACTGTGAATGGTTTGACCAACAGGCTGCAGCTGCAAACAAGCGACTGAAAGTTGCTCTGCAGAAACGAAGTGAAGTCGTAGAGAAACGTAAAGACTCTCAGAACAGAGGGATGGAGGTCGCTGCTGTCAGAGTGAAGGTAGTATTTGCTCCTCAACATTTTGTGATGATACTAACATCTTTGATGAAATCATTGCTGCCGCTCATCATTGGAGTAAAGTGTTCCTTCGTTCTGTATCGATACTACACTGCATGTGTCTTTTCCCCGTAGTTAATGTAGCCCACGGGATGTGTTTCTTCATGTGATCAGAATTGGTTTCTCAGTGAGGTCGAGGTTATGGTTAGCACAGAAGAAGCCCGGCGTCACCTTAACGACCTTCTGGAGGACAGGAAAGTCTTGGCTCAGGAGATAACGCAGCTCAAGCAGCAGATTGATGCCGGCGAGCGACCCGCTGCCAAAATCAGGGTGAGTTATAAATCCCTTGTGTGGGGTTAGATGTCCTTATGTGACTTCCCGTTTTGTTTTGAGATGCATTTACTATATTATCCGGTGTCGTCTTTCCGTAAAGCGTCGGACGCTACTCATCTCTGAATTGGAGACCCAGGGGGCGCTGGAGACACCTCTGACCAAACAAGTGGAGAACTTGAAGACAGAAATGGAACTCAGGTGAGTCGTCAGGGAAACGGAATCAGTGAAAAATGAACTACAAATCTGTTCATTGGATCAGAACTATTTAGTCTCAAGTGACGCCCCCGAGGAGATGCGCAAAACAGGATGTTTGCTGCTCCATGTAAACACGACTCGAATTTATTTAATTTATGACCGATTTGCTATTTAACAGAGTGCCATTCATTATTTGAACAGGAATGCCCAGATAGCTGACCTTCAGCAGAAGGTCCTTGCCGCAGACACCGAGGGGCGTCTGAAACAGCGCATAGATGGCATCACAAGCATTGTTGATGCCAAGTGTGCGGTCAGAGTCCTGATGGCGGAGGTGAGGCTTGCTGGTTGGGGAGCGAAAATAAAACAATACACGCAGGCATTAACCTGTACAAAATGTCCTCGTGTCCTTTCAATGAGGACACATTTGTTTGCATAATGTAATAACTTCTATTATCAGACTATAATTTAGTTTTCAGGATTTATGTAATCATGAAATTCCCCTTAGGTGTCAAATGTCCTTGAATGTTTTTTGCTGGGGGGGGTCTGCCATTTCTTGCTTGGTATTTATTCTCTTTTTTTAATATCTGTCTTGAGTGAGAAATGTATTTAAAAAGAAAATTTTTAAAAAGCGTGTTTTTCTTCTTCAGCTGGTGTCGGCAAAGACGGTTGCAGCCAAGCTGGAGAGTGACCTCCATCAAGAGAAAGCCAATGGACAAGACCTGAGCAAAATGTTGGCTGATGAGCGAGAGGTGATGTCCACCATGGACATGGAGCACCAGCAGCAGCTTGTGGAATTAGAGCAGAGGCATCAAGACAAAGTACTCATCCTCCTTTTTGTTGTGTTTTTTTTATACATTTTATTTTTTAAAATCTTCTTTGTCTCCAGCATTTGTTTCTTCACTTCTTCCCCGCAGGTTCAGTGTCTCCTCAATCAACTCCAGAACAAACCTATTTGTCGAGAGTCAGATGAACCAAAGCAGAGAGATGAAGAGAACAACACAAAGGAAAAAGAGCTCCTGCAGCGTCTCAAAGTTCAGGTTAGTCCCTGCACAGTCAGAATTGTGAAAAAGAAAATGCGCAAGCATTCCTGAATAATTGGATTCCTCGCCTTAGGATGAGGAGCTCCACAAACTGCGTGTTCTGTGCGAGCAGAACCAAAACCTGGTGTTGGAGTATAGACAGGTAAGTGCACAATTTTATTCCAGGTTGTTATTAAGGAAATGATGCAAAAGAAAAAATGCTTTCAAGGGAATTTTGTATAGAGTTGGGGTATGGAATTTTAGAGCAGATTATTATTTTTATTTGTTTTCCGACGCATTGTTCCAACTTCGAAGTGGCTAATCCCTCAAAGAAAACTTCGCTATAGGAGGAGGGTGTACAATATGGCGATGAGCCAAATTGGGATTGTTCTTCTTGGCAGAGTGTCTGCTCTGCTGACTTCCAATCTAATGGCTACTGCCATGATGTATAATGATTTCAACTGGCAAGGAACTCACTCAATGATGGGTAACATCTAAGTGATCATAAAATGAGTTTTAGCCATAGTGAAGATTTAGTTTTTTGTTTTGTCCCCCCCTCACAGAAAGAGGAGGAAGAAGATGACTGGCATCCAGAGAAACCGGAGAAGGCACGCAGGACATCCAGGAAACCGAGAACAGGGGTAAGGACTGACTTAATTGCTTTGAGGGTGCTTTCAGGGAATGCTTTCACAAAGAGGTTATGCATTAGTCTGCATGTCTGTAAAGTCAGAAAAGTGACGTAATCATGTGACTTTCAATGTGATCACTTACATCAAAAAGTCAATGCGTATTTTTATTTATTTATATTTTTCCCCCTGTTTGTTTTTTTTAGTGTTCCTGCAAAGGCTGCTGTAGCAACAAGCACTGTCGTTGCCGTAAAGGGAAGATGACGTGCAGTGAGAACTGCCAGTGTGACCACGTGAAATGTCAAAACATGGACGAGCAGATTGTTGCTGAGGTTTGTCTTGATACAGTGATAATACACTCCCGCAACTCAACATTGGGTGCACCTGCAACACTCTGTAACCTCTTGGTACTAAGTTACCCAAAGAGGAACAAATTATTTGACCAGTATAATCCACTGTCACAATAGTCAACCTACTCTTAAATTACTGTTTTGTGAAGGCATTTGACATTTGATTAGCTTAACATTTTATTTATATAATACATACATACACACACTGATATGGCTTTCTTTTTCCATCCATACATCCATTTTCGGATCCGCTTATCCTTACAAGGGTCGCGGGGGTTGCTGAAGCCTAACCCAGCCGTCTTCGGGCAGTAGGCGGGGGGACACCCTGAACCAGCTGGCTGCCAGCCAATCGCAGGGCACACAGAGACAAACAACCATCCACGCTCACATCACACCTCGGGACAATGTAGAGTGTTCAATCAGCCTGCAATGCATGTTTTTGGAATGTGGGAGGAAACCGGAGTACCCGGAAAAAACCCACGCAGGCCCGGGGAGAACATGCAAACTCCAAAACAGGGAGGGCAGAGCTGGATTTGAACCCGGTACCTCTGCACTGTGAGGTCGACGTGCTAACCACCTTAGTACTGGGCCACGCTGGCTTTTTTTTTTTTTTTAAAACCTTTCAAAAATTTTTTAAGGTGGCCCGCAGGTTCAGTGTCTCCTCAATCAACTCCAGAACAAACCTATTTGTCGAGAGTCAGATGAACCAAAGCAGAGAGATGAAGAGAACAACACAAAGGAAAAAGAGCTCCTGCAGCGTCTCAAAGTTCAGGTTAGTCCCTGCACAGTCAGAATTGTGAAAAAGAAAATGCGCAAGCATTCCTGAATAATTGGATTCCTCGCCTTAGGATGAGGAGCTCCACAAACTGCGTGTTCTGTGCGAGCAGAACCAAAACCTGGTGTTGGAGTATAGACAGGTAAGTGCACAATTTTATTCCAGGTTGTTATTAAGGAAATGATGCAAAAGAAAAAATGCTTTCAAGGGAATTTTGTATAGAGTTGGGGTATGGAATTTTAGAGCAGATTATTATTTTTATTTGTTTTCCGACGCATTGTTCCAACTTCGAAGTGGCTAATCCCTCAAAGAAAACTTCGCTATAGGAGGAGGGTGTACAATATGGCGATGAGCCAAATTGGGATTGTTCTTCTTGGCAGAGTGTCTGCTCTGCTGACTTCCAATCTAATGGCTACTGCCATGATGTATAATGATTTCAACTGGCAAGGAACTCACTCAATGATGGGTAACATCTAAGTGATCATAAAATGAGTTTTAGCCATAGTGAAGATTTAGTTTTTTGTTTTGTCCCCCCCTCACAGAAAGAGGAGGAAGAAGATGACTGGCATCCAGAGAAACCGGAGAAGGCACGCAGGACATCCAGGAAACCGAGAACAGGGGTAAGGACTGACTTAATTGCTTTGAGGGTGCTTTCAGGGAATGCTTTCACAAAGAGGTTATGCATTAGTCTGCATGTCTGTAAAGTCAGAAAAGTGACGTAATCATGTGACTTTCAATGTGATCACTTACATCAAAAAGTCAATGCGTATTTTTATTTATTTATATTTTTCCCCCTGTTTGTTTTTTTTAGTGTTCCTGCAAAGGCTGCTGTAGCAACAAGCACTGTCGTTGCCGTAAAGGGAAGATGACGTGCAGTGAGAACTGCCAGTGTGACCACGTGAAATGTCAAAACATGGACGAGCAGATTGTTGCTGAGGTTTGTCTTGATACAGTGATAATACACTCCCGCAACTCAACATTGGGTGCACCTGCAACACTCTGTAACCTCTTGGTACTAAGTTACCCAAAGAGGAACAAATTATTTGACCAGTATAATCCACTGTCACAATAGTCAACCTACTCTTAAATTACTGTTTTGTGAAGGCATTTGACATTTGATTAGCTTAACATTTTATTTATATAATACATACATACACACACTGATATGGCTTTCTTTTTCCATCCATACATCCATTTTCGGATCCGCTTATCCTTACAAGGGTCGCGGGGGTTGCTGAAGCCTAACCCAGCCGTCTTCGGGCAGTAGGCGGGGGGACACCCTGAACCAGCTGGCTGCCAGCCAATCGCAGGGCACACAGAGACAAACAACCATCCACGCTCACATCACACCTCGGGACAATGTAGAGTGTTCAATCAGCCTGCAATGCATGTTTTTGGAATGTGGGAGGAAACCGGAGTACCCGGAAAAAACCCACGCAGGCCCGGGGAGAACATGCAAACTCCAAAACAGGGAGGGCAGAGCTGGATTTGAACCCGGTACCTCTGCACTGTGAGGTCGACGTGCTAACCACCTTAGTACTGGGCCACGCTGGCTTTTTTTTTTTTTTTTAAACCTTTCAAAATCTTTCTTAGGTGTGTTTATGCAATAATTTCCCTTATACATGTATTTTATTCCAGGATGAAAGCCTGAGCGAAAATGTTTCAAGAGACTCTGCCAGTCCAGACACCACGTTCTTCAATCCGCCATCTTGCACACCAACAAAGAAGGTCAGTGATTGCAATCTCAAACCTCAGCTACACATCATAGGTTGATGAAAACGAGTACCACACACACAAACACACTTGTAAATGATTGATGTAATCTTTCTTTCAGGTATTAGAGGAAATGGGAGACATGGGGCACGACACCACAGACCTAAAACTCGTACGCAAGCCTATCTTAAAAGAGGAGGACCAGGATGTGGATCAGGAGGAAGACAGAACTACAATAAGAATCCTCAAGAAGAAGAAACGACTCCTGACAAGTTTTCAGAACAGTTTTTTCTCTGGCTGCACTCCAATCACAGAGGAATCTTCTACTTCTATTTAGTTATATAAGTTACATATGTCTTTGTGAATGTGATCCGTCCTTTTATATGTGACTTGCAATCTCGCCGTTTGATTTTGTGGGTAGCAAAATGGACTGTGAGCAGTGTCCAGTTATGGACTTCTTATTGCACAATGAGATGATCGAGAAAGCTGCACATTTGAGGAGGGATGTCATGTAACAATGAGCACTCAAGGAATTTAGCCTTAGGTTTGGACTTCCAGTGGAGGATTTTTTTTAAATCTTTTTGATCAACTTGTACTTTTAGCGACAAAGGTTAATAAAATCTAACGGGTCAAATCTTGGTTTATTTTTGATTCTTAATAATGTTCAGGGTTTTTTTGTGATCTCATAATTTGTTCAAGTCTCCTTTTTATGACTTGTTTTTGACTAGCATTGAAAAACTAGACCCTAACTTTTTTTTTTTCCGAAATGAATATTTAGTACGGGCAACAGAGTAAGTGAATCTAGTACAGTACACTATAATGCAGTAGTATCTAAACAAAATACAGTGCAATTCAGTTTTGATTGAGGGATTCATTTAATAATACGTTTGGAGCGTACAGTGGCGCAGAACTGGACTGCATCATACCGAAAGCTGCTCCTCATGTATTTCCTAGGCGTGGAAAGGGGGAAAAAAAAAGCATGAGTCATTTATGGTTCAGTTATATCGTACATCACTGCAACCACAATAACAAAACATTATTTCAATGAATTTATACCTCTGACAAAAGCAACATACACTTTTTTTAAAACATATCCACTCAGATGTCGTTTTTTTTGTCATTGCTGTGTAATGTGTTCTGATCACTGACTGAGCAAAAGATCAGTTTGCATGCAGTACATATACCGGTACTGTATGTCTTAATGAGGCTCACTGACTATTTATTATTTGCAGGCAAAGGTTTAAGTCTATATCTTCCAAATTTTGATTAGTTTGTTTACATTTGAATATTCCTTTCATTTCTACATCCGTTATCCTGCTTGCTCTCCGGCAAAGTTATGCACCGGTAGTATCTATCTACGCCTTTTTAAACACAATTCAATCCGACTGTGATAATTTTTCCATGAATCACTTTCACTTTGCACACAGCTAAAGAGAACATCTGTTATTAGCTGTTGTAGATAGAATGAAATTAAACTATTTTTTAAAATAACCATCACTTAAGATATCGCACCTTCAAGTTGTGACCAAGTGCTGAGTTTTGTGAGACCACAGATACCAAAAAGTTTGGTTGCTGCACCACCGTAACCTTGAAACTTGTTATATTAACTCAAACCATCAACTCTTAAGTACAGTGTTTGAAATACTTAGAGTGAACTGCAGGTGTCATGAATTCCCTTTGCTTTTCATAGCAATTGTAATGATTAAGTGTAAGGTGAAAGGACACTTTTGATTCTCTCCTCTTTCATCTAGAACTCCTTCAAATGACAGAGCGCATGAGGGAAAGGCGGTTAAGTTTGCACGACTGTCCGTGTTTTTATGTTATGTGTTGTGTTTATTATTTGACTTTATGTTAACTGTTTTGTGAAGCGCTTTGTTACAGCTGCAACTGTTGTGAAAGCGCTATATAAATCAGGATGTAATGTATTGTAAGTTTGACATGACATATCGGCGAAAGTCCTCATACAGTATTGAACATTCATGCCAGGGATCTCACACAAATCTTTTCACCTATGCATTGCTAGATAAGATACACAGTAAATATCTGTCTTGTACACAGCAGACCACCATACAGTGCCTGTTAAGCACATTTGCTCATTGCTCAGAAAATTACAGACTTACTGATGTGATGCGGGTGTACGCCACTGCTAACTATATCTTGTTTCCTTTTGGAAAAAATGAGCTCATTGAGAACAGCTCTGATTGGAGTGACACATGTGACCTGCTCAGCAAGTTACTGGTGTTATCTGGTGTAAATTGCATCTGAAATGATGACCATCAATCCAAAGGTGAAAGACAGTGATTTATCAGCGTCACACATTATTGCTGTGCACATAATCCCTCTCCTCAAGGCGTTGGACTCTGCACTCAAAGCATTGCCATGCCTTGAACTTAAAGATAAGATAACCCCGAGAATATGAATGAATATTTACAAGAATGTGTAAATATGACTTCACTTTGAAGGAAAACATTTCAAATTTGCCTCGGTGTTTAAGCTCCAGCTTTGCTGCTTTTGTTTTGAACCGTTGACTTCATCCACCCTGAAGATAGAAACACAGTCTCCTGTTTATGACAATATACATTCTGTTTCGTTATGACTTTGGTGGAGACTTTTTATTTGTTGTGTCATCTGATAACAACTCAATCTTAGGCTGCAGGCGCTCATCTGACACGTTTAATATTAATAGCTGAGACACACCTTGAACTCGTGCAACTGTAAAATCTTGTGTTGACTCATCATTTTACAGCGAGTGTGTTTTAGTCATTCGTGGCTTTTTGGGCTCTAAAAAACAACAACAACATATTTCCACATCCCCGAGCAAACTAGTTAATTGCGCGCCGTTTGAAACCTTTATACAAGTGATCGACCCAAAATGGCTCCATGACCGACTTTTCGATCTCAACCTACCTATTTGGAATTATTGATCTAAAGGATTACCCTCATTCTTTTGAGTGGTTTTACTTGATTTTATTTCTATTTCACGCGGCGGAATAGTGATGACGACGTCTGCCTCAAGGTTGGAATCTCTGTGGAATTTGCATGTTGGTGCTTGCGCTCCAACTTCCTCCCACATTGAAAAACATGCATGTTAGGTTCATAGAAGACTAAATTGTCCACCGGTGTGAAAGTGAATGTGAAAAGTTGTTTCAAGCCTGCGATTGATTGGCAACCAGTCCAGGGTGTACCCCATCTCTCCCCCACAGGCATGGATCCCATCTCACCTGTGACAAGGACAATCCTATCGAAAATGAATGGTTTTGATGATATAAAATAATCATCAATGAATTTGAAAACTGCTTAATTGTCGATTAATCAATTAATTGATGCTCATCAACTTTAATAGTGTAAATAGTGTTTTTTTTTTGTCGTTTTATTAGAATAACTTGGAAGTCAAACCACCGTCACAGAGGAGATCGTGTTCAACTTTAGAGGTTCCATCAAACACCCCCCCCTACCCCCACCCAACACAATCTCATCAATTTATTGTGCTCAGTGATCACAGGTCACTTTAAATTGATATGATGTCGTGCCCCCAATTGACCATGGGCGTTCATGGGCGTACAAGAGAGCCCAACGCAGCAAAAATGTGGATCATGGGCTCAACTCACATGCTAAGTGGCTGTAAAAAAAAAAAAATAGCATGTTTGCAAACATCTACTGAGCTGCGATAGCCCATCAAATGACTCCTGACAGTGGATGAACTCGTGAGGCGTTCAGTGGATTTTTTTACAGCAAGGACAAAAGAGATGCACTTGAAGCTGGCCCTTCCCTGTGTCAGTCAGCGTGGAATCAGGATGTTGGAGAGGGGCAGGGCACAAGGCCTGTCAAATATTTACAGCTCTTGTAATCATTAACCTCCCACCAACCCCTGATATCTTAAACCGGTGCCTCGGCCTGGTTGTCATTCCTGCTCTGCCATGACTAACTTTGACACCAAAATGGCAGCTCTTCCTTCACCACCTACACCCTTGTCCACCCTTGAGCTTGCCTGTTCAGTTTTCTTCATCTTTTTCTTCTTCTCTCCAGTTTCTCTAACCTACTGCTGCGGCCTAAATGTGGCCGTGGGGTAACACGCTGCTACACTCCAAACTTTGGCCTCATGTAACACCTCTCGGTGAGTACAACTCAAATCGTTTGTCAGCATTTCAAACTAACGTGAACACATCTGATTACTTTCTTCACAGGGATTACGAACAACGTTATTGTTATTATTTTAACATGAGAGATTTTTTTTTTGTATGAAAGGAAACGTGTGTAACACAGGATGTTAAATTAAAAACTACATAGTAATATTTCAGAAATAATATTTAATTAATGTATTATAATTTTATTTTAATTGATTGGCCTGTGAACAGTTTTCAGGGCTTACCCCGCCTCTCATTTGTTTTAAAATCACATGGTGTAGCTTCACTCGTTATCCTGAACAGAACAAGCTCTTGAAAATAAAGAATGATTTACCGGTATTTATTTGCTTTCAGTTGCATTTCCCCTAAATACATCATGTTTGTTTTCCTCAAAGGAGAAGTAAGCAGATTAAAAAAACAAAACCGACAAAGAAGCAAAAGTAATTGTACCATTTTTGAACAATGTCAGCAGACTGAGTTTTTGACTGCAACGTCATCAAAGATATTGAGCGGGACAAAGAAGTAACATGTCACAGGGTTTCAAATAGAAGCGATTGAACATTGTAGAGAAACATAAATGTCAGCAGGAAGTGCAAAGCCTGCAGTTCACGGGTTAGACACGCCCTTATATTCACATATTGACAGGATTCCTCATGACTGCCACCATAAAATGTTATCTAGTCAAGCTTTGGCCCTTTGGCCACGCTGTTGGTTGACGTTGTCTATTTGAGGCAGTAAAACGGGGAGGAGGAAATTAGCAGGTCAAAGTCACCTACCAGAGGACCATCGTCGAAAGCAGATGAAATTCTGACTTAACCTCGGCGAATTTTGAACTTTGGTCTTCATGCGCTTGGTCTCCCGCTCTCCTCTTGGGTTTGTGGCGGGAAAGGGCGGCCTCGGTCTCGTCACAGATTTGCCTGGATGAGACTTTCGGTGCTCGCTGGATGTAACAGCAACTCCATGTGGATGTTGGATCAAGTTCCAGTGGAGGTGCTGTTACTTGCAGAAAGTTACCACAGATGACTACAGCGATTACTGTGAGCTAATTTGTTCAAAGGGTATTTAAAAAAAAAAAAAAAGAGTAATGGGGCACAAGGTGATGACCTATGAATTGACAGCCAGTGATGAGAACTTCTGCCTGTCATTTCTGTAGGCCACTGCTGTGTTTGTCCTTCAGAACAAAGAGTAGTTTCTTGCATTATCATTTTCCATGTATGAATTATCTTTGCAGGCCTGCGAGGAGGGCAGGAAGACGTTGCGTTGTCCTTGAATGATTGTTGACCATATCCCAATAAAGTTTGGATATTTTCCTTTCTGAGCTTTTACTGTATTTGTGTGGATGCAGGTTACTCCAATTGACTTCATTATTTTTCATATATTTCGCCCTGTTTGGTACCAACCCTGTTACAAATACTCAAACACCCCAAAATTTTTTGGGGAATATCGTTAACCATAATCACGTGAGTCACTTGCTGTATACAGTCAGCTTTGTGTGGAGAGGAAAGAGACATGACTTCCTTCCGTTTCCTTGTCCCGTCATTTACCTCATCTCTGCAGTACACGGGCTTCAAAAAGAGTTTTCGACTGGCTTAATGCATCCTGTTGACGAAAGTGGAGAACACAGCAAGAGCGGGCAACAGCAAGAGCACGCAACATTTCCCAACATGCAGGGGCCCTAGACGTTCACTGCTCTTACTTACAAGTCACCGGTATTACATTTGGTGTGGTATTCTATGTACATCTTTACATCCATTGTGCACAAGCCAATTATAATAGAATTTATTTTGGGTGTTTAGGCTGCCTCGGTAATCATTTGAATTTTCAGAAAATCTGAAGTTCGTAAATGTCTGCAAATTGCAGAAAGAAGAGTCATGAAAGAGAAATAGTTGTGATCAGATGATGAAAAACACTAAAATGCTGATTGAGGCAAACGTGTTGACATTTTTGTTCTCCAACTTCTGATCAAATCTATAGTTACAGTTTAGCATGCCTGTGGGGTTCATCGTGAGATGTGGAGTAAGCAAATGCATTCCTGATATCTTTAGTAAATATATCGTAATTATACTGTACTGTGCATCCACATACTGTACTGGTTGCCACTCAATTGCAGGAAGTGGTAACAATAAAGTACAGGGCAGGTGATCTGAACACATGCTATAATATGGCATTATAAGCACACACATGCAATTGGGGGATGTAAAGGACATGTTTTTTTTTTTTTAGTTTGTGGCAGAAATTGCTCTTGATATATTCCACAACGGGAATAACAGAGGGTTTTGGGGCAGAAAAACTGTACAAAACTTGGGGATATCATACCTGTGAATCTATCTATTTGCTTTTCTGACATTTAGATTACCTGAGTGTCGCAATTTAGTTCATTTCAAACAAAAGAATGCTCTTTGTATTAGAAGTGTGCTTGATAGGTAGATCCAATCACAGCACAGAATTGTGTTTACATTTATATAAATCATTAAATATCACAAAGTTTCTCCTCGGCGATCCGGTGGCCGAATGGTTAGCACGTCGGCCTCACAGTGTAGAGGTGCAGGATTTGATTCCGGCTCTGACCTTCGTGTGTGGAGTTTTCATGTTCTACCCGTGCCTGTGTGGGTTTTCTCCGGGTACTCTGGTTTCCTCCCACATTTCCTCCATCCAACAGTGGCAGGTTAATGGAAAACTCTAAATTGTCCCAAGGTGTGAGTGTGAGCGTAAATGGTTCTTCGTCTATGTGTGCCTTTCGATTGGCTGGCAACCAGTTCAGGGTGTACCCCGCCTACTGCCCTAAGACATCTGTGAAAGGTTACAGCACGCTCCACGTCCCTTGTGAGGATAAGCGGAAGGATGGGTGGGTGGATGGGTGGATGGATGGACCTTTCTCTTTGCCTTTATTGCAAGTGTTTTTGGTTGTCTCATTTTCCTGGTGTTGTACCATTGTTCTTTGTTGAATTTTGTTTGTCTTTCGACCTATTTTTGTTCGTAAACCTTTTTTGTCAATGTTTTTCGGGTTCACGTTTCTGGAATCCAATTCTGTCCGGATCTTTCCGGAAACCTGACAGGCATTTTATGAAGTTCGGTCCATTGACTTGCATTTGTTTAAGAGCCTAATTGACACACTCAATATGGCAGACGTGGTTACGTATGCCAGTAATGGCGCCGCACATTGCACAAACGAATTAGTAGACGACATCTAGTGGTAGAGCGGAAGAGGCGCATTTCCCGTCGATAAACGCGGGTAAAACGCAATTCCGGTTTTCAGAAGGAGGGCAACAGCATGGCGTCCAGCAGCGACATGCCAAATGCTAATGGACTAGAGAACGGGGAACCGGTGGTTAAGCGGCCACGAGAAAACGTCACGCCGGAGTTTCCGTTCCGTTCTCCGAAAGAGCCTGCGAACAAAGTGACTGTGGTGCTCGGAGCTCAATGGGGGGACGAGGGAAAAGGAAAAGTTGTGGATCTGCTCGCAATGGATGCGGATATTGTGTGCAGGTGTCAGGTACCAGCTGCGTTCATACTCAATATTACACTTGACACATAAACGAAACATGACATTCATATATCCTTCGACGAATAAAACGGTAAACGGGTAGAGGCCAGAGAAAGTCGTTTCGGATAGGCAGTGGTTAAATATTCCTGACGTCGTTCGGAGGTTCCGACACGCTGCGATGCTAGCCTGGTTTGCTACCATGTGTTCAACGGTAGATCAAAGCCGCCTCGTTTGAGGGAAACGTGTTGTGCGCAGTGCTACTCTGTCCAAAGAGTGTCTTGGTAGAAGTCATATTGCACAAAGTGCTCCCCCCCCCCCATACGGGTTCTGTGAAATGAAATGACGTAACACAGCGTGCTTTCTCAGTTCCCGTTGCGCATGATGTGGCGTTTACGTACCCTTCGTGATCGGAACTCTGAATTTTTGTTTTTCTCCAGGGTGGCAACAATGCAGGTCACACTGTGGTCGTTGACTCGGTGGAGTACGACTTCCACCTGCTGCCCAGTGGCGTCCTCAACAAGAAGGCTACCTCCTTTATTGGTATATTGGTTCTCTAATTTATTGTGACTGACGTTAATTTTCAGGGAAGATGAACACACTACTGTACAAAAAAAAAAAATCCCACGACCCTTCATTGCTGACACAAAACACACTTCATTGAAGACAAAAATATTTTAAAGAGAATTTTTAAAGAAAAACTACATTAATCTGGTAGCATAAAACCTGCATACTAATACGTAGTTTTTTTGTTGTTGTTTTGTTTTTTTAGAAAAAGCAAACAGGACACTTGACAGTGCGTCACCATGTGTTATGTAAAAAAGATTGACACAAATGTAGCTGTATTTCTTCTAAATATTTAATATAAATATTTAATGTTGCAGGCAATGGAGTTGTCATACACCTCCCAGGGCTGTTTGCAGAGGCACAATCTAACCTGAAGAAAGGCAAAGGTAGTTTTCAACCGTTTGTATAAATATGCATTTGACTAGTTGTCATGTTCAGTAAAGCATTTTTTTTCCTTCACATGTAGGATTGCAAGGATGGGAAGATAGACTCAAGATTTCTGATCGTGCACACATTGGTGAGTATATTTTTTGTCTGAAGTCTTTTTAAATGTAAAAGTGTCTTATTGCGGGTCCCTCGGTCCACCTCCAGTTTTCAACTTCCATCAGGCTGTCGATGGCATTCAGGAGCAGCAGCGACAGCAGCAAGAAGGGAAAAAGTAATTTTGCTCATTATTTAAAGCACTGATGCCTGAATATGTGTCATGTCTGCTGGAGGGAGTATTTTCTAAATTGACTTTGTTTTATTTACTGTTGCGTGTTTATCTTTGCTGCAGTTTGGGAACGACCAAAAAAGGTATTGGCCCTGCCTACTCCTCCAAAGCTGCTCGGAATGGCCTGCGTGTCTGTGACCTTGTCTCAGATTTCAAAGTCTTTGAGGACAAGTGAGTAGCAGTGTGTATGCATACAGTTGGTTCAAGTTTGGGGTTTTGGAACACTCAGAGACCCCACACATGAGGAAAAAGCCAAAGTCTGTTCCTATTGCTCTGGAGTAGTAGTGGTAACTGAAGCTAGGCTAATTATTAACTGTAAAAAATACTCTAATAGATGTACAGAATCAACTTCTTTTATTATAATACAAATTCTGGAAAGTAAAACATAACTTCAAACTTTTAACATGTACTTTGGAGAGAAAAATAATCATACAGAGCTTTGTTGCTAGCTTTTTTTTTTGCGCTATTAATGATGATAATAATAATGCATCTGCGAGGCATCTTGGTTGGCATAGCATCGCTTATACTTATATGAATACGAATGAAGGCATTAACTGGAATGTGTGTGTGTGTGTGTGTGTGTGTGTGTGTGTGTGTGTGTGTGTGTGTGTGTGTGTGTGTGTGTGTTTTTTTTTTTAAGGTTCCGCATGTTAGCAGAGCATTTCTTGACAATGTATCCAAACCTGAATGTGGACATTGAAGATGAACTGGAGCAGTTAAAGGTGAGAGGTGATGGAGTCATACACAGTTTTACTCTGTTGTATCGGGGTTCATCATTTGCGTTTTCATTTGATTGTAGCTTTTTAGGCAAATGTGTTTTTGTGTGTGTGTGTGTGTGTGTGTTTTTTTTTTTTTTTTGGTGGGGGTGGGGTAGTGTATACAGGCAAATATGAATATAGAGTTGTGCGCTTTGAATGTACAGTCGAACCTGTTTTCAACATACCGTTTGTCATCGGCTGTGTACGTAAGTGACTGTTTTACAGTAAACTTCAATTGGTCGTGTGGGTAAAGTTGGAGCGCCAAAACCAACAAAATGTTTTGATGTATGGTCTTGAGAACCCTCGTTTCAAATGGCGTTGAGATTTGTTGTCCAAACCTTTTCAAAATAACTTGCGAGGTACACTCTGAGTTCAGTTACTGATCATTACCTCCTTTATTTGTACTTAGCAATGTATATTACTGTCGTTGATTTGTGATTCCAGTAAGATCAGAAATAAATTTCCAGACATGTTACTATTGGGTCTTTCAATTTGTCAATTTCTTCAGGGATATGCAGAGCGACTTCGCCCTCTAGTGACAGATGGTGTGTACTTTATGCACAAAGCTCTTACTGGCCCCAGTAAGAAAATCCTGGTGGAGGGGGCAAACGCCGCACTGCTGGATATTGACTTTGGTGAGTGCCAGGAGGATTGAGGATTTAATCGAGCTGACGTATTAGATGTTTTTGGCTCCTTTAGCTAATAGACATGTCTCCACTCAGGCACATATCCTTTTGTGACGTCGTCTAACTGCACCGTCGGAGGAGTGTGCACTGGACTTGGCGTGCCGCCGTCACACGTTGGAAGAGTGTATGGCGTCGTCAAGGCCTACACCACCCGAGTGGGCGTTGGCGCGTTCCCAACAGAGCAAGATAATGTGAGTCATGATGCATTTGAGGACTGGTTTTAAAAAAATATATTCTATTACGGTGTGTAGATGGGGTTCCTGCGGATCCTTAAAAACTGCATCACATCTATGAATCTAAAAACAAGGCCTTATTTAAAATGTCTTCAAGCCAACAGTGCATTTTATCTTACAGGAGACAGGGGCACTTTTACAATCGCGAGGTCGCGAGGTTGGCGTGACAACGGGTAGAAAGCGCCGCTGCGGATGGCTGGACTTGATTCTGGTCCGATATGCTCACATGGTCAACGGCTTCTCCGCGTAAGCACGCGTCACTTCTATGAAATTTCTCCTCTTCATTGTCACAACTGAACTCAAGAGCCTTGAATTTGCAGCATCGCCCTGACCAAACTGGACATTTTGGACACCCTGGCGGAGATCAAAGTGGGCGTGGCCTATAACGTCAACGGGGAACCTCTGCCAAGTTTCCCAGGTAAGTGACGAGCCCTCAGATTAATGTCTGCCAGCAGTAGGGCTGGGCAAGGCAATGATGTAAAAAACACTCACCGTTATTTTGATAGATATTGGAATCACATTTAACAAACACCATTATTCATTGATTTCAAAACTTAGTATTTATTCAACTATTTGAATAATATATTCAAATCCAACTTCACAAGCTGTGTCGCCTGAAGTGCGCATTTTCGCCCGCATGATGTCTGGTGCGACTCGACCTCGCATGGTTTCTAGATTCACATTAAGCCTCTGCAAATCCGCCACTGTTTGTTGTCCATGAATGCTAAATGAGGAGGAGCTATTAAAGGCGTCGATGGATCCTCAGCCAAATTGTCTTTCATTTCATTTCAATTGTCTTTGGATCCTCAGCCAAATTGTCACCACGCCATTCAGTGCATACATTGTTATTATTCTAAATGCTTTCCTTTTGAGCTCTTTTTTTGCTGTCTGACTTGCATGTCACAAAGCGAGCCTTTATAAACTTGGGTGGTTTTTGGTCATGGTGCAGCAAACATGGACGTTCTGACGCGTGTCACCGTGGAGTACAAGACCTTCCCCGGCTGGTGCCGCAGCACAGAGGCGGCCCGCAGTTTTAGCGAGCTGCCGGTGCAGGCGCAGAACTACATTCACTTCATTGAGGACTTTCTGCAAGTGCCAGGTTTGTAAAATCTCGTTCTGCATTACCGAGGAGGGCCACAGACGCCGATGCACATTCACACGTTTATTTGACGAGGCAAACGGGTCAAATGCAAATGACCTTTTGTTCCTTCTTGTTTCAGTGAAGTGGGTTGGAGTGGGCAAGTCCAGGGAGAGCATGATCAAACTGTACTGATCTGTGGACACAGTTGCTGTCTTCCATATTTGTGGCCAAGACGATGTCGCTTTGCCATCATTTTAGATGTTAACTCCCATCATAATGGAAGTCTTTCACCAGCCAGGATCCAAGTGAAACGTTTCTGTCTCGCAGCTATCAATACTGTAATCCTTCACGAGTGAACTTATACGTTCCATCTGATGTTTCTGTGTTTTCAGGGTGTCAAGTTTTAAAAGTGGGTCTTCCCACTCATTCCTTCTCCTGGTGATTAAACCCCTTTTTTTCCTTTTTTTTTTTTTTTTTTTAAAAAAGCAGTCTGCTTACCCTTTAACAAATGTTCACACATTTACTGGGTTGTTAGGAGTATCAGACTTTTTTGTTTTTAACTGGGGCGCATTAATGGCAACATGAAAACCTATTATGGAATATCTGAAAAGTTTTTCCGGGGCTATTTTAAATACATTGAGGTTGTTTGTAACAGTGATTGTTGGAGTGAATAGTGTGATTTTGGAAATCATCCTTAGTACAAAAAATATATATAACAAATGATGGTTTCAAATAAAGCTTTCCATGCCATAATTTTTGACAAGAAAAAATGTTAATGTAAATGTAAAAACAAAGAATGACTTATAATAGTTCATCCAAATAAGTTTCTTATGCCATTGTCAATAAATGGAAACTTTAAACTCTTTAAAGGTCTTATTTCTGGTTTGAGTGATTTAAACCAATAATCCTAATTATTCTTCTTAAAAGCCCAGTGTTTTCTTACAAGAAATCTGTAGAAGTATTCACCCTTCCAGTATTTTTCTCCTTTCAAATCCTCATGTGTAAAGCCCTCTGTGTAAAAGCTTTTCGATGCCTGGAGGAATTAGATTAAACCCTAAAGTGGTTTCCTCTGGAGATCGATGCCGAGGTGTAATTTAGTCCCGTCTCTCTTAATGCAACCAAGGCCCAATACAGACACATAATTTATTTTTTTTTTGCACTAAAAGTGATTCACTCTTCAGTTTCGATCTTAGTTAATCGTTACAATTGAAACTACTGTAAATGTCTTTTTCTTTTGTTTTTTTTTGCAATTGAATAATTTGGTCCTTTACAAGTTTTAACGATAGTTTTACCTTCGAATTGTATTTAATAATCCTGAGGGGGTAATTGCACTTAATTTCAGAAATATTGTTTTCTTGTCATTGGAGCGGAGAAACAATACACACATGCATCCTCCCAGAAAAGCTTACCTTTTAAAATCCCCGAAAAGCAAGATTCAGTTTTGTCACACAATACCATTAGGAAAATGGTCTCTTCATGCATTTTTTTTCTTAGTGCACCTTCACTTAAATGAGCAAAGATGCAGACGTTTGCTAACCAATCAATTTCCAGCCTCGAGAAGTCTGCATCATCAAAAATGATAGAAAGAAGAGCGCACAGTTGATGTCTTAATTGAAAATAAAGTGCTCCTAATTGCATGGTCGTCAGGGCCGCCCTCCTTCCTCTTATTTACCGCCATCTTCCTTAGTAAATGTCAACACATTTCTGAATCGGCTACCATTTTTTTCTAAAATTCCTGTCGAGCTTTTTCACAGGTGTTCTTTGAGCATCATTTCCGTTTCTCTTCACTGGATGGACTATAAGCACAAGCGTGTGGAACTGAAGCTAAAAATCGACAAGTAAGGATATTTTTTTTTTCATTTGTTTCATGTGGGATGCCTTTCTCTGTGTCCTAATTGCAAAAACAAATACATTTGAAGATATTGCCGCAGTACAAGTTGAATACTGTAGTTGGTACCTTTAAGGGACTTTTTATCTGTATCATATACATTAATCGATTTGCATTTTGACAATTTATGACTTCTGAAAAGGACCTTTACAAGAAGTGACGGTCTCTGCTTTCGTGTTTTTGTCCTGCAGCATTCCCACAATTTCCATTAATTTTCTATTTCAGTTCAACTGTATTGTATTGACCCAACTTGCCTCAGCTCTTTGCACTTCATATGGACTTTTGTGAGAAGACAGAGAGACAGACAGTCAATCAAAGGCAGACTGGATGAAGTCAGATAAATGTATTTGTCTTGCACGTGATCTGTTGAGTGCATGAAATAAATCCAATTTCATCTAAGTACGGTGCCAGGATGGAAATAACATTTTGTACAACTGCAGTGCTGTTTTTGCAGCCCTAGATTTTGCTTTATATATGCGCATGTGGGATCACATTGGTAAGCTTTGATCACTTTAACAGTATTGCAATAAGAGCGATGCGATACCTGGGAAATCGTTGTCATCCAAAACATAATTATGCTTTTGCAATTGACAGTAACCCTAATTTTGGATCAGCACTGCCAAAGAGGATTTCAGCTGAAAATTTGATATGGTTCTAGTTTGTAGGTCAAAGTTTACGGCAGAAAATTTGCATTTAATCATTTGTTAACTTTTAAATAATGAGTATTTGAACAATCACATTTAAATTTACCATTCTTAAGCAAATAATCGTATCCTAAAAATGGTTTAGTCCTCATACATAGACTTTGACACGACTGTCCTTATCAATCGGTCCTACTACGCTCTCCATTTCTCCATATATGTACAAATTTAGGCTCGGCCTGCGCCAGTTTATTACACAGCACAGGAGATGATGTTTATAGACCTGCATCTGACATGGGGTGGGTGGGGTGAATTAATTGTGGTAAATTACTAATTTGTGGGAGGCCACAAAGTAGGTATAATGTGCACACGAAATGTTAATTTGTGCTCCTGAAATAGCTGTGACATTGTATTAGACAGCTGGATTAAAAACAAAAACAAAAATCAAATGCTTCATCTCTGGAGATGGTAAGGTGGAGGGAGAAGCTGGGGCTAAAAACGATGGACGGAAATAGATATGATCGAATTTTATTTTCGGCTGGGGATAAGCAGCAGAGACATTTTCAAAGATCTGGAATTGCAAGCCATTGATGGGAGGAGAATAATGAAAGAAACTTAATTTAAGGACATCGTGAACTGGAGTTGCTGGTGTATGAGGTGCACTCCATTTGCGGACACAGACAACAGAATTTTCTGCGCACATAACGTCTCACAGCCAAAGAACTACATTGAAGTCAGTTGATGAGTTTCATTTTGAGAAAAGTAAGGCTCAGTTCCTATTTTAGGGCATACACATTGATTTGGTTATGGTTAAAAAAGAAATAGAAATATATATGGCACTTCAAAAGTTGTTTCTTGTAAACACAAGGTCGCAATTGTTCTTTGGCAGTGTGAGGGTCAGTCGTGTGATGTGCAGAGGGGAGTCAATTGTGGGGTTTTTTTTGGCTTTTGTCCAGTTCAGTCAGGCCTTAGAAGCACGACAGTCACCAACTTATCAGCTGTGATTGTGCTTTACATTTGACACACACACACTCACATTCTGGTTTCCGTATGTTGTGGAGACCGTAGGGACACATTGGCGCTCTTTTGTGGACAGCAGTCGTTCTGCTTTTTTGAGGTTACAATGCCGGCTTGAAAAGCGGGCGGGACTTTGTGATGACTACAGCTGACAATGACAGGCTGTGGCCATCGCGACGTTCCGGCCTCTCTGCCTGCTGTCTTGAAGCTCAACATTGGAAGTCTGCCTACAGGCTTCTTATCCTGGACACTTTGCACACTCACACACAGACAGCTACTAAAATAAGCGTGCGACTCACTGAATTTGCGTTCAAGCACACTTTGATTGACATTGACATTTAATTTCTCATTATTGTACGGAATGCAGTTTACAGAAATAAACAGTAGTACAGTAGTAGTACTCTCGACCAGATGAACAGCTTAATGCACTCAATGCATTTCAAACGAACTGTCAATGGTTCTTGTGAAGAAAAACAAAACAAAACAGTATTGTTTCTGTAATTTTCGGCCGCTCTTTTGTGTTCAATTTAAATTGCGCATTGTTCACATGAAACTGACTGTGACTTGAGTGTGTGAAACAGTCGCATCCCAGTTAGTTTGATTGAATCTTCTCCTCCTCCATGTTCTCTATGTTGAAACATCCATCCCTTAATTTGAGCGTCTGCAAAACGACACACACACACACACACACACACACACACACACACACACACACACACACACACACACACCATGCATGCTACACTCTGACGACACACACACACACACACACACACACACACACACACACACACACACACACACACACACACACGGCATGTTCCATTCTGCTCTCCCCTCTGGAGATAAACAGGTGGAAGAGCTACTAAGTGATGTCTGCCATCTAGTGGTGAATGGTGATATTACAATATTACAACTTAACAGGCATGGTGGGGGGAAGCCTTTTGTAATGTTGCCTGTCCCTACACACATGCGCGCACACACACACACACACACACCCCACTACAGCAATTCAATCAAGCAGTATGTGAGGTTATTGAGACAGCGAGGCTGAGCTGGCTCCTGCAGTCGACACCGATCAGACCCCAGTGAATCCCGGCATCGATCCTGCCCAAATACTGTATCGACAGCCAGGCAAAGAGGTGACCACGTGATGCAATGTCCATTTCGTCATTACATTTCATTGTGTGGTGCTTTTTCTCTCTTTGAGCTCACTCTCTTAGTCTCTCATCCACCTCGTAATGTCAGCTTGATTGAGTATTTTCTCCTCCCTTGTGGGTTCAGCAACAGCCTCCCTCCTCACCCACATTCACGCACACACACTCACGCTGTCTGCGCAGGCACCCAGCCCATATGTGACCGCCTCAGCTCATCAGTTTGTTGCTGCATGAGGCGACTGCAACTCTGGCTTCTTATTATTCTTCATTTTTAAGGTAGGTGCACTTGTAACAGTGTACTGAGCACATTACGGAACCCCTCAGGTGTTAATAGAGGACTATTACAGCCATGGCTCGCATGCAGCTGCATCAGCAACATCTGCAGTGCTGTTGGCACACAATACGAGCCACATTGTAATTAGCGTGGTCGGGTGGTGTTTAATCCCATTGTGTCACAGGCTGCTGTATATAATTGCTTTTGGTGAGAATGTTACACTCATGACATGTCATGAAGCTGCCTGGCTGTGTGAGTAGTGTGATGTGAACTTTTTTGCTGTAATCTGCTCTATTTGATGTCTCTTGATTCATGTTATCAAGTTGAGAGAGCTGCTGGCTAAAGAGTGTCGGTTTTCAAAGACGTTCTGGATATGATCTAGTTGTTCCTGTTTGAGAAATGTACATGCATTCTCAACTGAAATTATTCTCATATTTCCAAGCAGGGTTCTCAGTCAAGACACTGCACAGGCTTCCTTTTACGCAATTTCATGAACTCCAGCTAACGTCTGTTGATGTCATTACTACACAATACACATGGCAATGACCAAAGATGCTTAAAAGTTAATATTGAGTTTGGAATGTAAATATCCGAAGTTGTATAACAATAGGCTTATTTTATCATCATTTGTGGTAGCGTGGAACTCAAGTGGTGTAATGGTGAAATACTCATGTCTTGTCAGTAGATGAGTGTCTTGCATTGTTGCGTTACAACCAAAAGGTGTGTGAGTTCAAATCCACACTGTTATGTGTGTGACATTGGAATATTTATCCCCCCCAGCAGTCCAAAACATCTGTCAGGGAATTGTTTGAGCCCATACGTCACCTTACGTTCAGCGCCATTGGCTCTGATACGCCTCCTCCATTCCAACAGTTGAAATGGCCGAGTGTGACTACGCCCAAAGACTGAGAATTGTCCATATTCCGAATGTCATTTGAATGGTTGCCTATTTGTGTAAACCCTGTGATTGACTGATGATCAATACAGGGTCAACCCCACCTCTCACACTTTGTCCAAGAATAGGCGACTATAGACAGTAACAATAATGTAAAAGATGAATGGAAGGATTATTAGCCAATTAATGGATGCACCACAATGCAGTGTCATTGTGCTGCAAGCGCAATGATCAACATGCTTTTAAATGATTGCCTTTCTGACTATGCACGTTAAAAGTGAGTATTATTTTCTCTCACGAGACATTTTTAGTCAGATCTGATTGCGTTGCAATAATGTATTCGAAACAGTGTCCAAGGAGTGCATCTCTGATTCAAAATCTCCTTTATCCCCCGTCTGTAGTGTCCCCTCCAACAGAGTGTGATGTGGATGGGCTCCCCAGTGGTTACGGATCAAGGGAGTCCATCCTCAGGCCAGGTGAAAAGAAAGACTGGAAAAGAAGAAGGCGTGGTCGCGATAACAGGTTTGTCGAGCTACTACGGCGACCTGTCTTTGTTTTGCATGTTCGTGACCACGTCCGTTTGTTCATTTGAGCGGTGATGATGTTGCTTCTCAGAAGGGCGGTAGCGGGCTCGAGTCATTGCTTTTTGGGGGTGTTACAGCTGCAACGGCTGGGATCCAGGCCACCCCAACACAGATCCTGGCAGAGGAAAATCGGGCCCCACATTTGAAGTGACCGGAAGTGCAGCCATGCGCTGCTCCACCCTGCTTGCCATCCTCACAGGGGTGCTACTCTACTTGGTGCTGGGTGCCGTGGTGTTCCGCGCTTTGGAGGCGCCGCTAGAAGAGGGCAAGCACAAGCAGCTGCAGGGGACATGTCAGGAATTCCTGATGAACTTCACCTGTGTTGGTGCTGACAACCTGCAAGCTCTCATAGAGGTATAGTGCAGATCATTTTATACTACCTCCAATCAACCAAATATAAACTAATGACAAAACATCAGTGAGGAGGGTACACCCTCGGAGTACCAGTTCAGTATTTAGCCCATTCTGTCCTTCAGAAGAACCGTAGTTCTCAGTTGTGTTCAGCAATGCAAAGTCCAAGTCAGTGTGGCCACACCACAATCGTTTGTGGCATCATGCATTCACCGTTCCTCCATTTACATACACACATAATGGAAAAGACTTTCTAACAAGGAAAATATTATTGAGTAGAAGAAAGCCAAGCAATAATTGGAATTTTTGTATTTAAAAAAAAAAAAAACATTTCCTAAAGTTGAGTTTGTATCAGGTTTCACCAAACAGGGTCAGCAAATGTATCAAGAGATCTTTCGTGGATCTAAAGGATTCCAAAGATGATTTTTTTTCTCATCTAGAGTAATATCTACAGTTTATGTAGGGAGTATAGAAGTGACCGTGTGGAAGTTGTGTTGTATTATTTTCCACTAGATTCAGTTCTGGACACATTCGTTATCTCTAGAAGAGTGGGTCTCATTTTGGGGGTCTGTGAGACAGTAGTTAGCGCTCGGCGAAAGACTCTGGAATAGATGATCATCTTAAATGGGATGAGGATTATGATGGGCTCTGCCCTGTAAGGGACACCATCATCTGAAAAGTTCAAGAATTGTTCTAGATCACAGGTGTCAAAGTCCAGGCCCAGGGACCAGATCCGGCCCGCCACGTCATTTTATGTGGCCCGCGGGTGCAAGTCATGTGTGTCAACTTTCATGATCCTTTGCTGAAATTTGTCCCGAAATGTCAAACTGTCATGAGTAATAAATAACGTTGAGATATTGCATCTGCCCTCCGAGGGAAGCCGTAACTCCGAAGTGGCCCGCGACAAAAAATTAGTTTGACACCCCCGTTCTAGATAATATGACACCATGTTTTAGAACATAATGGGTTTCAAAATGGCCTCTTCTCATTATACGACGTGCAAAGTGACATACACACACACACACACACACACACACACACACGCACACACTGTAATCAGAAACGTGTCTTTGATTGTAAGTAATGATATTTGCCAACTGTGAAATTCATCAACGTCATTTCTGGGAAAAAGCAAATAAATCAGGGAATATTATTTTTTTTTTTTCCCCCCATAATTCCATGGTAGGAAGTAGCAGAAGCCATCGGTGCAGGTGTGGATCCGAGCAACAACGCCTCCTTTGTCAGCCAGTGGAATCTGGCTAGTGCCTTTTTTTTCTCTGGGACAGTCATCACGACTATTGGTGGGTATACGCAAGGCCGCTAGAGACATCCTGCATGGCGACACGATAATTGTTTATTTTGATTGTACATATGCAGGTTTTGGAAACATCTCTCCAAAGACAGAAGGCGGCCAACTGTTTTGTATTTTTTACGCCTTGGTTGGAATTCCGTTCTTTGGTATTCTTCTTGCTGGAGTTGGAGACCATCTGGGTACCGGGTTGAGGAAAACGGTTGCCAAAATAGAGAAACTCTTCCTGGTCAGAGCCCAAATGGAACTTGACTTGTTACACTGCGTGTTGGTTTTGTTTGATCGACTGCACTGTGGTTTCTTTTCTACGGACAGAAATGGCGCATCAGTCAAACCATTGTGCGAGTTATTTCTGCCATCTTGTCCATCCTGCTGGGCTGCCTGCTGTTTGTTGCAGTGCCAATCCTGGTTTTCCAAAAGGTGGAAGGTTGGACACTGCTGGAGTCTGCATACTTTGTCGTCATCACCTTGACGACGGTGGGGTTTGGGGACTATGTGGCAGGTAAACTACACTTGGATGTTCGTACTTTTCGGACATATCCATTTTGAGAGACCGATCTCACTCTTGCATATTTTGAGTGATGGAACCTCAGCGAAAAAGTCATTTAAAGTACCAGCTGAATAACAAAGACATAGAGCTATCCTTCTAAGTCTGGCCTGCATAGTGCGACCATGACTGACAAGCATTTCAGGCTAACTAATTAACTATGAATATTTTAATTTTAAATAATGTTGCTTTGGGTAGAATGTCTTTACATATTTGAACTTAGCATGCCTCTATCTGATTTTTTGGAGCTGATGCACAGAGGCTGGTTAAAATCTTTACAAGTTAACTCTTAATATGGATGCATTTATTTCACTTTGCATTGAGAATTTTCATTCGGCCATTGCATTATTTTTTTCTCGTATGAGATAAAGTATTTTTGGTTCCATCTGCTGTATTGGTCTCTTCTGGATCAAATTTGCATTCGTGCTGCATGGAAGCATCACTATAACCCACTGACACTCTTCTTGAAGGGGATTCAGGGCTCGAAGGCAGCGACCACTGGTACAAGCCTTTGGTGTGGTTCTGGATCCTGCTGGGTCTCGCCTACTTTGCATCCATTCTGTCAATGATAGGAAACTGGCTTCGAGTTCTCTCGAAGAAGACCAGAGCTGAGGTTTGAATTCCTTCCTGTTGGTTTTAGCATTCTCACTGGTTCCATCATTGCTAATTTTATGCTTCTGTCTTAGATGGAGGAACTGCGAGCCCATGCCACTGACTGGACCCAAAATATACAGAATATGGATTTTCGGATCTCTGGAAAAATTGATGATCCCTTTAGACGGCGCCGGCGAAGGCGGCGCCATCGCGCTCGCAGCCACGGTCATGGTGCTTCAGCTCCCGGGGCTCCCGAGGGAGAAGATCAGAATGAGAGTGAAACGTATTCAGAATCTTACTCCTCTTATACATCCTCCTATGAGTCAGAGTCTGGATCTGAATCTGAAACCACTCAATCCGATCAGGTGCCCGAAGAAAAGAAGGACCCCCTCTTTTCTCAGCCTCTTGACTTTTTTGGGGAGAACCTAGCATTCATTGATGAGTCATCTGATGCTCAGAGTGGTCATTTACATTTAGATACTCAATTGGATTCAAAACCACCAAATCCGAAACACGTCCAACCACACAAAAGAAGGCGTCACAGGAGGCCCGTCCCACAAGGAGGCCTCAAAAATGATCGTAGCAAACGATCCAGTCTTGACATGAAGGAGCACAACGGAACCCCACACCCAGTTCCAAATATACCGCCGAAGCCTCAAGTATAAAAAAAAGCATCGAAAAATATGTTGCGAGCACAAGAAAGGCCAAAACAATATATCCCCGTTGTGGGACTAATGATGGGATATATTAAGGCAAAAAGTGTGACCAGAACAACAATTTGTTTGTTTGTATTGCATAATACAGGCAAATGAAACTGAAGTGTTGAACAAGCTTTGGCCGCATGTGGATTGCAGATGATGCCCGTTTACTTTAGCACGTATGCCTTAATGTGAAAATGATGAAACGTCTCAATGCCTTTGCTTTCGTTGCTGTCTGTGGAATTGCTGCTCTCTGCTGGGCTGAGAGAGGATCAACAGTTTCTATATATATAATTTGTGTCATTATTTATTTATTATGTAATCATTCCAAACAATGCAAAAAAATGAAAAAAAATCAGGACGGACAAACCAAAAAAAAAAAAAAATCATATTACTATTTTGGTGGCACTGACCACAGACACTTGCCTGCCAATGGACTTTGAGTGCTACAGTTGTAGATGTTTACGGTGGTTCACGCAACTTTTAAAATGACTACAAAAGACAACATTTGTATTTTGATGGCCTTATGCGCCAGTGTTACTGCACTCCATATACTGTACGTCCTTTTTACAATAAAATACAACCACTGTGTTTTACAATGTCACACTGTCTACTGTGAAAACAAAGTTCATGATGACATTGCTGACTAATGTCATGTCGACTAGTGGACTGTGACTGTTTCTCATGTATTGTCCAAAACACTCCAGAGATTCCACATGTCAGAGCAGAGTTTCTTTTTAAATTGTAGATCATAATATCATCATGTGATCATGAGGCATGGCATATATTATTCAAATAGATGTAAGCCTGAGTGGACAGTTCTCTTCTCCCAACTTTATGAGTTTGAAGAAAGACTGCCTCATGCAGTGCACAAAGCAAAGGACCACAAAAGGCATGGCTGGATGATGTGCAAGAACTTGAGAACCCTTCAAACAAATATAAGTAAATTGGCAAACATTCCGATGTATGCCAAAATATTACTTCTGTTATGGCTAAAAAAAGGTGAGACCAACCACGTAATCCTCCTTTTTTTTTTTTAATTCCATGTGGGTGTAACACCTAGATGTTCCAATACTTTTGTCCACATTGTGTACGCTGGTGAGGACAAATTAAGCCCAAGCTGCAAGACTGGAATAGCACGCATGCTGACAATAACCACTCACGCATCGATGGACTCAAAAGACTTAGAACAATGCAGTATCAATCACAATGCTCTTTCATATTTATATTTTTAAAAAAAGGTCATGATAGTCAGGCACTCCGGAATGAACAGACAATTCCAAGAGGAGCTTGGCAAACAGACTGGAAGCTAAGTGCCAAGAATAAATCGCTAAAACTCATACGTGGCGGGTACAAGTGGCACATGGAAGAGGGAGCACACACACACAAACAGACTAAATATACACAAGAGGTGCATGTGATGATGATTGCAGACAGGTGAAGCACTTAGAGCCTGGAAGAGAACACAATCACTACGCCTGGAGATACATTGAGAGAAGTGAGGAAAAAAATACAATAAAACAAGAAATGAAGATAAGCAGCTGAATGAAATTGACACTCAATTGTGTGGGTATTTTGTAAGTACCTTACTCGGGGATTTTTATCTTGATAGAATGTTATTGCTGTGTCTCAATGATATTCCACTTTAAATCTGACTTGATAAAACTGGCCAACATTTTCTTGTAATCTATTTATTTTTAATCAGATATGCAAGTAATTTTTTTAGAATTTTTTTTTTTGCGCTGATTCCTGCCCTTGTTTTTTTCTAGCACATCAGATTTTCCCCAAAAAATCAATAAATCATAACAGGAATGTAATATGCAATATAGGCATACAGTATATTAGTATTATTTCTGAATTAAGGATTAGGTTCAGCAACAAGTGGATTTTTTTTCTGAAATGTCATAGCTAGAAATTAGGACGGATGGTAAAATCTGTATTGTGCATTGTTTTAAAGGTCAAACTTAAAAACAAAAAATGAAAAGGTCTCAAAAACTGTGCTCGGAAAAAAGTCAAAACATTTTTTTTAAATCAGTGTCAAAATGTTTCCAGACACACAAAGCCACCTCTGATTAAAATTTGCTGTTAACCAGGGTCATTTAAGGGAGTAATTGTCTAAAATTGACTTACTACAACTAATGTTAGTTTTTTCTACTCCTTATGCAAGCGATATAAAGTGGCGCTTGAGATAAGAGTTAAATGAATTCTGTGATTGTGCTCGTAACTCAAAACACTCAAATCACCAGTCCGCACTGAAATAAGTGCAAATGCCATTATTCTAGAAATGTATCCTCCTCAAATACAGCAAAATGTGCATGTGAGCCTGCCTTGGCCACCGAGAGGCAGTATACCACAGTCATGAATCCGCAAACAAACAAGAACAGAACGTATTCAACTACTGTAACTGACTTAGTAAGGTGATATAATATTTGGTCATTTTTGTTGTGGATAAAGAATATCAGCAGTTATACTATCGATCTTCGTGTGTTGCTCCACCGTTTGTATTCAAATATCCAACCATTACAATATACAGTATAATATGAATAATATTCATCACAAATGCACATAAATTAATCTCGTCTTTATTTGCTGCTATGTTGTTGAATAAGAAGAATGCTGAGATGATGTGAGTAATCGGGTATACCCCCTCCCTCCAACAGCAAATGGGACAGTTTACTGTAGCATGTATAAAGATGACAGGCAGCCTTCTGGCATGGCGCTCAGGAAGTCAGCAGGCTGTGATGATGTGCGCTGGCAGTGGGTGACCTTTTACTGGAGGACACACACCAACGCACGCGCACACACACGCTCCGCCGCGAGAATGCCATGAATACTACTGCTGCACTCTCCGCGCTGCTGCCACCAGAGGGAGAATACTGACTCGTCTGTACACTTCACTCCTGACCTGCAGTTCGAAACAATATTCTGTCTTTGCGTGTGCATTATTTTAAACAAATCTTCAACCCCGTAGAGATAGCCTATGCTGTCAACTTGCATAGGCTGGGGCTACTGATATCTTTTTTAATTAACTGTTCAAATCAAGATCAACTCCATGGAACAAATCTCGCTGACATTGCAGTGTCGGTCATTACTGTGAACTGACATGTTAGCTTGTGTAAATAGTAAAAGCATTCTAATCAGCAGCAAACGTTTAACAGAACACTGAGCTTTATCTTCTCGTGTTCTAGTTTATTTGTGTTGCTTCTGTCTAGGTTAGGAAGACTGCAGTGCCTTAAAAGCTTCAACGTATGCGCCTACTGACCGAGTAACAATTTGTGTCTGCTCATCAATACGTGTGTAATGTAGTGTATATAACATGGATTCTCTGGTAGCTTTGCTATTATGACTCATTGATGCAGTAATGTGCTTTTCCTGTACAATGGCGTCTTGGTATTTATGTAGTCTATCAGCTGACACCTGTCTAAGGTCAGGACCTGCTGTAAGAGGCACCCCTGGGACCCCAGATGGCATTCATAGTATGTGGTGCCAATCTATCTTGTGGCAAAATAGATTGTATAATGCAGTCTGTTAAATTGTCAAATTTTAGGTAATTTTGATGTCATTCTATAAAACCTGAAGCAGGACCGGTTTTGCCAGGTTTAGAATTCACACTGCACCAGCACGATGCAGTCCCGCAGAATTGCAGTGTCTGCAGTAGAGACTCAATGACCTTGCTTCAAGGTCGTAATGACACCACCGTCAGTTTTTCCTCTCGTGTGCGCGCGCCACGACCATCCTGCACCCGCAGCCCATTTCACGCGTGACCACAACGAGGCGCACCTTTGACGCAACTACAGTGTTCAGGGAGGGGGATTAGTTAGTAACACGCAATAGGCTAAATACAGACAAATGTACATCAACGCATGTTCCTAGGTTGCCTTTTTAAATCAAGATATGACTTTTTTGTTTTATTTATGAAATGGACAATAGTGCCAGTATACCCAAATATTTCGGCTTTTGACAAAGCATTACAGTGTTTGGAAAAATATACAGGTACCTCCATTTATTTTAGTGAAACGGTTGAGATACTTGCAATCGAATCTGTATTAAGGGGAATGAATTTCATGTTGCCTTTTTAGCCACTGCGGTGACGGGGCCAGTGTCACGAGACAGACTGCATAGTTTTCACAAGTGCTCTTTTTGCAGCTCTCCCATGTCGATTGTAACAACAAGAATACAAAAAAAAATCTTACGGTGGCCTACGTATAATGTGAAATAATCAGGAAGTACATTTATACATGTTGTTGCAATGTTGTGTAGGTTAATTAATAACTAGGAGAAATCTGCAGAAATGAGGAAAACACATCTGAAATTACTTCACCGCCATACGCGTATTTTTAGTTGATCTAAATTTTTCTGCAGGAGTTGCTCGCCCTCGTTAAGAAGTCGATGACGCTAGTGGATGACACGTACGTGGAGACGTAGCGGTAAAAGCAGACGCAAATTGCTCAGCGGGAGGAGCCGGGGCACGGGACAAGGTCTGACGTCACTTAGTGTACCAAGTTAGTAAAAACCAAGTAACACCGGAAGTTGATGTTACATACGCTAAAATAAAAAGTTACCCGTTGCAATTGTAATTGTATTAATCGCTAGGTAATACAGATGTGTGTACAGTATAAATATATATTATAGCATCTAATTAGGAATACGTATATTGCCAACCTGACCAAACCAAAACCTTTAGCGTTAAGCATCGTCTGGATTTTATTCTGAATTGGTCGTAACAGGATGCAGTATTGACTTGTTTGAAACTGGACTATGTAAAGACAGCTTCAGCTGTGTGAGTCGAAGGTGAGGATTTTAATACCTGTGTCTTGGTACCAAGCAGGCGAAGAAGACCGTGTCGCTCGGAGCTGTCATCACGAATTCCTCGGCCAAGTCACCGTCAGGTGTGACAAACACGATATTGCTTAACAGTGCCGTCAGATCGCTCAAGCGAACGGTGGACTTGCTCGTCCCGCAGAGCTGCTTGGCCCCAGATATAAAACCCGGTTTCTGTTGTTCCTGGTAAGTATCAGAATAAATAGCGGGAATCGGAATATATATTTGTGGTTATCTGCTAGTTATGCATGTGCTGCCGTTTTTATTCCACGGTAGCTTGATTTGTATGCACGCTGGGCAGAGTGAAGTTGGCGTGGTCACGTTATTGGGGGTAGGGGGCACTAGCCGCTCGGGAATTGATCATTTAGTTGTCTTCCCGTCGATAATTTACTGCAGACACCACATGTGCCTGTGCACAAAAGCACTACTTCTAGACGTCATTAAAGGCCTTAAAGTTTCACAATCAAGCCACAATGTCTTTGAAAGCCCCCATACAATATTTAAACAGGATGTACTGTTACTAGGACAAAATATGCAGCCGTTTGATTGCATCCAGATTACGACTAATAAAAATGCAGCGGGCCATGATTTCCATGCACTGCCCACTTCTACAACAGTCCAGAGTTGAGGGTCCTTAACTTTCGCGTGTTATCATTTTCTGAGTTAATAGACTTCCTGTCTCACCACACTGACCTCTGAATGTAACCAAGCCTGCTAGTCTAGGATTGAGATCACTGATCTGAACGTATAATCTACTTTGACAATTAACCTTTCACCGGTTAGAGATCAGTAGGCAAGGTCACCCCTGGGTGCTGTTCCTGGTGCCTGCACGGTGCACAGCATATGCAAACCTCTAAATCACTTTTAAATGCATTTATTTGATGCGTAATGACCGACAAAGACCACTATGCGCCAAGTCAACTTGCATCAAAACAATGTCTCACCTAAAGGACATTGTACTTGACACACATGGAGTTTAAGTGTGTCGGCTTCAGCGTCAGCATTCTGATTGCGTATGCTGCACATGAGGTATTAAATAACTGACATGAGAGTATTTATGTGATCTTTTGTCACATTTTTACAACCAATTAATGATGCAATCCAATATTAGACAGACCTATGAGCAAACTTCAGCTCCCAACTTAGTATGAGTGAGAGACAAGGTGTTGGCTTTACTGTCTGTCCTTGAAGCATTCCTGTGACTTTGACCTTTGGAGTGTATCACGCAGCATAAGGGGGGCGGTTTGCTGAGTCTTGTTCATAAATCTGAATACATCCTGCGTGTTATATGTTTCAGGGATTATGTCCCATTTTTTTCTATTCACGAGTGCTTTCATTGCCTCTGGTCACAATTGATAATGTTTTTAGTGGCAGGATTCACGACTACACTTACGATTCCTGTCTTATGAAACACAAATCTTTCTGCAGAATCCCAAAAACCTATGTAGCATTCAATACAGACCTTCATTTACTTTGCAGGTGTCCCGACAACAGCTGTCGACAACCTACAGCAGACCCTGGGAATCGCTTACTGTATATAGGCTTCCAGTCCAGCAAACAGGTAATGAACGCTCTATCTACCAGTAGTTGTGGGCATGCCATTCACAGTTTTAAAGTTGATGAATCATTTACGTCACATTTATGTTGTAAAGTGCAATTTAAAGATCGGAACTGGAAGCGGGGGACTGAGTCACAGTTGAGGGGTTCCTACAGTGGCTCCCATTGTTATGGTATATTGTGCTCTTTTGGGTTTGTTTGTTGGCAAATGATTGTGCAAGGTATTTGTGTTAGGTTGCTGTCTGCATTGTTTGCGGTCCAAACACTTGCAGACCCGTATTTCTCAAGTAGTATTAAGACCTATTTGAATGATGTCCCGTGTTGTAACTTGTTATGATATTATTGCATAAGTCTATTATTTCACTGGTGTTGCATACAGACTGTGAAATATAGAAATATAAATCATGTCTATTTCTAAACTAAAAATTGCATTACTCTTCAAAATTGCATATACATGCTCAGGAATTGTGGCAGTTCAAATAAATAACTCCTGGTTTATGCACTACAAGGTATAATAGGAATCCTTATCTCTGCCAAATAAGCACATGCTGGACGGCTCAATAAATGCTTAGTAGCATATGTTTTTTTTTTTTGTCAACAACTAATACACTAAACTATCTGGTACTGAAAATTCTCTCTCTCTCTCTCTCTCTCTCTCTCTCTCTCTCACACACACACATTGATGATTTAAATATATAGATTTATGTTTAGCTTTAAAAAATATATGTCAAGTTCGTCATAAAAACTGCTACACTGTTGGGGAATGGGATTTTTGGGGGAAGAATTTGCAAGCTACCCGTGTGACTCCGACACTGCTGCAAATATATGTTGATTGCTGCCCACTTAGTGTTATGGATTCTTTCAGAGAATCCATGACATCATTCCCTTTCTGTCCATGACATAGCCTTCTTGCAGCGACTTAACCATCCTTAATGTGCTGAGCATTTTATTATTTTGCAGTTCCATTCATTGAGAAATTGTGACACGGTTATTTGGTATGAAATGAGGTAATCAACAGTGATCAAACAAATTAATGTAATTCTTCTGTGAACGCTTCACAATTAGCATTCATTGTGAGTTCCCATTTTCCTGCGCAAAACCACATTCAGTGTTGTCTTCATGTTAGCAAATACAATTTTAATACTGTGCCTTGTAAAATCCAAGTTAGTGAAAGAGATGCAAAACTGGAATGTGTAATTGAACGACGTGATTCATTTGGGAGTTATTTGGATATGTGAACCGTGATATTCATTCGCGCATTTATTCATTCACTCATTCGCAGCATTTAATAACGGCGTCAAACGGCAAATCTGTATTCAGATTGTTCTAATCGTCTCGGAAGTGTTTGTTGACCAAACAGCTGTTTGACTGGGGGACGTAGCACCGCTTAGCTTGGCACATAGCAACATTGGAGCTCGTAGCGGGCAGCGGGGATACTGCTTTTCACTCTAGTGGAACGCACCCCGGGGACTTAAGCGCCACGCCGGTCTTCCCTATGAGGTAAAACGTAGCCTGGTCTGGGTTAGTGACCAAAATAAATCTCGGGCCAAGAGGATGTAGCGTTGTCACTGTGACTTAACCCTTGGGAACTGCTCGCTAGTTAGCAATAGAAGCTAACTTCCCCGTTTAAAGTGCTCGCTAATGTAATCGCCAATGCTAATGTGTTTGTAGATTTCCTAGGTTGTAGTTTCTATGGCAAATCAAAACACCCGTCAAGTGAATGGAACCGTTTTACATTGAGTGAGATGCAGTGAAAGTGCTTTACTTCGACGGCCGCATTTGATTCGAAATGCTTTTCTGTTGGAAGATGTTCGTCTCTGAGCCAAACAGAACGAGGTCGGTGTGTGCAGCGATGCACATGGTAAAGCGCCGACGACAGATTCCACACAAATTCACACTGGTTGTAATTTGGAATAATCCATTTTGGTGGGACACAGCCACTTTTAAATATCTCGGTTTTTTGCAGTGAGACCCACCTCTTAACTACATTCACATGTCTGAGGAGGCAAACTCCAGTCGAAGTTACCAGCTGCGATTGCATGGGATTTAGTGCTGGGTTGATATATGCAAAACATGCAAAGTTAGTTGTGATTGATATTTCGATTTTGTTGGGATTTAGCATCTAGATAAATCCTTGGGATTTTTTATGTGTTGATATGACACACTACCACCACGGCTAAATTTGTCATTTCTATGAATGACTAGTTTTCTTTGGCCCATCACGAACTTGTTTTTAAAATGCCACGTCAAGTAAATGCACTCAGTGTTGACGTCGTAGGCAACGCTGGATGGAATAGTATTATTGTCATGGATTGGATGGATTATCAACACAACTATAAGACATTTCCTGCACAGTGATTTAATTCACTAAAGGCTCGTCTCATCCTCCATACAGACTGCCATTTGTCCAAACGTATCGTGTTTATATTGTTTTGAAAGAGTCAAATAAAATAGTTTTCGGTAGAATATTTCCAATGTCTAAACTTTGGTTCAAACACATCTGGTTCTTATTGCAACATTTTTGTCTTTGTTTGGCACTGTAGTCTATTGAATTTTCAATCAAACACAAATTGGAGCCCACCTGCTTGCCCCCATAGTAGATCCATTAGATTTTATTACCAAAGACAAGTTTGTCCTTTGCCCATGTCTCTGGAATTTAACCACCACTATTAAGACCACTAGATCTTACTCAAGGTGATTAAGCTATACATAATAGTCAGTATGTTTATTGGATGTTAAAAGGGCGACGTGCTGAGAGACTAAAATGACAATCGAGTTCAGTTTTGCATTGTGGCGTTGTCTGTGCTTCACGCATGTCTCCACTCATGGGCACTATAGTCTTATTAAAATGCAATAATCCACTGACCCACATGATGGACAATACTTCCTCTTTTAACTGGCCTAAACGCTTTCATATTTCTTTTGACCATATTTTTAACGGTGAAGTTTTGCTGTGCAGATGTCCTTCTGCGTCTTATCGCATCTACAGTACGGACTTTGTGTGCATGAGCGTGCTTGCTGTCATTTTACTTTTCCACCCAATGGCAGTTATAGACATTGAGAGTAGGGAAAGTGTTATTGCCGCAGCACTCTTACAGCTTCACACATTATAACATTAGTTATGCGTCTGGAAAGTGAAGAGCGAGTCTGCTTTACGAGCAGCGTGACCTTCATCCAGTCACCTTGGCTATTTTAATTTGCGGAGATGCCAGTGACAAAGACTTCACTCTGGCCTGACTTAAAGAAAGTGCAGTTTTAATAGGCGTGGAAGGTTTTGGGTTGGCTGAATCCAATGCGTTGATTTCCTGGCTTTAAAGTAATAGTTGAGAAGATACACAGAAACAAACGAGGCTTTTCTGTGCCACTCTATTTATTTGTTACTTAAGTGGCAACTCTCGATGAGCGCTATGCCAAGTAATTCAGTAGTGATCAGTATAGTTTGAGGGAGATAAGATAATCCTTCATTAGTCCCACAGTGGGGAAATTTCTAACAGCTTAATGTGGCGAGAGTGCTGCTTGGATATTGGCAGGGTCCTGTCGCTCCTCTCGGGAAGCATTTACACTTTGACCGCAGAGGCTGCCGTCTTGATGATAATGAAAATGTCAAGTTAAAGTTAACCTATTGGACCGCAATGCAGTAACGGTGATTTAATTGTATCATATTGTTTGTTTATCTATCATAATTCAATTTTCACTCTGCAATACATTTTTGTTGCACTCCACACACCGAACCAGACCACACGTGCAAGCACAAAAGGAGAGATGTCAGTGTGATGGGCTGCAATAAAGGGTGCTGCACCCTTGAGCTTTAGTTTGTCTCCTGCAGGACTCCTTACTGCTGCGTCAAATACTTTTAAACTGTTATTTACTCTATATATTTTCTTGCCCTCTAGACAACATGTCTTCCAGGGATCGCCGGTCAGATGTCTACATCAAGGCAGAACCGAGCAGTCCAGAGGGAGGTGGTGGAGGTCGGACGAGTCCCGGCGGGGCCTCCTCTGACTCCTCTCAAAGTGGAGGTGGAGAGGCCAGAGGAGACGGTGCTAAACGCTATTCGCCGCCGCTCTACACACCAGCCTTGCGTTGCCACTTCAAAGACGAGAGTGGAGATGGAGCAGATGAGGGATCCACTGGAAATGGAGCCGGGCGGTGCAAGTATGCCCTGAGCACGTTACCCAAGAGGCTGTGTTTGGTGTGTGGGGATGTGGCTTCAGGCTACCACTACGGCGTGGCTTCGTGCGAAGCCTGCAAAGCATTCTTCAAGAGAACCATCCAAGGTATGGCTTGAGCTGTAAAACAGCTTTGCCTCGTTGTTGATTAATTTTTTTTTCATGTTGGCAATGTCAAGTAAAATATAGTGAAGACACAATTTTTATTATTTTTTTTTCTTTATTTTTTTAAAGTTTCGTATGGACAGCAGGCCAGTTCAGTAAATGTGCATTTCATAATGCCCAAGACCAGAATATTTACAGTTTTCATGTTTCATAAATAGAAGATGGTGTTTATTTGATGGTAGCATATGTCACAACATCACTCCCGGATAATGCCATGGGGGTAAACGGATAAGTTCCACAAAACTCAGTTTCCATAATTATATCAGATGAATTGAAGCCCAGAAAATGGAACTCTGAATTTTGATAATTCAACTGTCACTTTGCATTGGATGTTCTTAACTCGGAGATGCAGAGATGAACAATTCTTATGGTTTGCAATTGGCACCTTCTGAAATTTTAAGCCACGAAACAGCCGAAGGTTTAAATGTGGAGCCTTTTCAATACATAATTTGAACAGTCCTCTGATTCCAGCCTAGGCTCTGGCTTGCCATTTGACTCAGTCATCCTGAAGCAACTCCTTTGACATCTTGGATGTGTGGTTAAGGTTGTTGTCCTGCTGAAAGGAAAGATGAACCATCACCCCAGTCTGTAGAAAACTCTGGTGCAGGTTTTCATCCGGGGTGTCTCCGTACATTTCTGCATGACTCTTTCCCTCAATTCCGACAAGTTCCCCAGTTCCAGTTGGTAAAGAACATCCCTGCAGAAGCATGCTACTGCAAACCGTGCTTCACTTTAGGGATGGTTTTGGTCAGGCAAATTTCAGGCGGACGGTGTTGTGGCTTTTACCAACGTGTGGTAGCTTCTTTCTGGTTTCTAACCACCACACAGGCCTGATTGGTGGGTTGCTGCAGAGATGGTTGTCATATTGGAAGGGTCACCTCTTTATACAGATCAGCGCTGGAGCTCTGATAGAGTGAGCATTGGGTTCTTGGTCACCTCCCTGGAGAAAAAAAAAAAAACCTTCTCCCCAAATTGATCTATTTGGACGAGCAGGCCAGCTTTAGGTACATTCCCAGTAGTTCCAAACTGCTTCCATATTTGGGCGAGAGAGGCCACTGCACTCATTAGGAACGTCAAAGCAGCAAGACATTTTTGTCCACCTGTCACCAGATCTGTGACTTGAGACAATCCTGTCTCAGTCTACAGACAGTGCCTTGAATGTGATGCTTGGTGTGTGCTGTCAACACTGGGACCTTATCCAAGCAGGTGTGCGCCTTTCCAAATCAATTCCAATAAACATACATGCTATTATGCATTTTAATCACAAAGTTGTAACAATTGTTCGGCTTGTTTATACGCACGTGATGTATTTTGCATTCTGGTGATTGGCGAGGATCATTTTCATTCATTTGTTATCCCTTTATTAATGATTGATTACTAAAACATCTTCTCATTTTCTGTGCTTGCGTGAAGGTAACATTGAATACAGCTGTCCCGCATCGAATGAGTGTGAGATCACCAAAAGGCGCAGAAAGGCTTGCCAGGCATGCCGCTTCACCAAGTGCCTCAAAGTGGGCATGCTGAAAGAGGGTGAGCGGGACTTCCACCAAACCCGGAGCAGATTATCTGACTTTTCACCACTAGTCTTTTATTTCAAATTTGTGTTTTCTCAGCATAAAGCATTTTTTAAAAAATTGTCCCGGTGCAGGAGTTCGCCTTGATCGGGTCCGAGGTGGACGGCAGAAGTACAAAAGACGCCCTGAAGTGGAGAATGCAACATACCAGAGTGTCCCTCTATCATTGACTAAGGACAACGAAAAGGGTTTGTTGCAACCAAAGCTCCTACAGAAAAATTAGAAAGTGCAACGCTATTTCGCAGAGCATAACAAACTCGGGAACAAAACACAACGGCAAAAACGAATCCGAATTTGTTTTTAAGCAGTGCCACCTACTGTACTGCAGTTGTCCCCCCCCAGGCCCATCATTTTATCTTATGATAGACTCGTATAGATTCATATCATACGAATATTTCACAGTTGTTTAAAATATGATTGCACTGCATACTTACCGCTAGCTTCTCTTGTAATATACCAATCAAGCCAAGTCACTGTTTGATATTCTTAAAAATAATTGTATTGAATTTGTTACTTTAGCACACAATTTGGCTTTGGATTTTCACAAATGTTATCCTGATATATTCTGAGTTTGAATGCCTCCGCTACATTTTAAGGCACATGACTTTCTACCATGAGAATACTTATTTTTCTGTTTGTTTGTTTTTTTGATACAGGTTCTTCAAACATCATCGTGTCCCACCTGTTAGTCGCCGAGCCAGAAAAGTTATTTGCAATGCCTGACCCCCTCCAGCCTGACACGGCCCAGCGCACCCTTACGACCCTTTGCGACCTTGCCGACCGTGAGCTGGTCGTCATCATTGGCTGGGCCAAACACATTCCGGGTAAGTGACGCAGAGAGAAAACCGCTCACAACACCATGGTTTCTGGATAACCTAGCTCTTTCACATCCAAACAATGGCAACGAGAACAATCTCCTTGGCGGAGTTATATGATGGGTACGTTTTCATTCTGTAAATGTGCTGATAGTTCTACCACAATGGCTTTAGCTCTTCTGTATGCCGGAGGGGGTTTTCTTATCAAGTGGATCACCGTATGTGGAGCTCTATAGCTCTGCTGCCAGGATTGACTTGTTGTTCATATTAGAGGCTGCTGCCAGTTGTCCTCCTTAACATTCAGAACCTTCACTCTCACTTTTTGTATTTCCCCCGCCAGGCTTCTTGTCTCTGTCGCTAGCAGACCAGATGTCTGTGCTACAGTCCGTTTGGCTGGAGGTGCTGGTGCTGGGAGTAGCGTACCGCTCGCTTGGCTGTGAAGACGAGGTTGTCTTCGCCGAGGATTTTGTCCTTGACGAGGAAATGTCTCGCGTTGCCGGCCTAACGGAGCTAAATGCGGCAATCAGTCAACTTGCCCGACGTTTCCGTGCCCTAAATGTGGACAGAGAGGAGTTTGTCATGCTAAAAGCCATTGCGCTCACTAACTCAGGTACAGTGATGTCGTCGTGTTGTGCAGATGGACGCTCGCAAACCAATTAAATGAGTTACAATGCAATAGCTAGGCATCGTCAGACTTTTGAGAATTTTCTTGTTCTAAGCCCTCTCATAGCAAATTAACCCTTTCAGGGATACCAGTCACCACAGTGGACAGCTTATCATGTTACCACGGTACAGGGTCAATGAAAGGGTTAATGGAACCCAAAATTACAAAGCACCTCTGTTATATATGCTGCTATTATATATGCTGGCAACAACGAGCAGTAAGCACAATATTAGTATGAATTGGATACTAATATGAAACAGGCACAGGAGACGCTTGGTTAGTTGTATTAACAGTTTCCATGTGAATACAACAACATAAGCATAATTCCCCCACCCGCCCGAAAACAAGTCTTCGAGGCAGCTGAGCTCTGCATGTTTTTATGTATAGGTGGAAGTATTCAAGTTTACAGTCAAGTCAGCAGGCCATTTAGAAAAGCAATCCGGTGTTTAGTAAATAAAGGTTAGGGAAAGTTGAGAGACAAAACACAGTGGCTCATTCCATCCTCCCTGTTGCTCTGTCAGACTCTGTTTACATCGAGGATATGGAGGCTGTGCAGAAGCTGCGGGATCTCCTCCACCAGGCCCTACTGGAGCTGGAGTGTCAGCGGCGTCCGGACGATCCCCAGCGAGCCGGGCGCCTCCTTTTAACGCTGCCACTACTCCGGCAGACCGCCGGTCGGGCTCTGACTACTTTCTACAGCATCAAGACCCGTGGCGGTATACCCATGCACAAACTATTTTTGGAGATGCTGGAAGCCATGATGGACTCACCCTAAGAAGGGAGCAAGCGGCAAACGTAGGATGACGCAGAGAGTCGATATGAGTGGGTGAATTGTTTGTCACAAAAGAGGTTTTAATAGAGAATTATTCATGAGAAAAGGGATTCTTTTTCCGTTGTAGCCGACACGAGAGAAGAAGCGGGGTTTAAAAATAAAGACTGTGCCAGCGCTTAAGTTGTAACTGTCAAAGCTTCGGTGAGCACTGTCAAGTTCCACATTTGTGTGGACAAAAACAGAGAAGCGATACAGCCTGAATGCCAAGTTACTTGCTGTGGCCTCCGTGATGTTTCGTCGTAGCATCATTCTGCAGTTGCATAACCACTGGAGAGAACATGGAAGGCGTCAAGAACTGACTGCAGTCATGTGGCTTTTGAACTTTGGAACGAATGCAACAGTGACTCATGAAAGCCATAACATATCCGGAAAAAGACTTGAGGGTCCACTTTAGTACACAGGGTGCATTAATTTACTATAGCTTAGTGCCGTTGAAGGCAGTTTTATTTTATTTCAAAGACTTTTCTCGCAATATGCTCAAAGCAATATAATAATTGATTCTTGTCTGTCACCTTAAAAATGAAATATGGTGTAAGTTACTTCCTAGTTAGTCATGGGCTGGTAGTTTTCCACTCTCAGGACCCCAAGTACTTTTATTTCAGCCACGGACGGGTTTGGACCTGGTATGTGGTGCACATTTTTGGCCAAATCCCAATTATTTTGATTAATACTGTAATCACAATTATTAATCACAATTATTCATCATGGTAGGGAAAATATCAGTATTTTGACTGCACTGCTTTTCAACAAACGAAACAGCTTTTTGTGCAAAATTAAATATATATATATATATATATATATATATATATATATATATATAATTTTATTTAGCAAGGGATAAGTGAATAAATATTATATTCCATTACTTGCCCGGAATTCGAAAATAATCTAGGCCAAGGATGCTGGTCCCTTTCAATGCTTTAGCTCCTCCTGATGGTCTTCATCTCAAATTTTTGCTGTACGTTCTTCTCTTGCCAAGACTCAGCAGGCTTTTCTCACTTATTTCAGCATCTTAACAATGTCTAAACCATGCGTTCGCTCCCTGCTGGTTGGCTGACTATTGGTTGAAAAATTGCTTGATAATTTTGCAGCAGAGCCCACCTTTTTTTTTTTTTTTTTTTTTTTTGCTGATGATCAGAGTCATTTCATCCCGGCAGGCTAAATTGTGAAATTTGATTAGTTTTGCAGCCCTATAGAGACCTATTAAGAATGTGAGAATTTTTGGAACTACTGGTTGAAATGTTAGCAGTCATTTTAAATGTATAATCTAGGAGAAGTGCACATGAAAAGCATGCCACTAAAATCCGCTACTTGGACGGTAAATAAAATACCTGTATCCATCTTTATTTAAACAGCGCTTTCACAACAGCTGTAGCTGTAACAAAGCGCTGTAACAAATATACAACAGAACATAAAACATGGACTGTAATTCAATCAACAGTAAAGGTACTAAAATGTGTTTGTTAATCCTGTTGGCACATAAAAAAATGGCTTCCATTTGCGACCGATGGGTTCCACTTTTTTGAGTGAAACACTGAGGTTGGACAAGAAATTCATCTGCCTCATTTGCTGTTTTTCCATACTGTTGTTGTCTTGATATGTGTTCTGGACCTCAGCCATGCTGCTCTGAAAACTGGTCTGACTCGTTCCATCCGTGTGCTGTAAGATTTGGTACGTTTTGTGCAGCGAGGAAGTGCATTGCAAAGTACCAGTAATCGGTTGTTTCAATGTGTGGTCTACTTTGTGTTTGTCCGTGTCTTTAACTTGTAAAGCGCCTGTAATGGGCTCAGGGCAACTAGAAATGCAACATATGCAACATTGTGTTTTGAACCCATGTTTTGACTACATCCCTTAATCCCTACCCGATTTTAATTATTATTATTTTTTTTTTTGTATGGTAGACTTCCAAAATAAGTGACTGTCGTCATGAGGTTCACATTCAATGCATCTGCTGTCCAAATCTGATTCTCCTGAAACCCATGTATGTATGTATGTATATTGGCCAAAGTGCCATTAATCCTTCAGCCATGTACAGTTACAGTAATATAACTAGCAACATGCAATTTATAGTGGAAGGTGACGAAGCCAGCAATGTGACAATTTCTTCTTTACAAAATGTACAGTATTTGTGCTGCTTATGGTGTATCGAATATTAACAAAATATTTTTTTTCCCCGTGTTCCTTTATCTGATTTTTAAGGTGTTAATGACAATGAATTGGATTTATACACTAAATAATTTGTGAGATGGAGATTAAGCTGTTCATTTAGGACATTAGAAGTCCTTTTTTTTTTTTTTTAACTGAAACTTTTTTTTCTGAAAGTTGTCTTAACAGGGATCAAAATAAAGTTTCCACCAGAGTAGTGAGGCTTCATAAGTGTAAGAGTATGCCAAAAAGCCAAATAACTGTGGAGACATTTTTTTTTTCACATTTGTGACTTGCTCATTTATATTAACGATTTGGGGGTACATAAACTGTTTTGCAGTTCCACAAACCTGTTTTTAAAGATATTGTCCCGTAAAGTTGATCTCCTTTTTATTGGTTACAGCTTCTAATTTGCTTACTAACCAAATTTGGAGATGCGTGGAAGAAATGTCATTTTACATGAAGATAGAGTGTCTTCATATTATTACTGTATATTTTAGGTCCATGTTAAGATGGTCATAGGAAACCAATGTCAAATGGAATGGGAGTCATTTGCAGTGTTGCAATTGCAATTATAAAGTCATGTGTGGTTTCTGTGTACATTTAATATAAATTAGCAATACAATAAGTTACCAAAACACACTTGTTTCCTTGTATAGCCGCTGTGAATATTTAGCATTGCCAGTTCTGAGAAATAGCCACTAAACATTATTTAGAAGCTCAAATCAATGTTTGTATTTTGACAGACTATTTAAATGATTAAATTCTATTTTTTACTCAATTTACTATTTGTTGACACTGCTTTATTTTGATGTGTGTTGCTGGTTGTGCATTTATGTGTAGGCTTTGTTTTCTTTTGAAATTAGATTAATAGTTTTGATGTCCTTGTCTAAACATGTCCACGTTAAAAATCACTGTGAATAAAAGTGATATATTCCACAGTTTGAGGAAACAGGAAGTGGATTATTTGAGGTGCTTTGTGCTGTGAAATAAATGGACACACTACCCACCTCATTTCATTGGTCTCATTTCTACTACAGTTACTGTACAAGTGATTACAAACTGCCGTTTTAGCATCATACATGCCGGCCATGTTCAGTGCAGATTTACAGTAGTATGTTCCTGGTCAATTTTGACCTGGGCCAAGAATATCCTGATAATTTAACTTTCACATTATGCACCATGGAGCTTTTCAAAATGTATTTAAAGCGTATTTACCAAATGGATGAGTAATCCTTGATCGATTCAAAGGAATTGTATTTTTGTTAGCTACATTGCAAGTATTTGTTTTTGCAGGCGAGCTTCCCAACAAGTTTCCTGTTTTTAAACATAGTGGCAAATCTTAAATTTGAATCACAACAGCCTCAGGATAATAACACCCGTACAAATAAATTACGTTTTAAAATATATTCATGTTTCTGTATTTTGGATCAGGGTCATTAAATGTCTGGGATAACGACAGACATTTAGAGTCACAACACGCTAATCGCATGCTTCGTGTAGCTAAACTTTGAAGACATTTTGCTACAACATAATATCTTTACGTTGAAAGAATAACTTGCTGCGTTCAAATGTTGTCGAATGTTTTGGTACTCATCACACGCATCGGCCTCCAGGTAGCAGATGGCGCAGTTAATTAGGTTTTAGCGTGGGTCTGGCCAAGGCCCGAATAAAGGTAAAGGTGCAGCTATAGTTGCCAGTTCTCGTGTGAAGCCAGGTTGGAGGCGTGTCTGCCCTCTCGACAAAAATCTTCATCTGGACACGCCTCGTCGTCACATAAGCTTTATTAAACGCAAGCTAGCATAAATGCTTTCCCTTGCTACTACTGTCATTAAACGCACCCGCGTAGAATATTGTGTGAGGTTGATCCACTCGTCTTCGTTTGTCAAAATGCCGATTAAGGTAAGATGTAAATGAACAACATAACAGTTGCTACTTGGCAAATGTATCGTCTTGGCCAGTAACGAACTTGTGTGAACACTGTATTTTGGTAGCTCGTCATGCTAATGACAATGATGTCGCCATGACAGCATTTGCTTGCAATGCACTTGTTTACTACCGTTGTTGAGGGTTTACCTGCAGTTTTTCTTCACCAGCCACCTAATATATGACGTAAACGTTGCTCAAACCAGTATATCCGTACTTAACACACATTAGGGGTCTCCTGCACGTCTCAGCTAACGAGCAGAGATCGCATTACACGTTACGCACATTTGTTCAACATTGTATTGTCATGTGTCGTATATTGATCACAAAAAAACAGTTTCACGGTACATTAGTAGTTTTAAGAACGTCGAATCATTTAACTCGAATCACAGATATCAGCGCTTAATAAATTGTCAGTCTATGCTGTGCTTTGTGCATCTATGACAGGCCTGGTCAGAAGAACTTTGAACACTCAAGTAAATATAATGAAAAAAAACTGTACCACTAATTCCTCAATGTCTGTCTTGATATTTCATAAAGCCTTTTCGGCCATTTTTAAACAGAGTTGCTGCTTTTATGTTTGAGTTTTGTCGTCCTCTAGCGACTTTCAATTAGAACTAACACGATTACGAACCGAGTCCACAGCAGCGGTTCTCAAGCTTTATACACAAAAGAACCACCGAATAACAACGCAACGTTGTCATATTTACTCGATGAAGTGACGAAAACCCAAATCATTTCAATACAATTCATTTAAATAAAATGCATCATGTCACAGACGATTATATGCAGATTGCTACAGATTATGTTTTGCTACTCCAATTTGGCTTGCTCCGATCAACCAAATTTACTTATTTGTGCTCCCAGGTGGGCGACTCTCTTCCTGCAGTGCAAGTCCAAGAAGGTGAGCCAGGAAATAAAGTGGCAATGGATCAACTCTTCAAAGGGAAGAAAGGCATCCTCTTTGCTGTACCAGGAGCTTTCACCCCTGGCTGCTCCCAGGCAAGCACAAACAGAATTTGTCATCATGTCCTGGCTGTCATAATCCTTGCCAACAGACTTGACTGTTCTCTGCTTTTTCTTTCAGACTCACCTCCCAGGTTTTGTGCAGCAGGCAGCAGATTTGAGGAGTAAAGGCATACAGGAGGTGGCCTGTGTGTCTGTGAATGACGCTTTTGTCATGGCTGCCTGGGGAAAGGAGCATGGAGCAGATGGCAAGGTCCGCTTCAGAGGAAACATTGTTTTCAGCGCTTAGTCCCATCTCACTGCCCTTTATTTTTCACTGTGATCAGTAGCTGTGGTTATTGATCGAAAATGAATTTATTTATCCCATAGGTTCGAATGCTGGCTGATCCGACTGGAGCATTCACAAAGGTAAACCAATCAGCCTTGTTGTTGAATACAACTTTTTGGGACCACATTTGCAACACGTTTCTCTCTAACTTTGTAGGCTGTGGACTTGTTACTTGACAGTGATCAGATTGCGCAGGTACTTGGAAACAAGAGATCGAAGAGGTAAGGTACACATTGTTTTAGTTTTGCAACAACACTGCATTTGTCAGCTTCTTTTTGTTAGTTAAATTAAATATAATATTGAAACCATCACAAAAAGATGGGATTGTTTTGACACCAGACTGGACCGTAACTTAAAATACTGTATACCCACTTCTTTCAGTTGCTATTTAAGTCCAAATGAGTACGTGGCTCATGTGTGTTGCAGATATGCAATGCTGGTGGAAGATGGAGTTGTGAAGAAGATCAATGTGGAGCCAGACGGCACAGGGCTGACCTGCAGCCTGGCGCCCACTATCATGTCTGAACTTTAAGACTCTTTTCGAACTTGTCTTCCAAACTATAAAAGTTGCACTAACTAGTCCAAATCTGCTACAGTGCTTCTCCCATATCCCAAAGAGTACCACAAATGTTACATGAGTGTTAGCTTAAAAATGGAGACGCACGGTCATTAATGCGCACAAATATGACAGAGAAGATTATGCAAACTTTAATTATGCTTTGTGCTGTTCTTGGTCATGAATAAAAATTCCCGAACAGTGACTTCTACATTGTACTTAAATGTTTTAGTGAATGTTAAATTGGTATGAGTAAATGCATGATCTTAAAATGGAGAGCACACTGTGGAGCGAACTCAGACAGGGTCAGCATTGGAAGAGCAACCCATGGAAAAGTGCTGCAGAGTCTTGCATGGGCACGTCGTGGGTAACCTGTCTGGTGAGGCACTGAGTCATCAGGTAAACCTGAAATAGGTAGGCATACAGGATGGCTGAGTGGAAAAATACTGGTAAAGTGCACTGGTGACTAATGGCGCCAAACTATGACAACTGTAATAAAATACAAGCACTGCTCTCAACAAGAAACAATAGAACATGTTCAACTCCAGTGCAACAGATACCATTACACGACCAAGAGGTGGTACAACATTAATTTCTTCCAGAGACTGGATTGGCAAATAAGAATGTATAATAATAATTATTATGCAGTCCATATTTTAATAGCACTTTCACAACATCTGCATCTGTAACAAAACGCTTTACAGAACATTTAACATGAAATAACACAACATTGACAGTAATACAATCGCAACATATTTTTGCACATCTACCTTTTAGTTTGAAGCGGTTATGGATGAAAGAGGGAGAGATTCAAAGTTTCCTTTCACCAGTGTTCATGGAGACGTCATGATTAAAGCAGGCGTGGCGTCACACACGTCTGCTACAAGCTAAGTTTGAAAGTAAACAAAAGCTGTAGCGTCCATCGACAACAATTAAGTTTGGTTCAATTCTCAGGTGCTATTTAGATCCGCTTCAATTGCAAGCACCGCCACTCAGTTTCAAACACATCCGCGCTTAAGCGGACGCTCCTCTCTCTCCTCATCCTCTGCTTCACCAGCCATCCCTCCAGCCGCACCAACAGCATCAACATTTCCGCTGAACAAAACGGGGCAGTGAAAAACGCACAAAAAACGCGGCGACGACAGTATATTAGGGCCGACCCTGCGCCCCCCTAAATTCAGTGATTGTCCACACGTTACCGACAAAGGCGCAACCATCAAGCACAGATTTTTCTCCCTCGACGAATGACACGGCCAAAACCTGAATTATTATAATCATTTGTCCATTCTCTAATGTCCTTATCCTCACGAGGTTCGCGTCGTCATCATCACATTATTATCAGTTAGCAATTGTATTTGCTTTTCTTCATTTTTAGTATTGTTTTTTTCATTAATTTATTTCAGCACATTTTCTGTTGCCACTCCAGTCCAGTTAGCGGCGGTAATGAACAATTAAGCTATTTCGCCAACTGCCAATTACCACCAAAGAAGAAAAAGACGACGAAGAAGACGACAAGCAGGAAAAAGAAGCGCGTTGCAAGCACAACTCAGCCAATTTGAAACTACGACGCGACATCGGACCCAGGAGGTAAGATATTGGCCTCCAATAAAAACCTTTATCTCAACTGCCTCCTTTCGACGTTTGACATCAACGGTCATAATACATGCACGTTTAACTTCGTTTACAGCTTAGCTAACATGGGAAGCTCATTCAGACATTATCGTATATGGCGCCTTAATGTGTTTCAGGCTCACTTAAACAAGACTTTCTACTCATCGAGTAAAAACATAAGTCTGAACATTAAACATGCTAATAGTCTAATCTTTTCCCACCAGTAACTCTATTATATTGTTGAATTCAGCCAGTGTGATTTAATGTCGGCGTTGCAAATGATTGCGCGCGCAATTCAAGATGACGACCCCATTGTTGCTCGATCTTAGACGCGAACGAACTTGTCCAGCTTATTGTAAATAAAAATAAAAGGTGATGTCAATTCTATCTTGGTGCGTGTGTGTCTGTGTTCAGGGGTATCATTTTTCGTTTAGCTGCTAACTTGAGAAATTATGTTCAATAATGACGTGGCCCATGTTGGTCATTGATTTAATCACCCCTGGTATCTCCGCCATTGAGAATGAATGGGGAATTTTTTTCATTCTTTCAATCCGACCAATATCGGTGATTTGTACACTGATGATTTACAATTTTGGGGAAATGTATTTATGCATTATAAACGTACAGTTAAGCAATTGCACAAAAAAACATCCAAACGAAAAAGAGCTGCCACATTTATTTGTCTTTCAAAAGACAAAAAAAATGCTTTGTTTACATTTTTTTAAAAGAAAGGTAATCGTACTGCGTTATGAAATATTAATACACGAACATAACAAAACATTATAAAGAGAATAATACAGAAATAAATTGGATTTTTAAAATTTATCATTTGGTTTGCGTTTTTGGGAGGCAGCCCAGTGGATCTGCAGTTAAGTCTGGTCGGCCGCTTATCACATGGTTGCTTGCGATTGTTTTCGTTTTATATTTTTATGTTCGACTGTCACGTTCAATAAATAGCTGAAAGTGCTCTGTGACTCTGGTGCTTTGTTTTTTTTTTTTCAGTTCGCTCGCAACACCAAGCAAAAATTCATCAAAGTGACAGCTCGAAACTCGTAAAACCCAAAGGTTGGAGCAAGCATAAGTCAGCTGTATTTGTGACCTTTGTCTTGTAGGTTTGTTTGATTTGCGACCTTCAACAAGGCAGCCATGTCTTCAACATCACAGAAACATCGTGACTTTGTGACCGAGCCAATAGGAGAAAAACCTGTGTTTGCTCTTGGCGGCATTGGTGAGGTCCTTGGCAAAAGACTGGAGGAGAAAGGTTTTGACAAGGTAACACATATTCAGTTTGATTCATAGTATTTTTTAATCTTGTGTATGTACTATAGTCATGGAGAGATCCTTGGCTTATGATGGAGTTCCTTTTTTTGTTCCTGTGGATCTGTATAACTATTTTTTGCCACAATTTTTGAGTGTGCAACAGTTTGATAGACTCTGATCTGTGCTTATTTATATTGTAATGGATCTTTACCTGAAAAAGCCATCAGACAGAATGAGGTTTGTGAGGAGACAGATGGATGACGGATTTCTTTTCGACCTCTATACATGTTAATTTAATAATAACTATTCAAAGAGAGAGGGAGAGACACACACAAATGATTTAAAACCGTTTCCGTTTCTATTCTGTGTTCACCAGGCATACGTCGTCCTTGGACAGTTTCTGCTGCTAAAGAAGGACAATGAGCTTTTCCGGGAATGGCTTAAGGACACTTGTGGCGCAAACTCAAAACAACAAGGTGACTGCTTCAACTGCCTTAAAGAATGGTGCGACGCCTTCCTATAAAGCTTCGTCTGTTTCTTTTATATTGTTTTTGTAGTTCAAACTGGCCATCAGCTCTTCGACAGATTTAAATCCACGATATATACGAACAAACACTGCAACACACGTGTGAGGTTTATTGAAGTAAACTTTTAATTGTGCATCCTGTTGATGATGTCATTTATTATTCATCGTCTGTATCACATTTTAATGAATAGCTCATGAATGATCGAAATAAATTTGGAAGTCAAGTTGTTGCTTAAGTTATTTTACCAGACTTTTCAGGTTTACTTCTGGCATTAGACTTCCCATTTGATGAATAGTGTAATTCTAGACCGTTGTTAGTTAGCCTGCAAGCTCTTCAGCGAGTTTTGGGGCGGTGATTGCTGCATTTATTGACAAGCCCACATCTGTGTTCGCAAGTTTGGCAAATTAGCTATAAAATAATTTCCTCTGTTCGAAAAAAACTGACACCCTATTCTCCCTTTCTTCAGTGTGCTGAATTAGTTGGTTGTTCATGCAGTCTTACTAAGCTTTAGATTTTCTATTTACCAATAGATTTGTAAGCAACCTGAAGCTATTAGCACATCATACTACTGTTATCAACGTGCTCTCGTTACACTGCCAATATTTGAGATTTGACAGATTGGCTGTACCAGCACATTTGTAAACTGCATTTGAAAAAAGGTAAGCTGACACTTGGCTGAATTTTATGATTAACTGTTATAATTAACGCAAAAGTAGTTTGAGTCTGAGCCTCCAACTTGCCTGGTTAAAAATGTAGACAAAATAAGATGCTGATGAATGTGTTGAACTTGAAAGCAATGGACTGCGACATTAGTTACACCTTCACAATATATGATCGAGTCCCAAGAACTGGCTGATGTCCTGTCACCATTATAATAAAGCTATCAGTACTTATTTTGAAGTTGCCTAAAACAACACTGCGTCATAAAGGGAGCTTATGACACGAGGGCCTGCTGCATGTGACTGACGCTTATGTGTCCGGCTGTGAATTTTATTTTATTATATGCGATTAAGAAAAAGGGAAATTAATGAATTTGGACCTTGTGAATGTATTCTTTTACATGTTCACTGCAGTGGCTGTTTGTCAAATAAAATCACAACTGAAGGAACACGTTCTCATCACAGGTTTGATTTCAGTGTTAATCTTAACCCATCAGACAAGGCAGGTGGACCCCACCTGTAAATTGAAAACAAAATCCTCGAGATTGGAAGAAGAAACGGAGGTAAAGAGGTTGCATTAGTGTGCACACCCTCACAACTTGGTATGTGGTTGTTTCAAATGAACAAGTCGTCATCGGCACACACCTGCCCTAATTAACATCTAATAACATTCAGCTGTTCTAGTAGGCTTCTCCTGACATGTGTGGAGTCACAGCACAAGGATCTTGTTCAAAGACAACAGTTTGGAGAAAGGTACAAATTACTTTCCAAGGCTTTTGATATACCACGGAACACTGAAGACAGTCATCCAGTGGATAAAACATCGCACTAAAGTGACCAGTTGATGAGAAGATAACTGATCAGGGACGCCGTGAAGAGCTCAACAGCAACACCGAGGAAGCTGCAGCAATTTCTGGCAAGTACTGGCTGTTTAGTAACATATAAAATAAAGTGGAACGTTTTGGCCGTAATCGTAAGAGCTATGATTGCAGTGAACACAACATGGCTTAACAACGAAAACATCATGACACACTAGTTACTTTGAAAACATGTTGGCACCATCATGCTCTTTGGCTGTTCAGCTGTAACAGAGGGGCGCGCGCACACCGATCTAAATATTGTCCTCGGCTGACAACCGCCCGTTTATAAATTCTCCCCCCCTCCGAATGTTGGACTAACAAATGTTCAAAATTATCTTGCATGTGCGCTCTTGCTTATTCGTGCCCTTTTATTTGTGAGTGTATGTAGTACACGAAGTTGTCCACCCGATGTCGCTGTTGTTAAGCCAAGGTTGTAGTTGAGACACATGCACGTTATTTAATTTGATATCACGTGGCCCAGACCAGTAAAAATGATTGCATCACTGAAATAAATAACGACGGTGATATTTTTCACCTTTCTTTTAACGCATAAAAATACTTGTCCAGCTGTAAAGTCTCCCAAGCAAGCAGTTTACCTGTCAATGTCATACACACGCCCCCAACGAGTAGATTTCTGTTTCCGCAATGTCAAGCTTGGCATGTGCTCGCACTACCCCGATTTTTAACCTAATTGAAGGATACCGCAACAATTCGCCTGGACCATTCTAGGTTCCATTCTCAACGGCGCCAACGCCACGTTACGCCCAATTCTACCTGTGCAAATTACTAAAGGTAGAAAACTGCATCCACGTGCAGTCCCCGCAATGCCCCCTTTTTAAAATAAATTCAAAAACAGTTGAACAAATAAATTACTGGCTTCTGATTTGAAAACTTGTTGTCCATGAATTTTGTTGTATATATGTGATTATTTAAGGCAATCATATAGCTTCACAGTCATAACGACCGCTGACAAAAATCATTTTGACACCCTTGCTATAAAGCATTCATCTTATTATTATTATTTATTTGGTGGTTCAAACTGCATATCACATGTAATTTAATTCAGTCAAATGAACTCTGAAAGGTATGTGCATGTGATGTAAACCGTCGCTTGTTACTGATGCTGCTGTGTTTGGCTGTGAAACATTTTTTCTGCAAATGATTGCATTTGTGCATGTCCACTGCAGTAGCTGTTTAACAAATGAAACCACAAACGTTTGGAATGCTGTTTCACTACAGGTTTTATTTCAGCGCTTCATGTTCTTTGGTGATGATTTTCCTGTCAAACGTTGCCACTGTCATACAAAATGTTGAAAATATTCGCACAAGGATTCCAAAAATAATGACGCCAAAATAACAGTGAAGGGTCAGATGTGTCATTCTTGCCTTTTTAAAATAATCCGAACAAGTTATAAGATGTTTTCTTGGTGAAGCTGTTGAAGGATGGGAATGACACAGCACCTAGATTGTAACTGCTCTACCGTATTTAGTTTTAACATTCTGAATGTATATTTACCCTCATGATCCATTTTATGAGGCACACCTACAGAAAATGATCAGATGTAACACAGGAGCTGTATCAAAAGACAGTTGCGCTATATTGGCGCGGCAAAATATTGCAACGGGCTTCATTATGATCCACTGACTGTGACATAGCTACAACTTACAGCCACAACAATAAACACTGACAAAAGCAAAAACAGAGGGAAACGTGGACCGTGAACATCGATTAACAAATTCAGGCATATGCAGAAAATGGTTTATAATGTTAGCAATTTAGGATTATAGTGTATGGCTCATTAGTTTGTGTGGGTGTACCTAATGTAGTGGCGATGGTGTCTGGATGCACGTTTGAATGTTTTTGGTGACTCCGGTGTTTATATAAATCAGTTGACCTTTTGCGCTATACCACATATTGGTTAGCAGCAAACAGACACACACGTGATCCGAATCCTCTTTTGACCTGATTACAGCTCACTAATGTCTTTAAAGAACCAATAGCCATTCTTAAAAGTCTGTCTGACTAACGTCCCAGATAAACATTTATAATGCTTCCACATGAATGTATCCTCTGAGGTATTGTTGATCCAAAGTGAAATTGACATTTTTATAAATGATATGTTTTCTAGTGGATGACAGTTTTTTAAATATGTTTATTTTTCTTTCGACCTGGCAACTTTCACTGATGGCTCTTACTCATAATCATTTAAACGATGTAGTTCCTTTTGTGCTGGACTGTGTACTGTACACAGGCACCATATGCAAGTACCGTAGTCGGTGGTACACATGTACTCTCCATTTGTACTTTTTTTGAAACAAGCCCTGATTGAGCTCAAAGCAGAGCGCAAAAGAATTTCTTCTCCCTGAAAGGGTTCTCCGAAGTGGGCACGGGTGTGATCAGGGGGTCGTCGCAAGCGTGGGCGTCGCAGTACGCCATCAGGTCAGCGGCCGCCTTGGATACCTGCAGAGGGTCAGAGTAGTCCTCATGGGCCCGTTGTTTGACGACACTTGCTACGAATTCATTCAATTCGTTGTTTGTGTACATTCAATGCAAAGAAGGAAATCAAATTCTATCCCGCGTTTACCAGGCTGCTGATTGAAATCTACATAGCATCAAGACATTGAAGTTTAGGCTCGCATCAAAGCAAAAAAAAAAAAATCTGCCTATCCCTCCAACATGAACAATGGCCTTCAAGGTCAGCAATGTCAGTGTCAACATGACACTGTTGACAAGAATTTCAAGAGCAACATCAGCAAAGGCAGACTTTGTCTAAACTTTCATTTATTTACTGCAGTCAAGTATAACTTGGAAGGTGTAAAAAGCATGTGTACTAATACAATACAGTATATACTGCCTGGCCATATTAGATCATATATGACGTCTTGACATTCAATATACAAGTTACGGAGGATTTATTCTGCTTTGAACTACACTACAATTTGATGACGTTTCTAATCATTTGGTTGGCCGCCTTGGATACCTGCAGAGGGTCAGAGTAGTCCTCATGGGCCCGTTGTTTGACGACACTTGCTACGAATTCATTCAATTCGTTGTTTGTGTACATTCAATGCAAAGAAGGAAATCAAATTCTATCCCGCGTTTACCAGGCTGCTGATTGAAATCTACATAGCATCAAGACATTGAAGTTTAGGCTCGCATCAAAGCAAAAAAAAAAAATCTGCCTATCCCTCCAACATGAACAATGGCCTTCAAGGTCAGCAATGTCAGTGTCAACATGACACTGTTGACAAGAATTTCAAGAGCAACATCAGCAAAGGCAGACTTTGTCTAAACTTTCATTTATTTACTGCAGTCAAGTATAACTTGGAAGGTGTAAAAAGCATGTGTACTAATACAATACAGTATATACTGCCTGGCCATATTAGATCATATATGACGTCTTGACATTCAATATACAAGTTACGGAGGATTTATTCTGCTTTGAACTACACTACAATTTGATGACGTTTCTAATCATTTGGTTACCTTATTTGGATGCATGAGCCGCAAAATATCAGCCCTCTCTCTGATTCTGTGCACTTCTCATTTGTAAACGCAAGGTGTGCTATGCATAAAGTTACTTATGGTTAATATCGTCCGGTTTGTGAGGAGCTCCGTGTTGCTTTACCTTTATCCTGCAGAAACTAGCCTCGATCTTCAATTGCTCAACCAGCTTCCTTGCCTGGCCGACACTCATGGTGCTGTTGACTGGGGTGTCTCCTTTCATTCTGAAGACAAACATAGCAAAAGACAGTCAGGCTTTTCGGAAGACACAAACCCACAATTTTGTGATCATTTTTTTCTGTTGAATTGCATTGATTTATCGCCGCAATGCACAAGGAAGTGTTGCCTTTTCATTGATCCTGTCATATTTGTAAATGAACTCTGTATATAGTAGCAACTTGTATCGGTTTAACTCAACCACACATCTCAACGAAGGGCTTACACAAACAAAACAATACACAGCACATAACTCCACTGTTTCGGCTCAAAAATCTCAGTCATTACGGTCAATGTGTCATATCGCAGCTGTTACATTAGTCACCTTGTGCCTAAAATTAATCCCACCGTTTCAAATCCAATACGTTACAGCAACAAGGCTAACTGCTTGAATTGCATTCACCCTGGCCCGCACAATTTAACCACAAGCAAGAATAACCACCAGGATGAAATTAACACCCCCGCTGCACAATCCCTCCTCAATGACTCAAAAACATACCAACGTGACTGCAAGTAACAACAGCCGGATTGTTAATAAGGAATGCCAGACGTGAAGTGAATCTGTTCCAGCCATTGTGGGTCTTTCCCCTATTGTCTTTTCACCCCTCTCCATCCACCTATTTGTCTCCTTACCCGTATGATATTCCTCTTCAGGTGCAATCTCTTCCCCCCCACCCTCTTGTCTCCCGTTTTGTGGGTCTCTATGGCCCTCTGTCAGATTGTGTGTGTGTACGCGCGTGTGTGTGTGTGTGTGTGTGCTGTCAATGTAGCAGGACCCCACCCCTTACAGACGACTGCCTGGATGCTCCCCTGCTCTCAACAGTCCAGTGCACTGCAATCCCGCCACAGTAAAATCCGGAGGCTCATCCTCTCCGCAGTGAGTGGTATCTGCCAGATGGAGGAGGGGGAGGCACAGCATTGATGAGGTTTTCTTAAGGGGCCGGTGGTGGAACTGACCATGTTTGTGGAGGGGAATCTGGAAAATGGGGGTAATTTCCCCGTCTTACATGCTGGATCTGCCATGCACCAAAATTGTCTTTGCGGGCTTCAAATGTTTGTTATTCGGTGTGAAAATGCAATGTACTTATTGATGTCAGTTCAAAAGGTCTGAATCATCACTGCCCCCCTTCCCTCTCTGTAACACCCTCCCTCTCCTCTGTTGCTATGGGGACTGCTGCAGTCTACTGTAATGGTTTACAATATCACTTTGTTTTTTTTAAACCTCAGGAAATTCTTCTTGTGAGGCTTATTTCAATTATTTTCGGCACACACGTGAACTAATTAAAATCTGGCTGATGATGCACTGAAAGACTAAATACCATTTAATTCATTTTATCATGAATATCCAAAGTAATTCGGCAGGGGCTCCTTTACATCGCGAAATAGTGCATACAGCTCAAGCACTGTCGACACAACAAATGAAAAAGTAAATAAGACAAAAGTATTATTTCTTTTGGGGTTGAATGGCTCTGATTATGTCGAGCATGTTTTGTCTCTGTCAGCGAAAACCATTTTTCGCGTGACGAGATGTCGCTCAGAATTTACAAGCGTAGCTGTTTTTTCCTTTGCTGTCGTAAGCCATAGACATACAGTATTCAGCTTAGTGTGTGCATCGTACACCAATTATGCCGCCATATTGGATGTGGTAATATGAAGCGATCGGTGAAGAAGCGCCTTTCGTTTTATTTTTCTCAACTTTGTTTGCAGCCACCAATGTATGCAACACTGTAACAGTGATCCTATATGACTAACACTTTGCTGCTGTGAATTGGGAATTTCTCCATTGCGAGACTAATAAAGGTATTCTTATCTTATTTATAAACGTCTAATTTTAAATTCCTTGTCTTTGATGCTTTGTTTAACAAAAACAAATGCAAATGTCGTGTTTAGCTGTGAAACAAAACGGAATTCCATTAAAAAAGATAATTCCGGGTTTTGTTAGCCCGATTATATTATAGTTTTTTTTTAATTCATTCATTTACTCCTAACATTGGTGTACACCGCCCACTGCCTAAAGACAGCTTGGATAGGCTCCAACACGGCCACGACCCTCATGAGGATAAGCGCCTCAGATAATGGATGGGTGGATGATTAATAATGGTTAATTAAGCAGAACTTGATTACCCTGTGACATATAGAGCCCGCCATCCCAGAGACTCTTGAGATGAGTGATTATCTGACTTTTCCATGCTTATTTTTGCCTTTACATTCAGACAAAAATAAACAGCTTCACTTTTTAACAAAAAATAAAATGAACAAGTCTAAACACAGACTTGTTATCTCTCTCTGAAATACTAGCCGTACGTTTACGCCTCTTCGAATAGCTGTTTTAGATCAAACTTGTGTAAAAGGTCAACATATTGTTGACATTGTGAATCCATGCAGCAGATGGTGCACATCTCTGCCTCGAGGTTGTAGTCAATAAAGATTAAACCGTATTGTTGAAAGATTTTCATTTCAGCCCATTTGGGCCATTGATTCTATGATGACTGGTAGAGCACTGACATACTGGATGGGTTTCGGGTGAGTTACTGTTGTGACAGGATTGACGAGAGAAATAGAGGGAGTGCCATTCCACTCACTCAGACCCATTTTACAAATAGCTAAGTGCTGATCATCATTCCAGGTTAGGTAAAACAAGGAGAAAGTCCCAAGTCACAATCTACATGTTAACGTAACCCCGTGATTGTTCAGAAGTTAATTCCAACCAGATACTGAATAGGTCCTGTATTGATGTGCCTGCAGGGGCTTGATCACACAGTTGTAAGTACCAACTTTGTGTTATGCAATTCTAAAGCAAGCAGATGTGGGTGGCATGATGATGATCAAAATCATCAATTACAATTGGCTGTCTGTATTGATGGCACAGTTCAATACGAGACTGTTGGCTCATAGGACATGATTGTTGAGGATGTCCATATCATTATTTTTTTCATCTTAACTTCATCCTCTCCTTCAAGGAAAACAGACAAAATAATACAAAAACACATGTGCATTTCCTTCTTATTTTATTATTACAAGCGAGAGTTCCGATGTGTTCACGAGAAATGAACATGAGCAATGTCCTCATCCAACCATCCTCTTTTGCACTGCAATCTGGTAGGATCCTATCTGGTTTATTTTATTCATTTAGAATCGAGGAAAAAAAAAAAAAAAAAGAGGAAGTCCTCCGAGAAATCTTCAGCCGCGCCACAAACATTGGTGCCAGTGTCATTAGAGTTGCATTTAAAATGTCATAACCTTGCCGGTCAACATACAATGCAGTAGAACAGCCACTGTGCACCGAGCAAGCTGGCATGTTGCACAACACATTCACCCCCCCCCCCATGCAAATTTGGCACTGTGCCAACCAATTGCAGTGAGCAAAGAGCCATTTGGACTCGCTTGCCCTCTACATAGGAACAAGAATAATAATACAACATTGATGCTAAAAATGATATTCAAAAGCACATAGGCACCCATTTAGAATTCCTGGATGCATCGAAAATTTAAAACGATCCGGCATGACTGTGTCCCAGTTGGTGTGGACGAACTTGTGTTACTGTCGACGCTGTGTCCCGATGCTTTGATCTCAAAAGTGCAAACTGTATCTTTTGTCCATCAAGACCCCAATGAACAAACCTCCTGTTTTGGGGCCACTTTAGAGGTTTCTTAAGCCAATGGAGGTTCCAATCTGGGAAAGTTGTTACAGTTTCTTCCCCTGCTCCAATTACATTTTTGATTGATGTTGTCTTTTTTTTTTTTTTGGTTCATGTGCGGACTGCATGGCTCTGGTGGAAGTGCTGGCGTCCTCAGTGTGCGAGTTAATGAGCTGGCTAGTTTGCCTTTCTTGATGATAATTTGATGCTGAAAGAAACCACAATCCCTAATGTCTGCTACATCAACACATTTACAGCAAAAGATTTATCTCGCTCAAGCCATATTACGAGCTTCAAGAAATGTCCCAAAAAAAGTCTCTCCTTCCCTCCTAATACCTTTTCAAGGAAGACGCTACAGATGGTCCAGCTGCGCAAGTAGTCACACTGAAATGAACACGCAGCTTTGAGGCAGCACAAGTGAGTCATGTGCATAAATTGCTACACTTGCGCCCTTTCCAAACCTGCGCCGCTTTTTGTGATAAATGTGACATACAAAGAAGTCTTAGTGATATAGCAGCATCGTATCAGTCACAGTGCACGTGAAATCATTATTGTGAAAACATTGTCTTAAATAGAACGACTGAGTACTACAGGGTGAAAAGCGAGACAATCGGAAAGGATTGTATTGTAATTTTCAGTCGCAGTGGGGGTGCAAATCAGGAATGTCAGAAAAGGAGTTGTCCAATTCCAAAAGGAAACGGGTAATATATATATATATATATATATATATATATATATATATATTTTTTTTTTAACCCTTCAGTTTCAGCCAAATGTGATATCTGGTACAGAAAAGTAACACATTGATTCAAGATAGGCAAAATTCAAATACAAGTATAACAGGTAAGCAATGCACTGGTTTACAATGTTCTCAAAACGGGTGTCAAAGACACATCGATACCTTGCAACTCTTTCGGCTTTACAAATGCAAAACGGATTCGCTCACATGAGACTGCGGCCCAAAGAGAATATCTCGACAGTAAGTTCATAAAGCATGAAATTAAACAACTTCCTTCTACCGCCATTTGCATATAAAGTCTGTAAAAACCATAGAGTGAAGACAATAGGCCCTTTTCCAATGCGGCCTATCAGCTTGGGGAAGACGGAATTGTTTGGTTGGTTGGTTGATGTCTCTCCAAGTAATACAAACACTAAATATAAGAAAAGGTATGACGAGAAGAGTGGTAATGTAAAAACAATAGTTAGCATGATGAGGAAACATAACCGTAGAAAATATATGCAACCTATATAAAACTGACATTATTAATAAACACAATAAAAAAATTAATACAAGTATTTCCCGGTCATTGTTCTAACACTGACACTGGTGAAAGAAAGTGAAGGCGGTTTGTTTTATTTTTGAGAACTTTTGAATGGGATTTTTAACATCCGATTTAAAATAGTGCAGTATATACCTGCTGAAAAAAACATGCTAAGCTTTTTATTGTGTCCCTCATAAATTCTCAAGTCATTTGCGGAAAAAAAACAAACAAAACAAAACAGAATAGATCCCAGCAAAAATATCTTTCTTGGTTCAATTTTAGAATACAGCACAGTGTATGGCATCGGAAATGTGCAAAATAATTAGCATGCCTTATGAGCAGCTCCGAAAATATCAATTCTGTTCCAATACCAAATTCTTTCTATAAAACGAGTTTACAGTATAAATACATGGACTCACAACAGGAAGCAACTACGGTAGGCCTATATATGGCAAACTCCTGCCGATCAACGCTAAATACAGTTAACACTAAATACTTTATAGCCCAATGTTTCGATATCACAAAAGGGGGCTACAATTGTCAGCTTTCTATGAATGTTGAAAATGAAGACGCCGTGTCTTTTGTTGGTCCTTTTTTTTTTTCTGACATGAGACCCATAAGATGATGCCGAATGGACCCGATTAAAGTCTCGTTCACAGTAGAAGAAGCGTTCACAGTGAATCATACCTTCTCTAATCAAAGCATCCGTCCGTTATCCGAACGGCTTTAGCCTCACAGGCGTCGAAAAAGCCTTCATAAAACAGTGATGCATCGTCACGAGGGCCACAGTGAGGATAAGGCAGGAAAAGGGCGTCACTGGAAAACGGATGATTCTGGCTCCTTCACTTAAAGATAATGAATTAAATACAAAGCGCATTTGTTTTGCGGGTTGTCAATAAGGGGGACTTGTAAGCACCCTTATCAATACATTGTAAACATTTGAAATGGCTCTTTTACTCTCCTCTGCTATGAAATTCAATTTAGGGAGCACATTGGAGTTGAAATTGTCACCAAGCAAGTAAACAAAACAAAAAAAAAAATTACAATGAAAGGTGGTTACATTTTGTCCAGTGTGACTGTAGTACCAGACCTTAAGTGTAACTGACCACACCATTACACCAGCGCAGATCGCATAATGTATCCAATATCAGTTTAGGATACAGCTTCACAATTGATTTTCCAATAATATTTTATCATGTGATACTACATTACAATTATACCGAGGTCCTTTAAAAAAAAAAAAGTATATTCAGCCCATGTATGTACCAGTGACTAAAATACAATGTACACCCAACAGTAATCAGTTTGACTGCAAACTACAACGACAAAAACATTCTTTACAACTGTGACAGTGTCTTCTACACTGAACAATACTTAACATGACTTAATTCATTTTATCTTAGGACAGAATTCTTGATAGAACTTTGTATTAGCTCATATAATGTTGGGCAGACGGACCTAATATCTGAATGCGTTTCCAAATGACATCACTCGGATCATCAACCATCCTGTGTATCAAGTCACTTCCCGAAAGAACAAAAATCTTTCAACCTTTGTTTGTTGAACCGTGCAATTGAGGATGATGTTATTTTGGTGGTTTTACCTGCCTTTTGGCTGCCTCATATTTAAATATCAGTGCACATCCTGTACACTTTTAGCCATTTTTAATGAGATGTTTGTCTCTTCTTCAATATAGCTCCCAGATTAATGCTACTCACATCTGTATTAGGTCCATGTGGCATTTTAGAAATGACAACTTGATCAACCGATGTGTTAAAGTGCATTGTAATAGTGTTGCTACATGTTGGAACGTATTGTATTAGAGTGACAATGCAATTTTGCATGCAAGTATGGCTTCTGTTAGGCTACGTTTACACACTGTTCCCCAGTGACCAAGGCAGCACCGATTGCCCAAAATGTAGTGCATGATGGGAATTTAGCCAATTTTTCCCCTGTGGATTCAAGTCTTGTTAACTTTTCTGACAGTCTATCTATCCATGACAAGTCATGTGGGGAGAGCACGACTGAGTCCTGGAGGCTCAAAGGCGCATGGACTCCGATACGATCCCTCCCGGTCTGTCCTGTTCGGATGGGGACCCTCCCATTTGTTAACGTTGTGTCAAGGCTTTTTATGGCTAAAACCTGAAGAACATGCAGTGTTGGAGCTCCCCTACCTAGCTTAGCTCCAGCCCTGTTTCAGACCACCATTTTTGTCAATGGTGGCCTGAAACAGGGCTGCCATGGCCACCTGGGACATAATGTAAACGTAGCCTTAACAGTGTTTGTATGGTTGTTCATGTAAATGACAGGAAGAAATAGGCCTGAAGGGGAAAAAACTGAGATATTTCAATACAATGTTCCATCTATATTGGCACATTATCTATAAACAGCATACTGGATGATGATCAAGTTAAATAGCTACTTACATGAGGTCATTTATCAGTTTGTCTCATGTTTCACAGTATAAAAGTGCATTAATTGCCAAACATACCCCCATTTTCCTATTGTAATAACCTGCTCCTCAAAGCCAAATTTAGTGTGCGCCAGCCCCTTTCACACTTGGGTCTCGACACCATCAAGTTTAGGCATCAGGATGCGAGGAGTCAACCCGGAGTTGAGGTCCCTCTCAAACTCCAAAAGCTGCCCCATGAAGTTTAGATTTGGGGACACCACAGGACGGCGGCTGCGCACGTATTTGTACGCATCCGTCATTGTCATGAGGGTGTGTTTCATTAGGTAGGCGATGACGATGGTTGCGGAACGGGACACGCCCGCCTGGCAGTGCACCAACACACCCTGTCCACTCTGATATGCTTCCTCTGTGGATGATGGGGAAAAAAACAAGGCAATTATACAGTGATAAGGACAATCTGTCAGGGGACACAGACTCGCGCATGCACATTTATATGTTCTCACAAATGCAATACGCAATCCGGTCTATCAACATCTTCATTGGCTTCCACCCAACCCATCTCTATTGCTCTATTATGGTGCACCTGCAGAATGGGATGTGGTGACGCCCTGTTGGCTGCGAAGCCTGCCCTCTGCAGAATGGCTATAATGCTCCCCCTCCCTACTCTTCATTTACTCCAAATCTATACTGTGCTCCCCTTGCAGGAGCTCAGTCTGGAGTTGTTATTGCCTCCCCTCCCCCTTTTTTATGTTTCTCTTTTCATCTTCAAATATAGTGCAATGTAAAAGTGACCTGGAGCACTCCTGTTCTGTACGCACACTGTAGACCGAGGCCAGTTTTTAATGCAGTGGTACTTTAACTTATAGTCCAAGCAGAGGTGTCAAATCCAGGTCAGAAAGTTAAAAACCCTTCCACAGTTTGTATTTAACTATGGGTGGAGACCAAAGGTTAGAATATAACGAGCCAGCTCATTAACGTGCACAGTGAGGAGACGGCACTCCCACTAGACCCTTGCGGTCTCCGCAAGTGCTTCTCCTCAGCCGGGAGGTAAACGAGCTCCCTGGGAGGTCATTAGCCTGCCGGTTGTGTAGAAGCACCTGTGGCTAAAGCCAAAGTGTTGCAAAGTTTTTACTTGACACATTTGAGTAGGAGTGTTCCAGATCACAAGTTAAGAGCTGTCCATTAATGGATTTTCTTTTTGCTTTGCGTTATATGCCAAATACTTGAAAAAGGAGCATCCAGCTAGAGTCAGACACGCTATTTTGACTTATGACTGAACAGGCGAAACAGTCAAATGAAATTAGTAGAACCATCTCACCGATAAACTCAAAAACCTCCTCGAAGTATTGTCGAAGGTTTTGTTTGCTGTTGTCTGTGGCTGGCAGCCTTTTGTAGTGCAGTCCTGATTTGAGGTGGTAGAGGGGGAGGTGCGTGGTCACATTGACCACATAGCCGATGTTGAGGTGCAACAGCAGATCCAGATCTTGAGCATCCCTCTCATTTCCAAGATACAAGAATGGCAGGATGGCACTGACCACAGCGTTCTCCGCATCAGGAGTCATCGCAGACTCCTCAGACAGTGAGGCAGGGAGCGAAGAGGAGAGTGGCAGAGAAAGGTGCACTGTGGAAGGACAAGATGACATCTTGAGAGAATTGTCCTGCTCAAGTTTGGATACATGAAAGCATATTTTCATCAGTGCTTACTAGCTGGAATTTGATCAACAAGTCAAGTTTTTTTATTATGACCCTGAACACAGAATGACGGTAAGAATCTTACTTCTGCTCTTCTCCTCATTTTGCTCTCTGTTGAGCGAGTTCAGAGCCAAATGAAGGGACTGAGCCGATGGTAGAGAATGTCCCCCGTCTCTCTGCCAGGGTTTGGGTTTGATGAGTGTGCTGGGAGCGGACGGAGGAGGCGAAAACGAAACCGGCGACGGTGGAGAAGGGGAGCGGGGTGAGGGCGAACAAGGATATGGTGTCTCTCGATTGCGTTCAAGAGTGCCCGCCATTCCTGCATCATCTGCTTTATTAAGAAGCCTCCTGAGTGAGCTCCGTTGTTCGTCATATCCCGGTCCGGACCTGCAGCCCAAAAAATCCAGGGCAGCCATCTTGTCTTGTTGCAGTCTCCGCCGGCCAGCGTGGTCTGTGAGCTGAGCGTGTGCGTACTCCTGCAGGTTTTCACAGTCGAGGCGCATGAGCCCAGTTCTTTTGCTTTCATTTTGGATCTGCCTCGAAGTCGTCTTTCCAACTCCTATTCCTATTCCGGCACAGTGATTCTGTTGGGCTGTAGAATGGGTCATCTTTCTCGCCAGTTCTTCAGGCCAAATAGTTCTTACGCTGTAGTCATCATCGTCAGCTTGAAACATAGAAGCCGAATGAGGTGCTCCAATGCTTCTTCCTGGGGGTTTACCTCTGCGAGGATTAAATGTTACCACGATGGGGTCGCTGCTGCAATAGCTGCAGGTGGAGCTACCTGTGTGTGAGGCTTTGGGATTACAACCCGTGACGCAGCTTTGTATTGCCCGAAGAGGGGCAGAAGAGGATATTGGGGTACAAGGCAGGCATCCCCCAACCATTTTCTTCCGAAGAATAGCGGGGCTCTCAAAGTTTCCAGCCTCACTGGAGCAGGAGGCACAGCGGATCGGTTTGAACAGGCTTGTTCGGTGTTCAGACACAGTGCTGTTGGTTGAGGAAGTGTTAGAGGTGGAGGCGGTGGAGAGACACCCTCCCAAATTTCTCAGGCCCATTTCTTTGCCTCCTTTTTTGACTGCACCAACGTTATGAACGCAAGAAAACGAGGTGGAAGAGCTACCTCCGCCTCCTTGGCAACTGGAGGCATGTCCTTTAGACCCTCTGCAGCGTACCAACCTCCAGCAACCGCATCCGAAGGGGTGGGTGCAGTCGATGGTGCAGGTATGGTCAGGACTGGGAAACCCTCCTGTGTGGGAAGTGCACGGGGATAGGGGAAGACCATGAAGAATATGAGGATGGTGGTCCCTGTGGCGGGATGGGCGAGGCTGGCTAAATTGTTGGAAGGAGACGGGGATGTGCGCGGGTTGAGCGGGGGAAGAAGAGGGATGGTTGGAGTTTAGGACGGATGCATGGGGAACAGGGACGGAATTGTGGTGGTAGGGAAGACTGTGATGCACGGTGCCCAGCTTGGAGCTCTTGTGATTCAGTAAAGTGAATTGAGGGTCAGGTCTGTTCAGAAGAAGAGTTGTGGTTTCGTTTTCTTTTACATCCCTGAGGTTGTACGGCTGTGCCTGCGCAGGGACAAATTGCAGAACTCCGCCGGCTGACGGCAGCTGACCGTGTCGACTTCGCTGTAATTTGTGTTCGCCTCCACCTGCCCGCTCAGCGCCGCCAGTTCTTCCCCCAGTCTGATCTGAATGCGAAGGGGCACATTTTCGCTGCGTACCTTTGGCAGTTCCGCTGCGGCCGAGGGAGTTGCTGATTTCTGCTCTCCCGCCCTTGTCCAGAGTCAATCTGATATCAATTGTATGCGTGTGGGATGGCAGTCGGGGGCTGAGAGTTACGGTTCCATTGCTGTGGCAGTGGCTTGGGATGTTCCTGTAACCCGGCGGCACTCCGGAATGATCGCCCGGGCTTCTCTGTCCACGGGAAGATCTGCGTTTGCATTCCAAAGTTAGAGCTTTACAGGTGGGTGAGTAGAAATGAGGCTGGGAAAAGTGAGGGCGAGGAGCACGGGTGATTTGTCCATTGGAAGAGGCGGATATCTGAGACGAGTGATGTGGAATGGCTTGCGGGGAAGCCTCGCACAAGGCAATGTTTTTAGGCCGCTGGATGACCACTATACGCTCGTCGAGAGGAAGAGGAGGCATCTGGGTTCATGGGAAGCTGTCCAGTAAAAAGGAAGAGAGGAGAGGCCAAAGATTAGTCACAACGTTATTGTACATTGATAAAAATAGAAAAGAAAATGTGGGTCAGACTTTAAATCCCATTTGTTTTAGTCCAAAATTAGGATCGTTTGCCTTTGGCGTTTAATATTTCAAAAGACCCGTTGCTGTTTCATTGTTGGCACAGCTAGTCAATTATTTATGAAATGTAAAGTCAAACCCCACAAGCACCACAGACAACACAACATTGGACATTTTTTTCGTTCTTATGAGTCACCTCTGGTATCCGAGGCAAATGAAAACATACCAAAGGATCAAACGGTAACAATGTCACATCTCATATTGAATATGAACTTGTCACACAGAATTCTTTCATCATTGGCATCACAAATGCGAGATGAAAATTACACCCACTGGTTCGACCTTAATGGATAACATTGCAGCAAGGAACGACTACTCCCCTTTGCCATATCCATTTAAATGTGCACATCTGGTTTTTTTGACTCGCTTATACCCGAGCCACTTGCCAGAAACGGAATATTCATCGATATATCCAAAAAGTTGGCAACCCAGCAACAGAGGGTGCCTTCATAATGAAACAGTAAATCAGAAAAGGTTGCAAGAGTATGTTAATCAGGATGGCAATTGGCTTCCTAAAAGCTTGTTTACAAACATTGTGATGAACTTGCAACAACCTTCATCCCTCAGAGGACTCATCAAGTCTTAGTAAGACACATTTGCTGATGTAAAGGAGAATGCCGGGACTGGGGACGGGGGCGGGGTAGGCAACTCTGCTCCGAGTGTGCCGTTTTCTTGCTTGTTTTAGAACGGGGGGGTCAAACTCATTTTTGTCGCGGGCCACATTGTGGTTACGATTTCCCTTGGAGGGCCGTTATGAATTTTGGGAAATCATATAAATGTTGAATCCCATCCACATATTATATACACAATAAATTAATGAATGACTAGTTTTAGAATCTGAAGTCAAGAATAATGACTGTTGTGGATTACATATGACAATTTGAAATGTTGGTTCAGACTTTAGCAAGCATCATGGAACTTGACATGCTTGATTTGCTTTCGCGGGCCACATAAAATGAGGTGGCGGGCCAGATCTGGCCCCCGGGCCTTGACTTTGACACCTATATTTTAGAAGATTCCCTCTTCCACCACACACCATTCAAATGAACAGCTCATCGGCAGGCTCTGTAAAAGCCCGATAAGGACGCCGATCGTTTGAATCAAGTGTGTTGGAAGAGGGAATCTTGTGAAACAAATAGGAAAACGGCTCTCTTGGGCCGGAGCGGCCATGTGATAAATGTCTACTCCTAAACAAAATGGACTGTTTGCCGCTGTGGAGAAGGTGTGCCACACATAAATAGACATTGTTTATTTTTGACAAAATGCTGCCAACTGATTGGCTCAATCAGAAATGTACATTTGTCTTGGTATGAAACAAAAATAAACACGTCACCACATACACAAAACAATTCAACTTTTTTCCCCCCACCACGACACGGCACTAATAGATCACAGCTCATTAAAAGGTCACTTCCTGTTTATTTGAGCCATTTATTCACCGCAATCATCGTCATTAACATTTAATGACTTGTTGCTACAACACACAATAGAAAACCCATCCCGATGAACACACACGCTGATGAATGGGGATTATCTGTGATATGAAATGACTCCGGAAGTCATTAATCTGTCGATTAAATACTTTTATCTACTTTTGACCACATTGGAAAGCGGGACCAGTTTCCACGCACTTCAGTTGGGTGCAAAGTGTACAGCAAGCTTCTGTACACTCCTTGAAAGGGCAGCTTTTTTTTTTTTTTAAATTCGAGAGGGTTACTGGGCCTGGTATAAAACGATGTTTTGACTGATACGGGTGGCTGCAGGTTTTACAGGTTTTAAATTCCTTGTCACATTGTTCAGAAATAGCTTTTCTGATGAGCAAACCGTGAAGCCAAATAGAGACCAGCATGACTCTCTGCATGAAGTTTTTATGATGAGATGGTGAGATTGACAGAGTGATATGACAGCTTTTTTTTTTTTTTAAATGCTTGTGTTGAAAACGTTATCTTTGTGGTCAAATGCTCAAACATGGCGCAGAGCAGGGGTGGGAGGAGCAAAGCCTCTGGATACTCATGATACGATAAAATTACAATATTTTTTGACTGATAAAGGAATGCTAATTTGATAGATGGTAAGCAAACCATCAATCAAATCTATGGAACTGAATAGAAAATCGATATACGAAAATTGGTATTTTGCCAACTTACTGAAGAAAAAAAATCGAAAATACATTTTTAGAATATTTTGTGTCATGTTTTTAAGTGGACATGTAAACATACAAACACACCTACAGCACATTGAGGAGCCGGGTCATAATAATGTCACCCTGAATTTTTAATGAAAGAAAAGTAAGCTTTGCAACATCAACCTTTTTTTTTTTTTTTTTTGGTCATATCAAAACATTGCACTACTTACTTATTCAAGATTGTTGGGACTTTGTTTATGACAACAAACTAATGAAGATGGGCGCCGGTCATGACTGTGCTGTGATTTCCTTTTTCAGCAATAAAATGAACAATGTGCATCATAGGAACAAAATGTTAGTTGTTACAACTGCATGTTTAGTTTTCATCGACCGGTGACAATTTCAATAGTCAATGTCGGCGTATGAATACTGCACGACATTGATGATGAGATGGTCATAGTCTCCTCTGTACTATTGTCTTTGGATGCCTTTTACATCTTTAGTTGACACGTAAATGCAAAGAACATTACTCCATTGTTTGTTTGTTTGTTTTTTGATCAGTTTGACCAATACAATCAATTTCAACATTCTCTCAATTCCAATATTTTAACAGCATGTGTGTACATCAGGTTAATTTTCAATTGTTCCCCCTTGGGCCATATTTGAAATGATCCTCTCATGGAGTGTAAGACACGGGGGAAATGTGGATAGTGGAGAATAAATGGGGAGAGATTTTATCACACTGTAAAAAAAAAAAACAACACACAATGGGGGAAAATAAACAAATCTCAACTAGTCTGGGGATGCCCTTCATCCCCACACAAAACAGATACCGACCCAAAGAGAAGGCAACCTGATCTTTGGCGTCCTCATGATCACGTCCATGCACACAGTGTGCCGATGGTGTCCTCATCTTTTGTGTGTGGTTTTTTTTTTTCCTTTTTCAGCTTAGCCTGTGGTAGAAGGGGGTGGGGGTTACATTGACCCAGATTTGTCATGGTGGAAGCCGCTATCTCTCTGATCGCCACTCTCTCACACACTGCCACTGAAGGCCAGTTAGTGGCCTTTTCACTCCCTCTTCGCTGTATATTTAGCAGACAGTCATAGTCCCTGAGACAAGGAACACACCAAAAAAGGAAGAAAAAAAAAAGGCAATCCAAGCATGCTCTTCGTGTCGTCACTCATGTGACACGGTGATGCAATTAAAGTTGGAAGGAGCGTATTTCAATATGTGAGTGGATAACTAGATTTGCCAGAAGAGTTTCTCTGTTCCATGACCAGACAGCTTAACAAATCAACTCTCAACATTCTTTCAAATCTGCATGTTTCATCCAAATAATGTGATTTCTTTAACCACATGTTAAATATTTAGACTAGAATAGAATTCGTTTGAATGTCATACATACGAGCCCACACGATTGATCTAAATTAACAAGTTTAAGTTTGATGCATGGATAATAAACAGTCAGTTAGCAAATAAATAGCTTTTTTCCCCCCATTTACTCGCGAATGTGCAAGTCAATACCCCTGTGGCATTATAGGAAAAACATGTTTGTTGCATTTATCTTGCAAGTGCATTCAAACAAAAATTTGTCCTCCTCAGTGGCATTTTCACACCTCCTTAGGTTTAACATTTGCGTCATAACTCTAAAAGGTATTTTTGAGGCAAACGCAACACTGCTCATCACCCCCCCCCCCAAAAAAAAACCCTCAAAACAAAACACCATATTTACAGTAAAGAATGATGGGACAGCTCCGGAATGAATTTCAGTAGATGTTCTAAGTGTTCCTAATGTTGTGGCAGTCATAAACAAGTATTGCAGTATACAAAAGTAGAAAAACTTGACATTTGAGGCATCTTTCACCGTCGCCGGTGATAGTGGTTCCTTGCCAGCTATCTTGCCACCCTAAGTAATAATCTCGCTCCGCTTTAATGGTGCCTGAGTTCCTCACTAGAGTCTGAAGTGTGTTTATTTATTTATTTCATATATTTTATTGCTTTGCCAACAACAGAAGCAAGAGCAGAACTACAGTGATTATCTCTGTGCACTTGGAGTCATCGATCACAGTGCCGATTTCTTGTCATTACAAGTGCGCTTTCAGAGACGGTGCAGTGTTTGGGAGGAGAAGCTGTTTTATTTTGGGAACCAAAGCTTACCGGGCTTTAAAAGATGAAAGACAATGTTTGTGTTTCTTCGCCCTGCGGCTAAAAGACATTTCGAGTACCTGAATGCGCCCAGCATGAAACAGAGGACGCACTATGTGGCTGCAAATAGCAAAAACCAAGGATGTGTTCAATCAATAATGGAAGAAATTACACCATTTAGAATTTTTTTTTCTTTTTTTAATGATATGCGATTAGTTATTTATTTATTTTTCCCCACAGTGGAGGCTTCTTGAGTTGTTTGGAATGACATTAATCAATGTTGCCTGTACTTATTGTGTAAGCGTGCGTATGCCTCAAAGCAAACTGGACTGACGAACGTGTCCTGACAATGACCAAAGGACTAAAAAAAAAAAAAAAGTCTCTGCATCCCCATGTATGAAATGACGGCACCGTTTGTAATCTTGCACAGTAATCAGCCTTTGAAAAACACAACCGCATGGAAGAATTTGAATATTCGATGAGCTACCATAGCAACACCTTTCCGGTTGTGGTTAATGAGCACTTTGATACTTTGATGGGGTTTGTTGCAAAATCTCCTCTCCTGCAAAATAAACAAAACACCTGCAAGAAAACTTTACACCGTTCAGTTTATAAAGCAAAAATTATTCTTCCAGGCACTGTGACAAAGCTTCGCCTTTACACCGGTGTCACAGCACCGTGTCAGGTCTTGACCCAAACATTCGAAGAGCTGAAGTGTTGCTTGCAAAGGCAGTGGGATTGTGTGCTGAAGGCCAAAGGCAGCTCGAAGAAAATCGGTAAAAACGTAATATAAATGGTAATAAAAGCCTGGCCGCTGTTCGGCAACTGGACAAAGTGGATTTGGATCAGACGTTGCATCCTAAATGCCTTTTAACTCTTGGGTTCCCAGCATGTCCCAACCACTCACACTGTACATCTTTTCAGTAATTTAAGTTGAAAGCGGAAACAGAATATTGAAACGCAATCAGCGCTGCACATTTATCTCGTGAGCCGAGCGCAATGGATGCACATAATCCGCATCAAGTACAAGTGCAGCCGCGATGACACAAAATTGCAAATGTTGATATGTTGAAGATGTCAGAGAGCTTATCAGAAATGCACCGAGCAGGCCGAGCAGCTAAATAGGAACCAGTCTGTCTGCAGGCCAAGAAGGTGTGGCCAATGCACTATGAGTCACTTTTAATTATGGCCGCAATTAATCATGCTGCTGACTTGCCATCCAAAGCCCGCGATAATAATGCAAGGAAAGTCGGTATTTTCTCATACCGGAGTAAGCCGCATTTACAAGACGTTTACTTATTATCTTTCGACTTCAGATTGTGCTATTACAGCAACATGAACAAAAGCGAAATGACTGACACCAATGCTACGGGCCACTTTCTGAACGTGTTATGATAATCAGCCCTTGTTTGGCTGCCTCATCAGCACTCGTGCCCCCCATCCCAGGCGACTGAGAGGAAGTCAGAATAATTACATCACTCACTCCGCCACACTCTGCAGACAATGTGATGGACGTGACAAAACAAAATGACCAAATCTTGTTGTCGCCTCATCCGTACAGTCATCACGGACACAAATTTTGAAGTTATTCAAATGTGCCCTGCCATTGGCTTAGAGACAAGTCCAGAATGTGCCCTGCCGCCCACTCAAAGTCAGTTGTGCGTCATTGTATTAAGCACTGATGGAATGGATGAATATGACTGATTAATATATACAGTGGTACTTCCACTTTACGAACGTCTCTTCATATGAAATTTTCAAGTGACGAAATGCCTCAACAGGAAAATATTAACTCTAGTTACGAAAGAAATTTCAAGTTACGAAGAGTAAAAATACAGTATGGGCTGCTGCTCGCAGCTCTGAATTTCCTGAACGCAACATACTTAGAGCTGCTCTGCCATTGGCTATTACCGAGGATCATCCTGACATCCCATTGGCTAAGAGGGACCTCTACCGTATGTGTCTAAATAGATAGATACAGTATGTGTCGATGCAGCGTTCGCTCCTCAGGCCATGAGGTGTTAGGATAGTTTTACGTAAATGTGACTCAGCCAGAAAAAGTGTTCACCAGTCGGGCGATTGCTCGCTATGCTGATGTTTGCCTTGGGCGTTTTCAAAGGATTCTTAAAAGCCGACAAAAGCAAAAGTCCTTCGATCAGTTCTTTACAAAACGCCAGGCAAAAACCACTTCTGAGAGAGACTTAAGAGGGCATAAATCGAGGACGCAGTTCCGATTGCTCACTATGCTGATGTTTCCCTTGGGCGTTTTCAAAGGGTTGTTAAAAGCCGACAAAAGCAAAAGTTCTTCGATCGGTTCTTTACAAAACGCCAGGCAAAAACCACTTCTGAGAGAGACTTAAGAGGGCATAAATCGAGGACGCAGTTAAAAGTTCAATGACCATCATTTTTATTCTTTATTCTTTGTTTTTTACATTATGCACAACTCATGTATTGTGCAATAATCCTAATTGTAACATGTATTTGTTACAGATTTTGATGCATTTTTATGCTTTAGGAAACATTTATGTCTGAATTTGGGGGTGCTTGGAACGGATTAGGGCATTTACGAGGAAAATGCGTCTCTATTTACAAAATTTTCTTGTGAAGAAATTTTTTCCAGAACCAATTAATTTCATAACCACTGTATTTTAAATAATTACCAGCCGTAGTAGTAGAACCATTAGGCTTTTAAAATAATTGGTCTTGTGACCTCAGGGTGCTGAAACATCAATTGGATGTCCAATACATTTAAGTCACAACTCGATTATTCTTTGCAACCCCTTTTTGAGATGCACTCCATAGGAAAAAAAAAAGTATTACATCTTGACATTATACATAGGCGATCGTAAGTGGAAGATCATATGAGTTGGTGTGCGTAAAAAACATTTACCGCTAATTTATAGACGAACCACTGCTGGCCAGTACATCTCATTTAAACCAGAAAAGGGTGACATTTTATTCCCACGAAGAGTTCTGATTTGTCTAATCCGTGGCCATGTTCATAAGAAGAAGGAAAAAGTGTGGCCTGATATAGACGACTAAGAATAGCAAGAGAGGAAAAGCTCCTTAGAAAAGAAACGTCGGAATTTTGAGTCCTCTGTCAGATAAAGAAAAAGAAGCCCACAGTCTGCTTTAAAGACTAATGTCCTCTAGGAATGGGTTTCTGAAGCCCCGCTGTCATGGCAAGTTATTGGGAGTTATTGTAACGACTTGACAGTTTAAGTCACAGCGCCAAATGCCAATAATGTTGATGCTTGCAACAAAGTGCTTTCAGTCCTCAAATCTATTGCATGGCACACGTTGGATACAAACCCCAAATCCCAGAAAATTGGGACATTGTATGCAAAATAAAAATAGAATACAATGATTTGCAAATACTTTCTGTCAGCCTGTATTCAATTGAATACATTACAATTGACTAATATTCAAACTGAGGATTTTTTTTTTTCTAATTATAAATTCATTTTAAATTTGATACATTTAAGGCGCTCCCCAAAAAACTGGGAAAGTTGAGGAATGTTTTGGAACCTTGCACAGGTGAACATGCTTTTTGGGTGAGTGTCATGATTGGGTTTACAGTGCTGTGAAAAGGTATTTGCCCTATTCCAGATACAGTATCTGTGTTATTTGCATATTTATCACATACAAAGGCATCAAACCAATTTTAATATCACACAGAGACTACGCGGGAAAATACAATATGCAGTTCCTAAATGCTAATTTAAATTATTAAGGCACAAAAAAAGTTTGTGTGGTCATGGAAACTCTGACTTTCCAAACATGGACCTTGTACGTAGAATGACACGGACCAATCTACACTCAGCAGCCGCAGGGTATGCAACTGTAAAATATTGCATGAATGTGATGACTAATTGAATATATTTATGATGATGCTTGCAGTTTGTCGTGGAACTGCACTGAGGAGTTGATTAAAAAAAAAAAAAAAACCCAAATAATTTGATGCACAAAGTATTGTCTTCACACGTTCACTTGTGGGACCCCCTCGCAAACGAGATGTTGGGGTTCATCCCACGTTAATAAAGAATTGTCATCATCTTATGGACAATGTAGTCTTCAGTTAACATGCTGACAACCTTCGTGCCCGACATTTGTAACCTTTGTTAGCATCAATCTATCCTGGGCAGACATAGACAGAAAACCAACCAATCATATGCATAACCATAGTCTTCAGTGAACCAAAAAGTCATGTTTGTGAAATGTGGGGAGAAGCCAGGGTCCCTAGAGGAATCCCATGGAATCATAGG